CTGCCGTTCCGAGCTTCCGGTTACGACTCAGTTTTTGCACTTGGAATAGAGTATTCATTGTCATCATTGGTAGTTGATGAACTTGCAGAGGTGTACGGAGTAGAGTGCGCTGAATTGATGGTCTCGAAGACCGCTGACTACGGTAACCTGGCACTAAACCACATCGGGCAAGCGAGGCCATACTCCGTACAAATTACAACAGGCGGTCCAACACTGAACAATAGAGTGGAGATGCTCTGGGATGGTTGCGAGCAATGCGGGGATCATTGATAGTTTGCCTAGTCAGGATTGTCACTAGAAAGCCTAGAAGCCAAAAGGGAGCAGCAGCTCTTCGAGTTTGTTGTTGGCGTAGATACCTAGAACTATCAGGCTACCTTACCTACTACTGCACGCTTACTCTGTACCGTGAAAGTACGGAGGTGGGGACCAAAAGTAATCGGACTGCCACTAGTAATATTCACGGCCAAGCAGAAAGAGTTGGTAAAGAGTGTTTTATATATATGATGCCTCATATAAAGATACTCTTTCAGGGTATATTAATGCCTTTGATTATAACATAATATTCACCTAAAATGATTGAATTTACTACCGGAATAAGCATTTTTGGCTTAGTGGAGGCTTTACATAGCTTTATAATATGAACCATTACTCAATTAGATATAGAATAATATGATATATCACATAAAAGTTATATTACTTTACAAAATCTTTCTGCTTGGCTGTGAATATTACTAGTGGCAGTCTGATTACTTTTGGTCCCCCATTCCGTAATCCAAACTACCTAAACAGGCAAATTCCTTCGTTCCGATAAGAAGACTTGACGTAGGGAGCATCCCTCGTCGGCAGACGCTGGTGGCTTGATATATATTTTATCACTTGTCGTCGCTATATATTGTTGTTGGGGCCAAAGTAGACATATATAATTGAGATGAGGGTACGCATTTGAATACAACAACATAAAAACTGTAAACGCTCTACGAGATAGCTACCGAAGCCGATCGAGTGAATTAATTCAACTATCTCAACTACCAAGATAGAGCATAACCTTCAGGGACGTACATCTTCTCAATGCTCTCTACACCGAGCGTAGTAGAGATCTCTATAGGCTGTTCGCCCTCGGGGCTTTTTCCAACACACGTTTATATCTATACACCCCAGCCAGCTGTGATACCAAAGACAGAATTGTGTTCTTCTATGATGACTTACACAACAACGTAGCGCCTATATCTATTCAGTGAAAGCGGACTTGCCGTAACTCTAGCATAAGCCAATTGGTGCCGAAATGGAGGATAATGGGATTTTCTCCCTCCCCCATTCTACCAAACCTTTTCTTCAGCTGCTTCCTTCACCTTAACCCTATAAAGCCAAAGTAGCAACAAAGACCAACGAAAAGTTCGTCAAACAACCCCCCACCCAGGTTTTTAACCAGCTAACCACCACTCGAGGAGCCTCAATCAATTACGTCGTTAATGAGGCCGATTTCCAAGTAAACGAATCCAACGCGCTCAAAACATTCGCAGGCTCGCATACCATGAGTGGAAACCGTGTTCGTGTTCAAGTTCGTCACATACTATCCCTTTGTCCCGATCTTCCTTTCCCCAATAGATATAGAGAACCAAATCATGGTACAACCTTAGCGACAATTCTGCGGAAATTGCCACAGGTAATTCTCCTTCCTTTTCTTCCCTGGTTTGTTCTCTTTTGTCTCGTATTGATTTGGATCTCCGACCAGCCCCGTTTCCACCAAGAGCCTAGAGTTTCCAGGAATAGTTTTGGTCGAAGCCGCGCTTTTTGACGATATCTCACCTCCGAGCCAGGAGATCTTCACCCATCGGAAACAGAAACCGATACAAGGGGCTAAGCAGGAATAGGGTAGGCGTTGACCTCTGGCCAGAGGTGTACGGGTGGGCAGAGAGCACATATTGGAGTAGATTTGATCATATGCAGAAAGGATACGGTGAGCCTAACAGAGTATATGTGAATAATTGTCTTCTTGAAGATGAAATTCTTGCTACACCTAAGATTTATGCACCTAATACAATACTCCATCATGAATGTAACAATCCAGTTGCTTCGGCAAAGCAAAACCTAATATATGTTCTCTTAATGATGATTTCCTTGAAAGATTCATGATAATTACTAATTCTACTAAGCATAGTTACCTTGTAAAATAACAAGTGTTGTGGGAAGAAGAAATTAACACAACACATGAAATCTAGAAGTTTAGACCTTTAAGTAAAGTAGCATCTTATACTAACCTTATGAGTGCTGTACCTTGAATAGGTCAAGATTTGTTGAGTTTATGAATTTCTTGTAGGATTTCTTGTAGAATCAAGCATATCTACAAGATCAACACAGATGTTAGGAACTCGGTTTTTATTTTTATTTTTTTTTTCTTCTTCTTCTTCTTTTTCAATCGAATGAGATATCATTCGGATTTCACATGTAGGGAACAAGGCAGGTCCTGGTGATCTTCCTGTCCATGTTGTATATCAGCGAAGAACGAGAGACATGAGCAGATTGAAGACATGGAGTTATGATGAAGAATTTACGTGACGATGAGAAGTACCACAAAGATATAGGCAGCGCAATGAACTTATTGCACATTGATAAAGAAGAAACAGCTCTATACTTTGCACTATCTGGAGCCTGGGTGTATTCCGGTCCCAGGTATAGAGAGATGTTAGAGCTTATCAAAGATTTGCCCATTCTATGCTCTTCCATGACGTTGTTCTTGTAATTCTGGACGATAATTCCGCAACTCCGAGAGCGGACTCTAGACCCTTCTTCTGACTCAGCGGTCTGCTTTCTCTCCTCGTAGCATCTTGACTGTCTGTTATCACGCACGGATATACATCTGACAACTCCGCCACCAGGGATACATACCAAATGGAAGCGCCTCCGCGGGTCCAAGGCGAGGTCGCCCGGGCCCTGACTCGTATTTCCCGCGCCTGTGAGTGCTGTCGGATGCGCAAGGTCCGCTGTGATGGCTCCCAGCCGTGTAATCGATGCTTCGAGCAGTCGCTCCCCTGTAGCTACCGGACTGGGAAACCCTGAACGCACGCCCGATTACCGTCCTGAAATTCCTTCCAGATTCAACAGAAAGCATGATACCTATGCCATCATTAATTTATCGTCATTGCCGCGTGGTGCAAAACAAGCCATATTGTAACCAAGACTCCAGGAGACATATACTCTTGGCAAGACTACATAGTAAGTGGAAATGAGCATTCGGATTCTATAAATGCAAAGATTAACAATAAGCATATAAGTGAATATACTGATTATAGTCCGAAACAAAGATCTCTGCGGTGTTGTGTAGTATGGCATCTAGGTCTTTGCCATGGTCTGTAAATGGAGCGATCTTCTTATCTTCTAACATTGTGGATGTTTATCGGATACTTTTCAGTTTTGACATGGCTGATTCTAATTCTACTTTGATTACTGGACTTTCTGGCCTTCATTGCATTCCTGCACTTCGTCGGTGAGTCAATTTTAAGTTCATATTCCACTTTCCAATATTGGATAGCAATTTTAGACAGACCTGGAGTAGTACAGCTGGTGTTGTTTGTTATGTCATAAGATTCATCACTTGAATCCTATATCTATGTGCAAAATCCCTGCTATGGATAAACCCGTAAACTAACTCTCTGCGGTCTATTGACTGCTAATCCGTCACTGTATATACCCTTATGGATGAAGCACATATCCCTATCTAAGAAGCGCCTTTCACCCCACCCCCCCAGAAAAAAACAAAAACTCAGATATACAACCTCGGAAACGCTCTCTTTTTATCCTCCGAATCAAGGAATATATCACATCTAAAACAGATCAACCATCATTTATTCCTGCACACCTTTCTCTTCATCTCTGCTCCCCTCAAACCTCTTCTCTCACAAACGCAACAACTATCAAACATACAGCCTTTGCAAGCCCAATTTAAGTCATTATGTTCTACAATATCCACATATAATTTTTTTTCTACTTCAATTTATTTCTCACTCAACAGTCTTTACAACGCCCAGCCCAATCACAATTGAATACTGCACAATAGTCAAAAGCGCGCGAGAAATGCAAATAATTTGGGAACGAGAATGCCATTGCTGATGTCTGTCATGGCTTGGGCGAAGATACAGAGCACAATATTGTATGCGAACCCGCTAATCAAGAACCAGATAGCCATCCAGATCTAACCCACAAAAAGGACATACTTGTAGCCCAGATGGTCTCCTAACCGTCCTGCTATTAGCAACGAAAACGCCACCGCAAAGCATGTATGCTGCGAGAAATCAAGACATTTGCCCATTGCTCGTGGCATTGAGAGAGTATCCGATCTTCTGTATGGAGAAGGCTGTGAGACTCAGCACTATGGCATCGATTATGCAAAAGGAAGAAAATAGTGGAAAGATTGGTCCAGAATTTGCGATTGTTCTATACGCCTCGGACGGAATTCTGGTCGTACAGGACAAGGATGGCAATCTTAGACGCTGCCTGATCAATCGCTTCACATTAGTGGATGATATTGGGACATTGACTCAGCTATTAGCCAATATCGTTGGAGATGTTCCCTGCAGCGCAGCAGGATCTATCCGAAGAAAAGACAGATCTCGAAGATTTTAGCTGTCAGAAGAGCCAAGCCACTGCAGAGGCCAATGAACTAACGAAAGCAGTAAGAAAACTGCTACTTCAACTGGTTGAACTTTAATAGATAGAGATGGTGCGACGACGGTGTAAGCGGGGTCTTGGCCTTTGTTTCAAGAAGAAAGAAACAACAGCCAATGCACGACGGAGTGTAGCTGTCGAGCGTTGCAGAGATCAAAAGTCATATTGCTCATTGGGGTATTATTCACAAGTAAAAACTGTAGCGATAACAAGATATTTTCAATCCATAAATAACCAGTCACCCAAACCAAAAGAACCAAAACGCCAAACCGTAATAATTCAACATCCCTTCTCAACTCCAGCGCTCCCTGAACAAAAGGAAACAAGACAAACCAGATCTACTGGGAAGATCCCGTGGGCTTAAGTGGCTTTGAAAAGTACCACTGAGCCAATGTCTTCAAGGCTGCCTCGTCTTTGGTACGAAGGTCATACAGCTTGGTAGGGCGTACCACGACAGTATGGCCATCCATGTAGGCTTCAATAACGCGAGCATGCTGAGGGCCCATGAATGAAAAGACGATAATCTATCATGTCGACGGTTGATACCTGAGCTCCTGGGCTGGGTGTGGGAAGTGGAAGGAGTACTCACGGGTGTTACCATATGATCGATGAAGCGGGCCCTTCGCATTTGGGCCATGATGAGACGTAAGGCGAAAAGCAGCTCGCCCTGGAGGATACTCCCATCATTGGCATTCAGGTCGTTGTAGATTGTGGCGTTCGCGTGTGAATAAGGTCCCTTTTGGACCTGTTCAACCCATGTTGGTCCAAACTCAGGATACTCATATCGATATAGGTTGACATAGGGGCCCTCACCAACGCTAACAGCTCGAGTCAGCATCAAATGGAAAGTCCATCACGTGGACATTAAGGCTTACTTCACTGAAGACCAGACGAGGTCTTCCTTAGGAATGTCATAGGAACAATGCCAGGCATAATGAGAGAAGTAATTGTCAATCGCGCGTGCGCAGATCTTCGGGTCATTCGAATCTTCGGGCAAAGAATCGAAGGTAACGTATTCCATGCCATATTTCCTGTCGTGATGCTCATCTGGATCAATCAAGAGGGATGCAGGCAGTGGAGCCAAGAAGGATGGCCTATTTTCGGAATTTTCATCCAGGACCATAGGCTCAAATCGAAGCTGGTCGATCTTCGAGGGTATTTTGATCTCATCAACGGGAGATAGGGAGGCAATATGGTTGATGAGGCTATGTAGGGCTTTGCGCATTTCCGTACGCTGAGGAAGCTCTGGGGGAACAGGAAGAGACATCTTGATGGAATAAATGTGATATCTGGGTTCGAGAAAGTGGTCAAAGGAGAGAAAGAGAAGGAAGTAGAGGTAGTAGGAATGGAGGCCTGTGTGTTTTTGCCGCCGGGGTCACGGGCGGTGGCCGCAATTTCAATAAGACGTCTGCCATATCCCAACACAGAGCTGTTCGATTACGTTCAACGCCATATGATCGGTGCGATCTCTGATTGGGATTGTCTCTTCCGCCAAGCGTTCCAACATATTAGACCGGGTGGTTGAACAACTGGCAGAAAAGACGGACAACGTGGGTTCTCAGGTGTACATGAAGAAGTGCTGAAAGCGCCCATTGGGCCCTGGCCCACGGACAGACGGCTTAAACGTATTGGTCAGTGGATGCAACTACATGCGACATATGTATCAGAACCATGACACTATCTGGTAGGTGGCGGTATTCGTGAAAATGACAAGAATCTCGTTCATGGGGACTCCGAGCTGTGATTGTCAGCTTTTACGTCTGCCAAGCAAGCATCAGAAACTACAGAATGCTACATCCAGAAATTAAAAGACAGATTGAAGCATATATTCACCATAGTAACCTATCAAATCAGATCATATCCCGTTGTAGCAGCCAACCACGACTTCTAGAACCCAAGCCACGAAATTGTATACTGGCTATTGTGCAACGCCTAAAGGCAACAAACACAACAGGGTCTAAGAGTAGACAACCAAAAAAAAAGGCGAAAAAAGAAAAGAAAATGTGACATTTGCTGAGTAACAGCTTGGACGCCGATGGGGAACTCATCTGAAGGACCCCCGGCCGGAACAACACAATCGATGCGCCATGTAAATAGACCAGACACATTCGCCAACTCCGCCGTCCGCCGAAAACCTGATTGTACAGACTAGGTAGGTATGACGATTATCGATATCGAAGCAGAAAACACACGACAGCGCCCAGAAGAAGAAGGGGAACGATTTCTCCCAAATTCTATGAACAACCCGTTTCCCGAATAACAGTCCTCCAATAATAGATGCCCCGGTCCTCAGAACTGAAGCGTTTCAAACAAATACAATGAGCTTTGCAAAAGGGGTAATCAAAAGAAACAGAAAGAAAAATGGTGGGAATGCAAGGAATGACAAGAAAGATAGCAATCTGAATATGGTATGAAGTTGAAGTGCGAAAAAGATACCCGCGTACCAGCCGTGAACGTCGTAAAAGGGAAGACAGTAAAAGCAAAGCCTTATTCTGTGGGGTGGATGAAATATAGAATGAGGCACATCGAAAACGTTTAGAACGTTTCGCCCAAGTCTTGGGCCTGGGGTTGCGGCTCGGATAGCGGCCCCATGTTGATTTTTCCCCGTTCCAGCCCGCTATTGGCCCGAAGGCTTCGAGGTGCTGGGATGGCGGAGATTCCACTGGGAGTGCGCTTCTTCAGCCCATTGATGCCATTCACCCCATTTACCCCGTTAATTCCATTCGTAGTAGGGGTGGTGGGGGAAGAGGAGAACGAGCCGAGACGGGTCTCGCGAGCCTCACTAATCTTAGCCCGCACAGACATGCGGAACGCCAGATCCTCGTCTTCGTCAATGTGAGCCATTCCGTTGACAGGAGCACCATGAGCCGACGGGTTGCTGAGGGAAGACCGAGGTCGCCGACTTTCCGTAGTCGGGTTGGTCGAATAATGTCCGAGCGGCGTCTTGGTGCGACTCTGGCGACTTTCGGGACGGTTGGACGGCGTGATACTTGGGTGGGTACTCTGGCTGAAAGAGCTAGAGTAGCTCGTGCGGCTACTAGGTCGGCTGTCGCCCTGAGTCCGAGCGCTAAGAGAAGGTCGATTGTGCGTCATATAGGACGAGGCGCTGTCGCCGTGAACCGAGGAGTTGAAGCTGCTGCCGCTCAATCGCTTGCGGGAGTTTCTGCGAGCCGTAATAGTAGAAGCGACGGGACTTTCGCCCACCACCGATCCCGAGCGCGACGAGGCCCGAGATGGGGAGCTTGAGGGTGGCGGTAGCTTGGATTTGGCCGATTGGACCCTCTCTTCCAGCTTTTGCATCTTGCCGATCAGGCCGCGGATCTGGCACAAAGATCCCGACTTGGGGAGTCCTCCAGCCGCCGATCGAGTGGCGGCCGTGTTCGCTTTCGGTAGACCGGGACGGGAGGTGATCGACGAGTTATTGCGGCCAGTGCTAAAAGCAAAGGAAGTTGCACGAGAGTGATTGGTATTGTGATGGCTGTTCGTGTTGCCGTTGTGATTGGAGTAAGAGTGAGAGTTGTATCTCTGCGTCCTGGATCCATGCAACGACCGAGACCCAAGTTCGGAAGCCGAAGCCCGTTGGAAAGGGAAGCCAGGTGTTGCAGTGATGGACTTGCGCATGCTGATGGACGACTCGGAAATGGGTGGCGAGGGGGGAGTCGCAGCGGCGGAGATCAGCGACGATTTCATCGGAGGCGTGGCAAACAAAGGCGAAGACACGATGGATGTCGACGGGGAGCGATCGAAGATCTCGGGAGTCTGCGGCGTGGACGGACTGCGGCCCAATGGAGCGGGTTTTCTGCGGCGGCCGCCATTCATGTCCATATTGCGGAGCTTCTCCTGGACGATTTCGGTTTCGATCCTCTGCTCCGATAGATCACTGAGGAGGCGTTGATTCTGAATACGGAGATCTTCTCGCTCCTGTTCTCCCGTCTTGATTTCCTCCTCCAGGAGGACTCCTCTTTCGATGGCCATGTTGTACTTGAACTCCAGATCCTCCAGGGATGAAGTGGTATGGCGAGCCTGGCGTTCGTAATCATCATTCGCAACTTCGATGTCTCGTAACTTCAGCTGAAGGGTTCGATTGACATCGCGCAACGAGGTGATTTCTTTCTGTAGGCGATTCTGGGCGGCGTCGCCCTCCGACTTGGACTGCTTGTATTTGGACTAGATATAAACAAATATTAGCCGAGATAGGTCTACGAGCGGCGCAATTTGCCCTGACAGAGCGAGACAAGAAATGAGGGTAAGGCGAAACATACCTTCCATTCCTCCACCTGATACTTCATGACATCCACCTTCTCCTTCAGTTGTCGCTCGCGCTTCTCCGATGCCTCGATGTCCTTTTCCAGCTCCGCCTCCAACTCCCGACTGGAGGCCTGGAACTCCGACAACTCCGATTCGAGTTGTTCATATTGCGCCTTGTAGTATGCCAGCTCTTCACGGCTCGAGCTGGTACCATTGGGTTTCGCGGAAGAGGACGAGACGTCGGCTGAGGGCATTGTTGCCGTGCCGGGCACCGACGCCGGCGAGGGAGAGAGACACGTTTGAGAGGACCACGTTGGGAGATCGTCACCGCCGGAAGAAGGGGGGAACTTTGCGCGCGCCGTCAACCTAATCCGCAGAAAGGGTTGAAAGCGTGACCCAGAGATTCCCCAGGAGAACTATCCACCGGGGATAGAGTTCAAGTAACCGTGCGTGAACAGGTGGTGGTCGTGGTGGAGGGGGGTGGAATCTCCCAAGGGGAGGCGGTGTCGCAGATAAGTCGGGATCGCGACGCAAGCGTGGACTTGAACCAGAGGACCAGGCCAAGGAGAACAAACAAAAAAGAAAAGGGAGAAAAAAGAAAGAGTAGAGGACTTTGAATAAGACCAATACTCTTTGCGATATGACTTACCTAGAGAGAGAACCAAACAGTCCCTCACAGAGGGGCCAGGATGGGTCAGTTGTTGTGGGATGTTGATGGGGGGGTGTGGAAGGAAGAGAGAGGGAGTAAGTTAGTGATGCAAACTATGATGGGCCGGTGTCCACGGGAACAAACAAGCAGCCTTGAACTTCAGGTACCTGACTGTGACTGTTACATACGGGAACAGGGCTGGGTTCGGGCAGGGCACTTAGGCACCAACCGTAAGACGATAGGCGGGACTCGTACCTCAGAGGTACCACTTTCCCTTACACCGTCGTCATAACGATATCCATACAGCTAAGCCCAACGGGGTCTAGTGACAGCTGACACACGGGCTCCTGGAGGCTCGTGCTCACCGCCTGCGCTGTGCGTCTTCCGAGGAGCCGCTGTGAGTGACTCGCCCGTCGTCCATGTTTGGCCTTCTCTGATCGTTGTCGGATCGCCTGTTCCTCCTGTAAGTTGATGCTTGTTTCCTGGTCCCCCTGTCAGTGCTCTTGCAGCCGTTTGTCTCCCGTTCCTTGGAAGTTCGCTCTCTGCGATCGTCTATCCTTCCCCTCCCCCTCCTCATCGTGGTTGGAGGGAGATCCGCCTTCCCGACGCTGGCTTGGGCGTCGCTGGTCTTCCTCCTATGTCCACGCACAATAGGATCCCCGGTTCACAGCACAATATTTGGGTTCTACAGTTTGGAAAGTAGATTGCTTCCACGCACTTATGGATCTTATGGATCTATACTGTCTTGGTGTTTGATGGATTCGATTGATTTATCCTCATTTTTCTACCTGCACCTGTCGCGATGACTTGGACTGAAGTCCCTCATGCTGATGCCCGATTCAGACCTCTTTTGTCTTTCCAAGTGGAGATCCACTCGACTTGATCGCAATGGCTGACCCCACCGATCTGAATCTCGATGCGCCGAGCGATCTTCAGGACATCCCGGAGATGTCCATGCAACTGATTCCCCCTCCGGAAGGGACGTATCCTGACAAGTAAGTTGCCTAGCTCGATTTCTTGGCGTGCCTGCCAGCTCCATTAAATCATATCTGTATTTAAGATGTTTTTCTCCACGAATTCATATGCTTCCACTGACCATAACATCAAGGGCATCTCTACTGGCAGCAGTCCAGACACACGGCAAAGCACATGGATATAATGTCGTCGTCAAATCTTCCAGTACCCCCACCGAAAAGAAACCGGGTCGCACGGCCAAAGTGTGGCTTCGATGCGATCGGGGTGGGCATTATCGTCCTCGGAACGGACTGACGGAAGAGACTCGAAAACGGCGGCGAACGTCCCGGCTGATGGACTGCCCGTTCATGCTAGTTGCAGCAGGAACTCCTGGCATTTGGACGTTGACCGTCTTGAATCCGACGCACAACCATGGTCCGGTGATTGAGAAGCCGCGGCAAGTTCCTCATCACAAGGTCCGGAAGGGTCAGATTGCCGCCGTACCTTATGACTGGCCACATGATGCCACTTTAACGCCATATACGACCGCCTTGGTGATTGTAGACATGCAGAAGGATTGTCAGTGCCCACTATCTTCATCGGTTGGATCATACTAACTCATCGCAGTCTGCTCGCCGGGTGGATACCTGGAATACCAGGGCTACGACATCTCAGCAACCCAGGCACTAATCGTCAAACTTCAGCATCTTTTATCAATATTCCGTGCGTCCGGGTTCCCGGTCTACCACACTCGCGAGGGTACGTTCCGCCTGTCTGACACCGAGAGCAACTGCTGACCCACTAGGCCACCGACCCGATCTTTCCACGCTTTCCAGCAGAGAAGCCTACCGATCACGAAACAATGCTTCCGGACTGGGAATCGGCTCGCCCGGCCCTCTCGGTCGTCTTCTCATCCGGGGAGAGGTTGGCCACGATACCGTCGACGAATTGTATCCGATTCCCGGGGAACCGGTCATCGACAAACCGGGACGGGGCGCATTCGCGCACACCGACTTTGAACTTCTGCTGCGAAATAAAGGCATCAAGAATCTAGTCATTGTCGGCGTTAGTACGGACGTTTGTGTTTCCACTACCATGCGAGAAGCGAACGACCGCGGCTTCGACTGTGTCGTTCTAGACGACGGCACGGCGGCCACCGATCCCAGCCTGCACGTCAGCACGATGGAGTCGGTGAAGATGGAGGGCGGGATCTTTGGCGCGGTGGCCAAGATGGAAGATGTGATTACAGCCGTGGAAAACTTTAAATCCGTCACTGTGAAGAAGCTGGCTCCGCAGATGACTGTTTAGTGACCTATCTTGTGAATTGGAATGAGCATATGGGACCCATGAAGTTATGGGCCGAGACGAGGCGAGACGAGAGAGGAAGCATGACTTTGGCATTGGACTTTATTGAGCAGACATATCTTTTGTTTTTCTTCGATTTCTTGTTTGATCTGCACATTCAGCGACTTGAAGGGAGTGATTAGAGCAGCGTTCATTTTATACTTTTTGAAGCCGTCATTTAATTGTCTAGACAATTAGCTAGTTAACGTTACTCAAGGACCTCGGACGCGACAAGACATTACGAGAATGAACGAAACGATCTTTGTTTATCATGTTTTACTTTATCTAGTCGAACAAGTAAATTGTAAAGTATTCTGAAGTAATGTACCAACCCAACGCCATACGCTCAAAGACAAGCAAACAATATGTATGCATATACAGCCTCTTTCCACCTGGCAATGTCCAACCCATCAATCTACACTCCATCATATCTGATCCCATCCTATCTCACTCAACCAACCCACCAAATAACTATCCCCCTTCACAGAACCCTAATTTTCTTTCCCTAAAAAAAAAGACAAGGAGAGGTAGGTAGGGAGACTAAAGCCACTTCCTCCCAGCCCCCACAACCCTCCCCCTGAAAACAGGCGACTTAATCTCCCCTCCCTGCCGATAAAACGGACTCATAACCGTCTTCACATAATTCTCATACACCTCGTTCATGAACTGGCGCACGGCCTCCTCGGTCTGCGGGGACGTCGGGTTCGCAGCGATGCTGGAGGCCGAGGCCCGCGAGGAGGTTCCGCTGCCGATGCCGGAGGAGGAGAACGAGGAGCCGAGGAGGGAGGAGGAGGTGTTGTTGGTGCTGGAGCCGCCGGGGCCGGAGGTGGAGGGGAGTTGGGGCGGTTGGTGTAGGAGGAGGAAGCGGGCGCCGGAGGGGGTTAGGAAGGCGGTTATGTAGGCGCTGGAGGGGGGGTAGGTGTCGATGTGTTTTAGGTACCTATTTTGTTGGGGACGGTTAGATTTGGAGTGTGGAGCGTGGATTGGAGTGGTAGATTTTTCAGGTGGAAGGGGGAGAGTGTGGAGGGAAGAGGGGGAGGTATGTATGTAAAGACGTACATGTTCGCGTTCATCCACTGCGCCTCCTCCAGTATATCCAGACTAGAGTGGATGATGAACTGGTTCATGTACTGCGCTGTATCTGGGAATCGGAAGCGCGCGATCCCGTCGCCGCCACTCTTGGAGGTGCCGAAGGCGAGGTTGAAGAGCGGGACGTCGGTGGGGGAGAGGATGGTGAAGTAGTAGGACATTGTTGGTGTTCTGCCTGATCTAGGCCGTGCTTTCTGCTCTGCTCGATTCTGGTTCGGTGTGATGTGGTTCTGCCAGGATTCGGTAGTCGATAAGGGGGTCGAATGTGGAGAAGAGTTGGTGTTGTGGTGCGATTAACGCAGGAGGAGAGTGAGGCCGTGTTGTATGTTGTCGGAGTATGTATCCTCTACTCCAGATTGTCTCCGGAGATATTCGATGTTTGGTTTGTTTGGACAGTTTGCATAGAGATGCGCTGTATCACGTGGCGATAAGATAATGGCAGCTCCTCTGCTCTCGAACCGCATCTTTCTCCGTCCGTCTGCCGTGGACCATCTACTGTACAACCATTCACCTCTCACCACCTCCTTACCCACGCATTCAACCCTCCCATCAAACTCCCCTTGATTGACAAACTATGCCCCCGCCAAAATCCACCTACGGCCTCAACCTCCCCAACAAAAAACCCCCCGGCGCACTCGGCCAAAAGCGCAAGAAGACAATTTTCGACGACTCCGACTCCGACGAGACAACGCAAAACCAAGATGGCGCGATAGAAATCGGCACAATCGGGGGCCTCGACGATGAGCCAGCCCCCACAAAACCAGCCCCATCAGGACTAAGCATCAAACCCAAATCCAGCACATCCTCGCAACCACCACCGCCGAAACGAAAAGTACCGTTCAATGGCGCCAGCGGGAGCGGAAAACCGAACGTGAAGCCTCTCAGCAAAAAGTCGATATTTGCGGACGACGACGACGAAGATGAAGACGGTGGGAATGATGAGGAACAATTAGGGATTGGCGGACCGGGAAGCGGATCATATGGCTTGAACACCGCGAAAGGACAGACCCAGAAAAATGACACAAAGGCCTACACGAACCTATCGGCCCTTCACAGCAGTCGCAAACACGCCCAGGAAGCCTCAGAGCTCGATCCCTCGATATACTCCTACGACGCCGTGTACGAGAGCCTCCACGCCAAGCCGGAGAAGAGCAAAGCCGCGGAGCAAGGATCCGGCGACGTACCGCGGTACATGACGAGTTTGCTGCGCAGCGCGGAGATCCGTAAGCGGGATCAGCTACGGGCTCGGGACCGATTGCTCGCGAAGGAGCGCGAGGCCGAGGGCGACGAGTTCGCGGACAAGGAGAAGTTCGTGACGTCGGCGTATAAGGCGCAGCAGGAGGAACTGCGGAAGGTGGAGGAGGAGGAAGCGGAGCGGGAGAGACAGGAGGAGGAACGACGGAGGCAGAACGGTGGGTCCGGCATGATTGGGTTCTATCGGGATGTGTTGTCACGGGGCGAAGAGCGGCACGAGGCCGCCGTGAAGGCGGCGGAGGAGACGGCTCGGAAGGTGCAGGCGGGTGAGGTGCCGGCAGAGACGGAGACTGAGAGCAAGGAGAAGACGGAGGCGCAGAAGGCGGCTGAGCTGAATGAACGGGGCGCGCGCATCGCGGTGAACGAGGAGGGCCAGGTGGTTGATAAGCGACAGTTGCTATCTGCCGGTCTGAACGTGGCGCCGAAACCGAAGGTGCAGGGCGAGGCTGCCGCCGCGAAGACGGCTCGTCCGGCGGCTCGACCAAGATTCGACTCCGGCCAGCAGTCGGGCGGCCGGGCTGGTCAGCGCGCGCGCCAGACGGAGATGATCGCCGCGCAACTGGAGGCGCAGGCCCGGCAGGAAGAAGAGGCCGAGGCGGCCAGACAGAAGGAAATCGCCGAGCGCAGCCGCAGCCAGAAGACGGCGACCGACGTTTCGAGTGCCAAGGAGCGATACCTGGCGAGAAAGAGGGAACGAGAGGCGGCCGCCAAAGGGGGCGCATCTTCATGATCTACTTGTTTCAACAGGTGGTTTCAGTTACTGCATTTGGTGTGCGGCGCTCTGTTCAGGGTGTACCATATGAAAATACCAGGAGACGGCTCAGAACAGCCCAATTGAGCAAATATAGTAATATGTATATAGACCAGTCTAACACAAGATATTGGCTGCTGAAAATAATTGATCATGGCGATTCTAGTGACAGTGGTATTTCCCCGAAAGCAGTCGTGACTCGTTGGAAGAATATAGTAATAAAAACTCCTCAGAATGCTACCGTTTTTCCTTGGCGAATTCTATGTCGGCCTGCGAGCTATTCCAATCGCACAGAAGTGAATAAGCAAAAGAGAGAAAAAAAAAAAAACATATACCCAATGAAACGCCGCACGATCCCAGGTAGTAAAAGTCTATGCGGTCAAGGCGAAACTGAGGCCCATGAGACCCATCCCTCCGATGGCAAATCCGATGCACATTTCGCGACGATGAGTTAACGCGAGACCTTCGCTGAATAATTGCAAGGCTACCGAGGTCATGACACCGGCCGTCGCCGCAAACATGCCTCCGTACACCCCCCAGGATGGACCGGAGCCGTCGTCACCGGGCCCGCCAGTATGACGAGAACCCCAAATCCAAAGCGCGGCGAGCGCAGCGCCGGCTGGCTGACTGATGCCGCCGAGAAGACTAGACCAAAACATGGCCTTTCCTCGCGAGTGAAGAGCAAGGTACAGCGGCAACGCCATGGCAAACCCTTCGCTGATGTTATGGATGAAGAGGGCGAGAAACACCGTGAGACCAAGAGAGGGACTGGCATGGTTGGTGGCATACGTGATAAAGCCCTCGGGTAGTTTATGCAAGGCAATGGCCACCGACGTCTGGAGACCGATGGAGAGGAATGCGTTCTGGGGCACGTGGTGATGGTGCTGACCGCTTCCGACCGGCTGCGACTTGACGGCGTCCTCTGCGTCTGCGTCACCTTCGGGAAACCCGGTATGCGAGGAAGACGACGAAGCCGTGTTAGCCTTGTGCTTCGGCATCTGTTGCGAGTCCGGTAGATCGGTGGCTGCAAAAACCAATCGTTCCGCATCTTGCTGCACGGGAACGGAGACGGAGCGCGGGATGGCGGGGCGGAGGCCTTCGTCGCCCGGACCAACAAGAGTTTTCGAGCATTCATGCCCACAAGCTTGCGAGATCCCATAACACGGACCATACTCATCGCATTGTGCCTTGACACCACCCACCAGGCGACTTACGCGCCGGACCAGCCGGCCGCGCCACGATTCACGGAACACGGTTCGCTCGGCCTCTTCCTCGGAGCGAGCTAGCGGGACAATGGTCGTATTTTTGTGCGGTCGAGTCAGCAGAGGTGTACGTTCCGTTGACCCTTCGGTTGTTCCCGGAGGATGTGAGTGACCTTCGTGGTGGTCATGGTGACCATGTTCGAGATCGGAAGCGGGGTGTGGCTCGTGGGAGTGGGCACAATCCACGACGTGGGAGGGAATATAATGATGGAGGAAGGCCGAAAGAAAGCGGATTATGATGACACCGGCCAGGAAGAGACCAATCAACGTATATGCGGCGGGCGAGGGAGCCAATCCGGCACGCGTCAGGTATTTGAGGGAGGTGGGAAGCATGCTATAAAGAGAGGTAAAGAGCTGGGGCGATTATTAGCGGCTTGCATCGATCAGACTAGAAGCTCGAATTAGGGGCGGTACCATGACGCCGGCACTGAGACCCAGCGAAGCCGATAAAAAACCATTGTGGCTCACAATCTGGAAGTTCTTGCGGTGAGAGAAATGGCGGAGAATTACATCGATACATATGACGGAGGAACCTAGAACGCAAGCTGGAATGTGAGTTAGCATGGTGGCGCCGGAACTGGCATTGAGTGAGGAAGACTGACCAACGCCGGAGACGGCGCTCATAACCCAGCCCCGGAGATCATTGCTGGCTGCCATGATAGAAGGGGAAAGTGGGAGAGGTGGAGAAGAGAGAGGAAGAGAGAGAGAGGACCGGGGGAGCCGCGAAGGAGATAAGCGGCGAGAAGGAAAAGGCGGAGAAGAAAGGCGTGAGAACCTTGGGGGAAAATCCCATGATCTCATGAGTGGAGCGTCTCGGCGGGCATCTCAGACTAGCTGGGATGCTTTAGAACATCTCCCTTTCTGCATAGGTTCATTGAACATTGATCGATTGTGAATCACAGTCAAAGGATCATGATACCCTTGGTCTTGTCTTGGCCATGTCTTTGTTTCTCATGTTGTGGAAATGCCTGCCTTCTGACTGGTCGACGGCCAACTGCAGCCCTAAGTATGGAGTGCCCCGAAGGGACTCAATAGTCAATACTGAACATTTGGATATGGGGAGTTCTCCGTACCTACACCGAGGTACATCCCAGTTCAGTCATGGCGTCAATTGACTTATCGCTGGATTTAGTGACCTCTGGATATGTAAAAGTTGAAGGCGTCTGGATGCCTGAGGCAAGATGCCAAGCATTTCGCCGTTTGCTTATTCTAAGGATGGAGGTCTCGATTCTTCCTATCAATCAATTAATCAGTCCAGTATTGATCAGAACATTCTTCCCTCCGAGTTCGCTCAGGCGGGAGACTTTCTAGTTTATACTGTCCAATTGGCCATGGAGGGCCAGACGGTGCAACAATGCCAAGAATACTGATCATCTGAATGGCTCAGCTGCACAGGTCACCAGATGATATTTACGTTCCATGATTGGAATTCTGGCTAGAGAGTGGTTATATATTGCCCAGCCTCGAACCTGATTGATCTTTTACATCGGGATGGAAGAATTCTCCATGATCTCAGGCTGTATACTTCTTCAAGTGGAGTGGAGTTCGGATCCGGTCACCTGATTGGACGAGCCTCGGAGTTGCTCTGTTTGGCATTTCTTTCTTTTTATTCTCTTCTGCTTCTTCAACCTCCCTCATCTCCACTTCCTCTCTTCTCTCCGCCTCTCCGCCTCTCCTCCCCTCCCTTCCTCCTACTCCTCTCTCATTCTCCTTCGCCATGTCCAAGGCCACCTTCGCCGCCATCGCTGCGGCCAGTGCGGCCACAGGAGCTGGCTTGACAGCCCTGGTCTATTCCGCTCGCCCTCAACCCCCTCAACCTCAACAGCAACATCAGCAACAACTCCCTCCGCCAACTCCTCTCACTTCTACGAGAACCCCCGCCTCGCAACCTGCGCCGCCTTCTCTCGCTCCTAAACCCTCCGGCGGCTCCCCCGTCGACCCGTCCGGCATCTACCAATATGGCTTCCCCGGCCCGGTAGCCGACACCCTCATATCACTCACGCTGGCCGGCGCCTACGACCGTCGCACGCGCAATCCCTCCTGGGTCGCTGAACACATCACGCCCGCATCGCTCGCTCTCAAGAATGCGGATCGCAAGCACAGCACCTTCTACGAAGATACCACCATCCCGGCCGCTTTCCGCGCGAAACTGTCCGACTACTTCCGTTCCGGCTACGATCGAGGACACCAGGTGCCCGCCGCTGATGCCAAATGGTCGCAGGGTGCTATGGACGCCACGTTTGCTCTGACCAACATGTGCCCGCAGGTCGGCGAGGGATTCAACCGCGACTACTGGGCTCACTTCGAGGACTTCTGCCGTAATTTGGCCAAGAAGTACCCGTCCGTGCGCGTCGTGACCGGCCCTCTGTATCTGCCCCAGCGTGACGCCGACGGCAAGTGGCGCGTTTCTTATGAAGTCATTGGCTCTCCGCCCAATGTGGCCGTGCCCACGCACTTCTACAAGGTGATCTACGCAGAGGAGGGTCCGGCTTCGGCCGCCGGAAAGGTTGCGCTGGGTGCGTTTGTCTTGCCGAATGCTCGCATTCCCAATGAGAAGCGATTGGCCGAGTTCGAGGTGCCGTTGGAGGCCGTGGAGCGCGCGAGTGGACTGGAGTTTGCAGCCAAGCTGGAGCCTAGCCGTCGGAAGAAGCTGTGCCAGGAGGTGAAGTGCGAGGTGACTATTCGGGAGTTCAACAATGCTTCCAAGCGGAACTAAATAGTTGTGAGAGGGTTGGAGTAGTCTGGGGGGAGGAACGAGGGCATCTGCTTATGATGGACGGGCCTTCGTTTCGGGGTTTTAACTTTCGTTCGGTTTATATTTTTATCCGTCGTGGCGTTTGTAGACTCGCTTGCGTCAGACATTGTACCTATACATAACTGTTTCTATAGACTTGGCTTTGCCATCCATATCTTCTACACACTTTCCATAAGGTCTCCGAGTTCAACATTGGAACGCAACGCCCGTCTTGGTTGCAACGTTTCCTCCACGCCCAGCAAAACCCGTTCCCTCCGAGCTCACCTCCACCAAACCAGGGCGGATGCCTTCCTTATCTTTCTTCTTCTTCTTCCCCGTCCCGGATTCGTCTTTCCCTTTCGATTCCGTGACGTCCGTTTCACAGACGTAGCAAAGAATCCGCCCATGAAGCGCGGCAGTCTGCTCCTGTTCTTCCTTCGTAGCATGGGGATCCGGCGCATCGTGAGGTGTCATGAATTTCGTGACGCACGGTTGACAAATAACATGACCGCAGGGTTTCGTTACTGTTTAATGGTCAGTGAATGATCCTTATCTCGCAAAGGAGTACCGATAGAACATACGCATCGCCTTCAATCCATTCGTAAGCGTCTTCTTGCAGCTCGGACATACACGGGCTAACGTGCCGTCGTCCGTTTTCTCTTCCGTGAAGTGCACGTCGACCAGCGACTTGAGCGAATAGGCGTGGCGGTTGGAGTCCGTCGACGCCGGACAGATCGGGGTCAGTTTGACGGCTTTATTGGCGGCGATTTCGTTGGGATCCGTCGTCGGCGTTAACGAGGGAACCCAGAAGGAGGGCAATGCCGATTTACTCGTTTCCGACTGTATTCAAGCCGTCCGTTAGCCAACACATCCAGCAGCCAGGCCAGCTCTCAGATCGAGAGAGTTAGACCAGGCCTGTTATATCAAAGACCAACCTTCTCTTTCTTCAACTCCTCCTTCAACCGCTCCTGTTCCTCCCTCGCAACCCTCGCCATCTCCTTCTCATCCAACTCGAACACCTTCTTCCGCTTTCCATCCACCTCGACCTCGCGCGCCTTGAACGCAGCAACCGCCCGCTCCGCCTCCTCTGCCTTCCTCTTCTTCCCCGCCCCATCTTTATCTCTCTCCGTCCCCGTCCCAGGGCCCTTCTTCCCCGCCTCCAGGCCCATACTAACAAGTTCGAAGTCTCGCAGATCGCGCTCTTTGGCCTCCTCAAGCGTGCGCTCCTCGTCCTCCGCTAGCCGTTTCTTCGCGTCGTCGCGCTGCTTCTCGAGTCGTTTGATCTCCTGCCGTTGCGCGAGGAGGTCGTTGATGGCGCATTCGCGACAGAAGAGGTCGCCGTTCGTGGCGCACGCGACGACGGGGGCGCGCGCCGGGTGCAGACACAGTCGGCACGAGGCGAAGGGGAGGAACGAGTCGCGGCCGATGACGCCGCGTTGTGTGCCCCATGATGCGCGTAGGAGGCCGCGCTCGTAGGAGGTGAAGTGTGGGAGGGAGGTGTTGCGTTTGGAGTGGGCCATTCTTTTAGGTGAGGTTGGGTTTATGGCATGGATGGTCGGTTGGGTAGGTTTATAGAAATGGAAGGGGTTTTATCTGAGGATTTAGAGAGTTGGGAGTGAGGAATTGCAGAAAATGGATTGCATTGAAGCGTGTTAGGAAGTAAGGTAAACTCGAAGGACTCGAGATTCGGCGTTGGAGAAAATGTTGGAATGACATAATCATCTCCGCCTTTCTTTCTCCGTTCGTCCTCTTGTCTACTTTCTACTTCATTATTCTACGGCTGGACAGCCAAACCAATTATTATCAAAATGTAAAACTGACAGAGTTATACATCATCGGCAATGCGGAACACTCATGGTGAAGCTCATGGGGCTCATCTCATCGCGAGGTAGAGAGTCACTGGCAAGATCAACTAATTAATTGCCTTTAGTTTCATCGGTCTCGATCGGAGCCTTCTTGCCCTTGCTCTTCTTCTTACTCTTCTTCTTCTTCTTCTTCTTCTTCTGCATCTTGCGTTCTTGATTATAGGGCGTTATGGTTTGATACCGAACCCGTATCCGATACTTCGTCCATATTCCAACTGTCATCTAGTGATTCCAGTCCCATGGCGCCGGTATCATATTTTGACCGTTCGGAAACCAAATGAGGGCGGTCTTCCGCAAAGCTCAGATACAGCTGCCTCATTTCTTCATCGAACTTCCGGCAGTTCCGGGGATCCTCGGAAGGCGCCTTGAATTGTTCCTCGAGCAGCTTTATCACCTCAGTTACTCTCTCATTCCGCTTGGTACCCATGGCCGTCTCAGGGGACCGGAGATACGTTTCTGGGAAAGCTTCCCAATTGTGGTCCTCGCATGTCTCATCAGAATCCTCGTCAGGACTCACAAAGAAGGTGGCCTTACCTACCCTCGGTCCGATTCGCGCCTTCATGGTGCCGGTGAGGCGGTGATATTGTCCCACGCGCAGGTATTCGTCTGGCTCGGCGACGACCATGAATAGAATGTCGAGGTTCTCGGACAAGGAGATGCCTTCGTCCTCGGATGACAGGCCCCAGGATGAGGCCCCGTATCCTGGCATTTCCTCAAGGTGATGTCGCCAGCGAGTATACCATCGCCGAAACGGATCTTGAGCAGGGCGCAGGGCTCGAATTATTGTCATCGCTTTGTTTAGAAAGACGGTGGCGCGTGCAATGTCTGAATGGAACCCGGCAACTACAGCACAGTGCGCCCAGACCTGCGCGATGTAGGCGTCACGGTTTCGAATCAAGTCTAGATTGATCATAAGATCGCGCACCGCTTGGAATAACACTGCTGGCCGCTGCTTGATGATTCGAGGACAACTCAACAGAATATCAACATCTTGCTGCAACTCATACGTCATTTCGACTATGTGGGCCGGGTGCGAACACCAGTAACAGGCGCAGGAGAATGGGCCAGCCACACCAGCCGTCAAATTTCTCTGCATCTGCGCGCCTCGAATCCGGAAGTAGGAAATGGTAAGTTCTTCGTCTTTGGCAATGTCTCTGAGGGCTTTCACCACAACACATGTCACCACCGGTTCTTCTGGCATCAAAAAGTCGCCCCCTTTTGCCACAGCTGCCTTCTCGCTGCCTCGATAAGGATACCTTTTGACCAGAGTCAGTGTACAATTTGGCAGGCACGAATGATTCAACCACGCAAGCTTCAGCCCCAACAAGCCTGCAAGCTGGTCATCCACCTTCGCCCACATCTGGTGCTTGTACCAGATATGTGTATGCACTCCTCCGGCTCTTTGTCCTATCTCTGCATCCTCATCGACATGATCACTAGGCTCATAGCCGGCACCCATCTCGAGGAACTTGGAATACCATTCGGGACCCATGTCTTTGGTCAACCGATTCAGCACTCCTTCGACATCTTTGAGGTCTCGGTTCGTCATTGATTCCTTGGTGTCCATGCACAATACCTTTTCGGAGAACACGACGCTGCCCGAAGGGATGGCTTTTCTCGCGATCAACCCCATTCCGGTATTGTTCATACTAGGTCCCTTCTCGATATCTTCCTCGAATGTAGGGACACGCACTTGTCTATCGCGGCTTAGGAGCTGCTCGAATTCGGTCTCAGGATTGGAGGGCATCGTGCGAAGAGGACATGTGCATGGAGCCTTGCAGCGACGACGCAAAGGTAGGTGCTTCTTTTTGATTGGGGAAGTTCCTTTAGGGGGCAGATTAGAAGCAGAGGAGCTGCTTGCGGGAGCCGAGTCCATTTTGGCTGAGGCTTGAGTCGAGGTATGTATGTTTGTTGAGGGATGTTCAATACCCCAGAGAGCCGTTCCAGTGGTATTCCCTTCAGTGGAGAACAAAGTACTTCTGACAAAGGTACACTCGTGAGAAAGGAAAGAAATCGATATGGCGAGGACAGTGGAGGTAGTCCTTTGTAATGGCCATATGATGGTTAAATGCATGATGAGAGCTTTGTGCAAAGTGGTTTCTTTTAAGCACGTTACGACTATTCATTATCCTGGATAATCACGGTATGCCTCAGAATAACGAGAATTTTGACGGGACCTTCCGCCTCAGAAATCCTAGCCTTCCATGGCTTCACATCTACTTTCAAGTGCGATCATCTTGAATGCGCCAGATCAGGTCTTCACTAATACTCTTAATATGACCCAGTCATATTATCACTTTCAAATCCAGAACAGTTCATTTCCACGTCATCTTCCCCTCCAATCTGGAAACTAGTTCGAGAAGCACACCCATTACACATGCAGCCTGCAGCTTGCAAAGAGACTTCAGTTCCCACTATCCGATGACTTCTCGCCAACAACATCATCACCACCATCTTTCCTCACAGTAACAGAAACAGTATCACTCTCAGCACCCACCTCATCCACCACAGCAGTAGCAGCGACCTCACCACCAACCTCACCCTCACCCACATCCTCATCTTCAACCAACTTCCCCACAAACTCCACCACCTCCCTAGGCAAACCCTCATTATCATCACCAAACACATCCCCCTCATCCTCACCCGCTCCAGAACCTTCCATGAAACTCACCCTCTTCTCACGTGCAGAAGGGCTCTTCGACGGCGCCGCGTATCGTCTCTTCAAAATCCCCTTCAACGGCGACTCACCGCCGGAGTGCACGTGCGAATCAATCGAGGAGTTGAAGCCGGAACCGAATGACGCACGACGATACGCCGCATCGAGGTCCTCAGAGCGGAACGGGTAGGAGGTACTTTTCTGTACCGAAGCAGAAGTCTTCGCCTGTCTTTGAGAAGGCAAAGACGCAGACGCAGACACAGACGACCCAACCACCCCAGCCGAAGCCGAAGCCGAAGCCAAACCCAACACCGAAGAAGAGAAACCCACAACAGCAGCACCAGAACCCGTATGCCTCTGCGTCGCAAAGAAAAACGGATCCCGACCAAACGCAGACCCCTCCCTCTCACTTCGACGAAAAGGAAGCCTCCTCCTGATCAACTCCTCCTCCGACGTTTCAGATTCCGACTCCCTTTCAGACTCCGATTCCTCCTCCTCCGAAACCCCCAACGCCGCATCCCTAATTGCAGCGACATACCTCGACGATCCAACACCCCCGTGGATCTGGCTCTGCACGAGATGGCGATTCTGAGGCAGCGCGGCGTCTTCGGAGGTGCTTGCGTCGTAGAACGAGAGGGAGCGTTGTCGGGGACGGTAGAAGGGGTTGATGGGTTGGAGGGGGGCGGTTATGCTTGCACTTGTAGCTGCACTTGCGATGGAGGTGGGAGTTGCGGTTGCGGTTGAGGGAATGGGGTTTGTGGCGATGGTAATAGGAGTGGGGGTGTTGGTAGTGGTGTGTGAGGTAGATGTAGAAGTAGAAGTAGCAGGGAGACGGGAACGGACACGAACAGGGACAGAAACTGTTGGCAAAGACGAGAAAACATCACTCTCTGACATGCTAGGTGTAGAAGTAGAAGTAGACGAAACGAATGTAAACCTTGCGGTCGGGGTAGTCGTAGACATTGACGCAGACGCAGGAGTAGCAGCACGAGCAGGCGCACTCGAAGCAACAACAGAACCTCCTCTCTCTGATGATCCAATAGACGCGAAAAAAGGTGCAGAAGCAGAAGAAACAGAAGAAGTAAAAAACGGCAACGACAATAAACTAGTAGCAATAGGCGCACTTGAAGACGATACAGCACCGCTGATGGTTGTTGGCCCAGTAGATGGAGCAGCAACAGCAACAACAGCAGGAGCATCAGCAGCAGTAGCACCTAAAGACTCTGACGCCGCAGCTGAGGACGATGCCGATGTCAATGTCAATGTCGATTCCGACGCTGGCATAGACTCGATCTCAGGAATCGTGACAGCTCTCGACTCAGAGGCATAGTTCAATGCAGCCATGATACCGGCCGCGGCGGTGTGTGGAGGCGTGGTTCGATCTTCGGGGTTGGGGGGTTGTTGACCAGCTAGAATATAGGGATGGTTAGCTTTGATATATACCTAATGTTGATATCTCTTTGGGAATTTGATGTCCAGCATGTGGGTGTCATGCAGGTAGGTAGTATGTATTTTGCTCATGTACTGAACAGGAAAAGGGAAGAGCATCAAAGCATCAAAACAAGAAGCCCAGAAGACGAAAACAAAACACACAGAATCATTATATAATAGACAGATCACATTCAAAAGAGCACAACAGACATACAAAAAAGCACACAAGCACACAAACGTGCGAGAAAATGAAGCAAAACAAAGGAGATGGTGATGGACTCACGTGACGGTCTGAGACCTAACGACGAGAGCACCCGGCGACTCTGGCGGCGAGCCGGCTCCCATTTTCTGGGCTTATCAGTCATTGCTTTTTTGGATTTGATGTTTTTCTGTGTAGCTGATTAGATTAGTAGCTTGTTAGCTTTGAATGGCAGACGTTCTAAGTAAAATTGAGAGAAAATGAGTGAGTGAGTGGGTTGTTGGTCGGATGAGTTAGACACAGCTTCCTTCATCACCGGTTCGGAGTCACAACAACACCACAATTCACAGAAAAGCAGAGCACAAAGAAATCATGCACAGTATAGAAGTGAGAAACTGTAGAGTATAATATCAACCAGACACTTACCAGATTGAATAACAAAAGGGACTGGAGGAAGAGTGGTGTTCATGCGCACGAGAAGGCGAAAGAGGACGTGTAAAGGAAAGATAGTCAAGAAGGGAAGAATAGAAAGGGGAAAGGGTAGGAGAAAAAAGATAAACACAGCACATCACACCTGAGAATATTGCATGGGATTGGGTGAACGGCTTTCTCGGCGTCGACTGCCTGCGTGTTGTACTGCGGTGCCTAAACGACTAAGCCATTAAGTGTTGTGCTTGTTCAAGGATAGCAGTGAGCAAAATGCAGGGGGGATTAGCCGCAGCACACTAGATCTGATATCGGTTATTACATATTGTACATATTTAGAGTGCCTAGATAGGAAAATTTCAATACTTCGAAAATGTACCAGACAATCAAATGGTATTAGATTTAAGATGTCCAGGTGAACAAGAGACAAGCCCTACAGTAAAGTATCATTTTTGCATATCCTTACGCTGCACTTTCCCAGGGCTGGTCATATGAGCATTTTAATAATTCAAGAATAATCAGACAATTCAATAGCAAAAGCAGTCGACAGACATATGTCGGAATAAAAGTCAGCTCTTTAGGTACAAGATACCAGCATTAGTAGTCAGCTAGAGCATCGCAAACTTTGAAAAGAAAGACCAAAAGCTTGCGTACAACTAGCATAGTTCTTTGTGTCTTCTATAATCATCGAGCCTCGACCTTTCTACCCCTGAACAGGCCCTTTTGCCACCAAGACCGTCATGGTGTCATTACATTTTATCGAAGGAGCTCACGGTTCTAGAGTAACTCAATCATCTCGCTCCTAATTACTCTTCTCCCTGGACCCTCCAGACATGACCAGCCATTCCCTACCCGACACGATTCCGCGTTTAGACGTAAAATGAGGCGCATGAAAAGACGCCAGCTGGAAGCGGACTTCGATAGACGACACAGCCCGTCGGTCGAGGAGCTGCAAAACCTAGGTACAGAGTAGAATTGTCAGTTGCAGAGCGCATCGCGCGGCCAGGTTCGTCGTGCCTTCTATTCTGGTGGTTAGAAACGGTAACAAGGGGGAAACCGGGAAGCCCAATGATAGCCCGAGAGGAAGCATTCAAGAATGTAGCCAAACATCTCTCTATTTTCAAATTAAAATTCTATGTATTAAAAACCCATACAAATACAAAGTAGAAATGAACCCCCCCAAACCCTGACCTACCGCTCAGTCCTCATCCCCCTCCCTATCATCTCTAATAACCTCACCCCCAGAGCTCAAAAACCGCCATCCCGTTCTCAGTATCCAAGAAAGCCAAACGAGATTCAACCCCTGCAACGCAGCCAACAACACAAACGTAATGACCTGGCTAATCCGGCATTTATACTCCTGCCGCTCCCAATTGAGACCCCATGGTCCTGTGGTTTGGAAGTCCGTGAGAAGGGAGTATAGTGCGCGTAGATTAGTCACGTGGCGCGTTTGGATCCAGACGAGCGTGAAGAGGATGAAGTAGGGGATTTGGAGGGGGTTGTTGAGGTAGTTGAGGAGTTTGGAGGTCTGGGTTTGGGGTATTCGTTAGCTTCATTGGATTTCGCTTTTGTGTTCGGTTGAGACTTGCGGATGAGAGTTGATGTTGGGGTAGTGCCAAAAGGATAGGCATCATGCGAAACAAGGCAGACTCACAGCAAGGAAAAAGTCACTCCCATCATGAGTCACAAACACCAGCAACCCGAGATACGTAAAATGGAACCGCCAACTCAACGCAATCAACCCCACCGTGACGAAATGATGCATCACCAATTCCTTGAAATCCCGTCGAGGGACCTCCAGCCCCAACACCAGCACGAGCATTTGCTGGGCCCAGAAGCTCGCCTGGAGGAGGTAGTACGCTTTGAAGAGAAGTGAGTGCGTGAGGTGCGGATAGTCCTGATACATGATTTCGGTATTCAGGCGCATGTTCATGATGGCGGATGGCAAGGACTGGAGAGTAGGCGTGAACAGGAGGCTTAGGATCCCGGTGTCGATGAGAAGGTACATGCCGAGTAGAGTCGAGACGAACGTGTATAAGGCTGTGTAGAGCTGTTCGCTGAACCGGGCCTGTTTGCTAGGCGAGGCGATCCCTGCGCGTTCGGCTAGGAGAGGGAGGAGAGATGAGATGAGGAGTTCGCGGGTAAAGGTGAAGACGATGGTGTAGAAGGACACGAATATGATGTCTGTGGAGCCTTTGGCATATTGGATCTGGCTGTCCCAGGAGTGGATAGACTCTGAATGTTCCGGTGCAGTGCTTGGAACCATATAGGAGGGGAAGAGACATGCGTGCAGAGGATTACTCTGCGTAGGGTTGAGACGGTAGAGGGATACAATTGCCAGACAGAGGCACAGGGGACTGAGCCAGGTATGTTGGAGGGACGTTTCCTTCCATTTGCGGAGATATGGTGAGATCGATTGGAAAGGAGATAATGGCTAATCGATGATCTGGTTAGAAATGTTCTCAAGCAATTTGGACTGGACAATACCGATGATGGAGATTGATGTGACAGCTTCGCCTCTCGAGTCCAACGACGTCTCTTGGAAGAACGCGCAGTCGTCGTAGCCCGTGATTCCGTCATATTGGATAGCGTAGTAGACAGGAGACAGTAGAGAAAGAGACTGGACAGAACCAACTTAAAGAATTCAGAAAGCGATGTATACAGTGGATCTCCAGGGCAGCTAACCCATCCGGGGTGGGCTTGCGAGCCTGAGGCCCAAACAGGCTAAGCTGGCTCGATTTGGCCCCAATCTATAAAACTAACACTCCTTCTGTTCCGGACTCAATAAGAAAAACTCCACTTCCATTGCACCGACAATATTCTAAAACCATACGCTAACCAATGCAATCATCACATTCCGTAACCCGCTATTCTAAATGAGAAAAGGCCCCGCAATGAGACAATAACACGACAGGGGAAAAACAAGGGGTATAACGTCATAAATGAGAAAAACCCGATTTTGTTAGCTACGTGAAAGATAAAGAATGAAACAGAGAATGGGTATATCATGCATTGACTGCCTGTTCCGGTGAACTCGGGGGCATCTTTTGTGGCGTGTTCTCGTCGACGGTGGGATTCCCGTCCATGCTCGAGTGCGGTGGCACTCGCTCTTCATTCGGGGCGCTGGCTGCCTCTCGGAAGGGCGAGATGGGGGAAAAAAGCGAGGACGCTGCGCTCGTCGGCTCGGGGAGATTGGATTCCATTCCAAGAGCGTCATCACTCTTGGCTTTGATTCCTCCGTAGAGTCGACCGGCCGCTTCCTTCGGGTCTTCTTCTGCCTCTGGCTCCTCCGCCGTCTGGAAACTCTTACGCGTGGCCGTGCTGGGACTACGCTGAGACTCAACATCCGCGAGATGCGTAGGCTCCGACATGATCGAGTCGGCACTGCTACCGAGCCCTGCTTCGCGCGCTCTCGGCTCATCAGAGGGCGTAGGCTTGCGCAACTTGAGACGCTCCTCCGGTGGCATGTTCTGCCACTCAGACCCAAATGTCACGATGGATGCCTTCTTGCCATGCACCGTGAAGCTGGCTGATTTCCGTGATAGACCTTCTCCCCGGCCGCTTCCTTCCTTGGGTCGATGGTGCTCGTCTTCAAGCGCAGCCATACTAGATGCAGAGTCGCGGGATTTCTTGCTCCGGGGATAGTTTCCACGACCGCTGGAAGAATCGCGGAGAGTACGATGCAGACTGCGACGGACTCGTCCCATCCTCTCTCCTCCGGCCTGAGAAGACGAGCCGTCCTGTTGGTGTGCTTCTTCGTGTGTAGGTTCGAGATCACCTTCAAAGCCAATGACCGAGGATGGCTTTCGGGACTGGGGAGAGCCATTGACGTCCAACAGTCCCGTCTCGCGAAGCAGACGCTCTTCACCCTCTTCGAAGCTGCCGGGAGCGGTGAGCTTCGAAGTCCGCGATCCCAGGCTGGCAACATCCAATCTGCTGGTAGCGCTAAGCACGGAAGCTTCACGCTCCAGCCTATTAGTCGGCGCCGGTGACCAGGACTCTGCCCGGTCTTTCGAGTTGTCCGCAGAGAGTCGTCGACCGGCCCGAGGAGCGATCTCGGACGAGGTAATAGACACCGGAACACTCGGCCTGCGAGTTTCGGTGGCTGGCGCCTGCTGCTGCTGCTGCGTCGGCGGCGATTGTGGCACGGGAATCGTATGGGCGGACGCCGTAGGACTCTCGGCCACTACCGCTGTCTCGGTCCCCAACGGTGAAGCCACCACAACATCATCCACAGGAGATGCTAGCTTCTCGGTTGGAGTTCTCTCGTTCAAATCCGGCGTTGATGGCACGACATTGGTGGTAGGGATCTGTAAATGCAACGCTTTGGGATCCAGGGGCGGCGGCCGCGGCTTTTCGTCCTCAAGATCTTCACCCAGGTCCCGAACAAGGACCTCCCTGTAACACTTGGTCCGCCAGATATCCTGTCTCACCCATTTGAGTTTCGCAGCCATGCGCCCGGCCGCCATGATGACGTGTTCGCGGGCTCGGGCGTGCACTGGCGTCAGAACCTGGAGATGTCTCGCGTTCCGCAGAAGATCATCCAGCTGGCGTTGAGCAACAAACAGCTTTTCATTGGCTTCACGAATTCTTTGTCGGATCAGATGCCTGCGGGCTAAAACCACGTCTCGGGAGACATCAGTATCAGGGTTAGGCGACGGCGGTTCACGATCGGCCGAGAAATGGGATTTAGCAGAATCCGACGAGCCTCTGCGGCTCATTCGGTTTCGCTGGGCTTCATAGTTCGTAGCGATCATGCCCTGTGTCCGTACTCCGGTCGTCCGGAATGTTGAGGCATAATTGAGTTTGGCCAGCCAATCATTCATGTCCCCTTCAGTGTTAGCCAAGAAAACTTCCTCCAAGGCATTGTGGCGCACGAAGACAAAGGCGTGTTTGTGCTTCTTGTAGCCAGTGTCCAGCAGAGACACCGCACTATCCGTCGACATGATGCCGTCGGGTTTGAAATCCGTTAGAGGAGGCCTAAATACGACCGCGCGCCGGGGCCCGTCCTTGTGATGAGCCTCGTGCTGAGCCATCAAGGATTTGATCCAAGTGACGTCTCTGAAAAGATAGAGTTGCGAAAGGGTCAGAAGCGCGCCCCATTCCTGCCAGGGCGATCGGGCCCTCTTCTTCTTGGGATCCTTTCGCCAGAGCAACCCAACCTTGGCCACCTTGATGTCCACCAAGCCCGGATTGGAGTCGGCCGGGTTCTCCATGCTGGCCGGCATGAAAGCATCTGGCCGCGATCGCGGAGACAAGATCTGTAGGATACCGGATTTGGCAAAAGCATGATGCAGCGCGTTCATGTCAGGCGGTCCTTCCGTGCCGTCGCAGCGGTAGGTGTCGTCCAGATTCATGACGTCCTTGAGGCTGGGTCGTAGGGAATCTAACTTGCCGTCCATGATCAGAGTGTAAGGGTCAACGGGTTCGCGAGAAACCCGAGAAAGATGGTCGGAGCTGGCCGTTTTCAATAGAGTTCGTCGGGGTTTCGAGAGATTGCGCCCAGTCGCATTACCATCTTCAATGTGGATGAAAGGGGTGTAAGAGATGTTCTCGTAGAAACACTCCAGAATATCTTCTGCAAGCCCTTCACCTCGACAATTCTTGACATAGTCAGGTTTTTGCATCTTCCGTTTGTTGTTTTTGTTGAACACATCCGTATGCAGGATCAGGATAGAAAAAGCGATGAAATAGGCTTGATCTGCGCAAGAATTTAGTTACACGTGCATAAAGAGGGGAAGAAGCATGACCTACCGGTTGAGGCAAAAATCCCTGGGTTACACTCGTGATACCGGTCAGCGAAGCTCTGGAGAAAACGGTCTATTTGCTGCGTTTCTTTCGGCAATTCCACCTCCATCAAAAGTTTGCGGATTGCCATATCGATGGGATCACCAAAGAATGAGAAACTTCGCATGTACTTTCGTAGAGCGGTCTTGTAGAATTCATCGTTTGACTGGGCCAACACTCCGGCAATCACACTTTTCGAGACGGTCTCCTCAAGTCGGGCCAGATACGTCGCGGGCGTATCATTTTCCTGTCTCTCGGGATAAGAGGGAGGGCTGGGCTTCGCCGGCGGTGTCCCCGACCCATTTGCACCGGGCGATCCGTTCCGAGGAAAAGGCGGCTCGGAATTCTGCCTCAGTCGCTGCGTGATGTTAAAGATATCACCGAAACTCTTCCGCCCGCTCGTAGAGGTAGAGGTCCGCCCAGATGCGCTGAGATGAGGGGACAGACGTCCGCCATCCTGCGCGTTGGCCAAAGAATCGAGAGTTGACGATCTCGCTCGGGTGGTAGCTTTGTTTCGGCTGGCATTAGAGGGGGTCGAGCGGAGGGAGTGCGTCGAGTTAGCGGAGTCCTTCCGGGGCAAGCCAGGTCGCGCCGGCGCAACGCCCACCGAGGACCGGGATGGAGAAGGAAGCGGCGAAACATGATCGGGTTCGTCGGAATTGTCAGGTTTGGGTACGGATCTGTCCTGAGCCGCAAATTGCGCTGCGGTGGGCTTCGGGGGCAAGGGGAAAAGCGGGTTGCGGTTGCGTTTCAAGCGTGGCATCCGAAATCGCTTGCTGACGGAGGACGCGGTTGACTCGCGGTTTGAAACGTGATCGCCGAGGCTCTGGTCGGAACGAGAGGACTCGGAGAACCGCGCGTCCGTCACCGAAGAGCGCTGGGAGTCGTTCGTCTGATCGCGACTACTGCGAATGGACGTCGTCGATAACCGCCCGGGTTCTTCATTGTTGTTGGTCTGAGACGTCGACAGAGCGGGATCCGCCCGCTGGGTCTCGGTCGACCCGTTAGAGGCATGCCGGGGCTTCTCATTCGAATCCGGCTGTTGCTTAGGCTGCTGTGCAGGGAGTTCTTCGACGGACGGCTTCTTAGAATCGGAGAAAAACTTGAACTTGGTCTTGGTGCGTTTGATAGGTTGGTCTACTTCGTGGCTCGTAGGTGCCGTGGTGATGATGGTCGGGGCTATGTCACGCAACCAATGATTAGCATCGCAAACCCTCTGAGAAACTAAACGGCGATCGATCTTACGGGGTAGTGACGGGACGGGAGGAACATCCTCCTCTCCCTTTGCATATGTTTGCGAGAGCTGCGGATCGGACGCATGACGCAGCCTCATAAAACTGAATCGATTCCTTCGCCAGCTCGAATTATCACCAGGGGCCAACCCTGTTCGAACTCTCGGTGTGGGGGCCGGTAAGTTATGAGAACGAGTTGCGGCAAGCTGCGACCCATCATTATCCGTCTCATGACCCTCATCCGGACCGACCAGCGACGGAGAACGAGGGGCGGATTCGGATCTTCTGGGAGCAAGGTTGGAAGTCGAAAGCGTCGGACGAGGCAATTGTTCACTGTGCCGGGATTGCGATTGGGGCTCAAGTAGGCTTCGTCTTTTGTCGATGCCGTCCGAGGTACCAATCCGTAGCCCTTTCCAATGCATGACTAGGAGGGTTAAGGAAAGGACTGCAGAGAGAAGGTCTGTTGTGTTCCCCAAGTGTAACCCATTCGACAAGGGATGCAACCGACACCGAGCGATTGATATGACGGTGTATTATTTTGACTCCAGGGTAGATCCAGGGGAAGGGATGGGTTTTGTTCTCGCCGAGTGGGGAGGGGAGGGGGACGACAGAGATGCGAAAGAGGTCGGGGCGATTCCCGTTCGGGACGGATTCCAGGGGGGCGAGAGGGTTCTCTGAAGGCGTCACCCTTAATTGGAATCAATTGGCATTGCGATCGAACTGGTGGAGGGAGGGAGGCCAGTCGCAAGGCGGCGAGCGAAAGAACGGACACCGATGGGAGGTGGAGGCGCGATTTAAAAAGGGGGACGGTAGGGGTCGATCATCAACAAAGAGTAAATCGTGAATATTTCGGCTTGTCCAGATGAGAAGCAGGAGCCAGAAAATGAAGAAACTATTCTTTTACATTTCCATCTGGAGTAGATGGAGGGAAGAGATTGATTGCAGAACGGCTGACGAATGGTGTTTATGAAACACCGGGGTCCAGGGAAAAAAGTGAAAAAAGGAAAAAGGCCAAGAGATACGGGGAGACTCAAGCGTCCGAGGTGAGAGAATCCACGGAGGGAATAGAGAAAGAAAAAAACCAGAACTATTAGGGAGAGAAGCAGAAGAGTGGGATGATTGATGATACCAAAAGAACGAAAGGAAAAGAGCGGCGGGATGGAGAAGAGGAGCGCAACGGCCAAGAAAGCGAACAGGAAGTGCGACGATGACGGATGACGAGCACGTGTTTCGCGACTTGGCTGGGCCTTTTTTTTTTCTTTTTTTCTTGTTCTTACGCACCACCACTCGCTACACTTGTACACTTTTACGGTGGTTACGCTCATTCGGCGAGATTCCACCAAATTGATATTTTCCGTTGTCTCTCTTGAATCGTTATTATTTATTGACATCCAAGTTCCAGGAATAGATCTCCAGGATGCTAAACAGTCCGGCGATGACTAACCCGTTCCTGCCCCAGGCAGCCAAATTTCCTGGGGACGATGATCTCACTCGGTGGAATCTTGATTTCATTCAGACATTCACGCAGCCATCCATCGAACATACGGAGTAAGTCATCGGCCCTTCCAGGATATCGAAGATCGACTGCGTTAGTGAGCACTGGTTGCCCGCCTGCAAGTGTGGAAGCCTAATATATAATCCCTACATATAACAGCAGGGGTCTGCGACTTGCCACAAACCATGTCGATAACCAGTCACAGTCACATCAACCCTTGACCCTTTTTCGTACGGTGTACCCCTCTCCGGCCTGTCCGACTTGATGTTCGCTTCATAAAAAAAATGACAAGCGCGCTTAACCTGCACGGCGGAGATATCCGACGCGTAAGACCGACGGGTTGGAAAGACAGGCACTTGGCCAGAACCTTTGCAGCTTCAGAGTACCTGGAACATTGGAGAAATGGTTGCAAGGGCTCCTTGCCTGCGTCGTCAGCCGAGCCAGAAGACGAGGATGGCAGGGAGCGAAGGCAAGTCGGCGACGACGTTCCAGAAGGGCCGGAAACTTAATCGAAAGTGGAGCCGGTGGGGGATGAGAGGCTCATTGACAGATGGATCGATCGGTCTTAATAATATGATGAGTTATGATTTATGAATCGTTCACGTTGAATGTTGATCTTTGGGGTTGATACGGAGTACTGGCTTGGTACCTCGGTGGATTGATGGGAGGGGATGAGACTGGTCGATGCGATATGGAAGTGAGTCCGGAATATATACCTGTAGAGTATACTGATCGTGCAGGGTAACCCTGGCCAGGGAAAAGTGTCCATGATCTTAATATGCACAATATTCTCGTGTTGGCAACGGCAGTTGTATTCCGACCGAATAATGATACTTACTACCTACGCTGTACACCGGAGGACTGAGGCTGCCATTTCCGGCGTCCAGCGCAGGCTTCTGCCTGAGGCACCATCGAGTCAACCTCCGCATCCCCAACGGCCGCATCCTCTCTTCCCTTCACTTCTCTCTCACCTTTCACACACCTCTTGTCCTTTTCCTTTTCAAGGAAATCTTTCTTTCATTTCAGAACTATGCTAACTTAGTACATCGGCGATCACAATTGGACAATGCGTCAACTTCTCTCCCTCCTCCTTGTTCTGGTCGCATCGACCACCCTCTTCTCCATCGTCTCCGCCGTCCCCGCCGGCTCCAGCATCACTCCACCGCCACCCATCGAACCCGTCCGACTGTTGTCGCAACCATCTAGCCCTCGTCGGCCATGGATCCGACTTCGAGACTGGGTCATTGAATCCATCTGGGGGCTTCCGAAACCCAGCTCCCCTCGCTCCGCCTTCAAGGATGCCTCGCGCGACCGCACGCCCCCGTCCCGAGTGCTGGCCCGCTATGGCAGCGACATCGTCCTTCGATTCTACTTGCGCGATACACAGGAAGCCGAGGCCTTGGCCCAGGCCACTGAAATTCTCTTTCTCGATGTATGGGCGTCGACGCCGGAATTTGTCGACATCCGTCTGGCAGAAGATGTGGTGAGTTCAGGTCTCGATTGTGATCACATGCGTTTTGGAACTCGGCCCTAATGTGTTGTGATTCTTCGATAGATTCCGTCTTTGCTGGGCCTATTGCCAGACTCCCTTCGGACCGCTTATACACCTCTCATTGATAACCTGGCCGAAATGATTTACACCTCGTACCCCAGTCGGCAACCGATCGGACTCGAGCATCCGGCCGGATTGGGATCATCCCGGCACTCGTCGCAGGTGGGGGATATATTCTTCCAGGACTACCAGCCGTTGTCGGTGATTGCTCCCTGGATGCGGTTGATGGCATCCATGTTCTCGTCGCACGCTCAGCTGATCAGCGTCGGGGTGTCGCACGAAGGCCGCGATATCCCCGCTTTCCGGCTCGGGTCTGGTCGCGGTGATGGCTCCTCCAAGCCTCGGAAGACCGTGATCATCACAGGCGGAAGCCACGCGCGCGAATGGATCAGTACGTCCACAGTGACCTACGTCGCATACAACCTAATCACCCGATTCGGCAAGTCGCCTGCGGTCACTAGCCTACTAGAGGAGTATGATTGGGTGCTCGTTCCCACCATCAACCCGGACGGATACGTCTACACGTGGGAATCCGACCGTCTCTGGCGGAAGAATCGACAGCCGACAAGCCTGCGATTCTGCCCAGGCATTGACCTAGACCGGGCATGGAGCTTCGAATGGGACGGCGAGCCCACACGCTCCAATCCCTGCTCGGAGACCTACGCGGGCGACGAGCCCTTTGAGGCGACGGAGGCGCAGCAATTGGCCCAATGGGCTCTTAACGAGACCGAAACCAACAATGTCAAGATCGTCGGCTTCCTGGATCTCCACTCCTACTCGCAGCAGATCCTCTACCCTTTCTCCTTCTCCTGCTCCTCCGTGCCGCCCACGCTGGAGAGTCTCGAGGAGCTCGGTCTGGGCCTCGCCAAGATCATCCGACAAACCACCCATGAGGTCTACGACGTCACCTCCGCCTGCGAAGGGACCGTCACGCCCATGGACCGCGGGGCGCTGAAAAGCTTCTTCCCCGTCGGAGGCAGTTCCGGCGGCAGCGCCCTCGACTGGTTCTACCACCAACTCCACGCCACGTACGCCTATCAGATCAAGCTACGCGACCGAGGCAGCTACGGCTTCCTCCTTCCGTCCACGTACATCATCCCCACAGGCAAGGAGACGTACAACGTGGTTCTCAAGCTCGGCGAATTCCTCGCGGGCGAGAAAGTCGCAAGCCAGGAGTTCTTCCAGGATATTGACCTTGAGAATCCGGACGAACCAGAGGACGAGAACCCCGCTCCGACGGACGGTTCAGATGCGGGGATCTCGCCCGTCCAGGCTGTCGACGCGGAAGACGAAGAGGAAGATTGGGAACTTGTTGACTGGACCGAGGAACCTCATTCTTGGGACCTTTGACCTTTAAACAACCTAATTGCGTGAACTTTGTAACATCTCTCCGTCTCTCTTTATATCTTGCGTGCGCTCTCTCGTCATTTGTTTGCTGATGCTCATTCATGATTTTGACATCTCGTGTTTTCATCTATGTTTCTGGATATACAAGCATGCATTGAATTAGCTAGTTAGGTTAGGTTACGTTAGGATAGGATAGGATAGGTTAGATTGGGACGAACGAAATTGACGATATGACTTTGATACGACACAAGGCCTATTTCCCTAGGTATAATTGGCCTTTCTTCTTCCATGTTCTTTCTTTCCACCAACATCGTATCGTGGCCCTTTTAACTAAACATAATCTTGTAACTAGGTGGTCGGGTCTATAGGTAAATGACCGACTTAATGAGGTTGCTTGTTCCATGGTAAGTAGGTATGTAATTTATCTGTTTGGGGTTATCCTCCTCGCCTGCTCACTCCTCTTCCCCTCATTTTTTCTTACTTTGCTACCTAACATTAGAATCTAGATCTACATTCTCTCAACTACGCGTCATCTATCCGAAACCCAGAAAAGGAAATGAAGATAAGAACCACAGTTCGTGAGACATCACATTACCAAGCATAACATATAAGATACATATATCATCACTGTCATCCAACTCCCTAGAACAGCCACGATACGAACTTCCGATAGAACCAGTTCGCACCGGCATGCTGCTCCTCGTGAGCCGCCTTCCAGGCCAGAAACTCCTGTTCCTCGCGGTCGATCTCCTCCTTGCCGGTCCAGAGGTCGGCCTCATGCGGGTTGACGCCCTTGGAGCCGGTAGTGAACTTGTAGCCGAAGATGAGAATCAGGTAAAGTGGGATACCGAGGTAGGCGGTGATGAACTTCTTGTAGTTGAAGTGGCCCCATTCCTCGTTGTAGGTGAAGACGTCGTAGCTCTTGGTAAAGCAGATGAGGATGCAGAAGGCAAGGGCGCCGTAGGATCCGATGACGCCGAACGGAGCCTTGTAGGCAAGGTCCGATTCCGGGACGCGCTGGGCCTTGCGGGCCCGCACGAAATAGATGTGCGTGACGAGCAGCGAAACCCAGGTCAGCAGACCGAAGATGGTGACCAGGTCGACAAAGTAGCCGAACACAGTCTTGGAGTCGCTAGACACATTCATGTAGGCGAGACAGGCGATGGCGGAGCACAGGCCGAGCGCAATGACGGGCACACCGCGCTTGTCGGTGCGGGCGAGGAGGGCGGGCGCCTTGCCCTCCTTCGCGAGACCGTAGATAGTACGAGTGGCGATGTATAGATCGGAGTTGGCGGCGGAGAAGACGAAGAGCAGAATGCAGGCATTCAGGATGTGAGGGAGGACGGGGATCTTGGCCAGCTGGATGGCCACAACAAAGGGAGAGGCGGCCGCCGAGTTGCTCTGCTTGGCGGCGAAAATGAGTTCATCGGAGTTGTACGGGACGAGCGTGCCCACGAGCAGGACGCTGACCACGTAGAAGACGACGATCCGGTAGAAGGTCAACTTGATAGCGCGGGGGATGGTCTTGCGAGGATTCTGCGCCTCGCCGACGGTCACACCGACCAACTCGGTACCGAGGTAGGCGAAGGTGGCAGAGACCATGGTGGCCCAGAAGGCGTAGAATCGGCCGGCCGCGCCATCGTCGATGTAGGTGTTGAACGCGCCGGGCTCCTTCCAGTAGCGGAAACCTTTACGGTCATGGTCGGGGCCTCCTCCGAGCATCAGGATGAAGGACAGCAGAATCAGGCCGAGAATGACGATGACTTTGAAGGAGGACAACCAGAATTCAAACTCTCCGAAGAACTTGACTCCGAAGTAGTTGATGCAGACGATGCACACAAGGAACACCGTGATCCATACGCCGGGATTGACCCTTTCTGCATCTATCCAATACTGTATGACCAACGCGCCGGCTGTTAACTGATTTGGCGTGACGATTATATATTTAAACCAGTATCTACCGAGGTGGGTAGTTAGTAAGGCTTTCTTGCAACATCAAGAGTAGAAAGCCCCAAAACAGGGAACGTACGTGTAACCAATAGCAAAACCCATGGCAGGATCAACGAAACGCGTGGCATAACCAGTGAAGCCCGAAGGAAGAGGTAGCCAAGAGGCCATCTCACCGAGACCGCACATGACGAGGTAAACGACGAAACCGACGACGGAGTAGGAGATGAGGATGGAAGCGGGCTAGGTATACGGAGTCAGCTCATTCGATTGTCTTTCTCGTCGGGACTGCACATACGCCAGCCTTTGCCAGAGCCGAACCCGTTCCGATAATCAGACCAGTACCAATAGCGCCACCAATGGCTGCGGAGAGTTAGTTTAATCGCTCGTCGACGCGGAGACCTAAAGCGGGAGCGTACCAATCATCGTAATGTGACGGGCTTTGAGGTCGCGGTGAAGGCTGGTATTGTGACCGTGGGTCATCGTGCCCTCCTCCGTCGCGGACAGTTCATTTTTGATGGGCATCTCCGTAGAGAGCCCGTCATTCTTGTAGTCCATCACTCCCATAGTGCGCAGACTACGATTTCACAGCCAACTGCGGGAGGGAAGAAAGAAGCGACTCGCGTGCGCAGACAGGCAGGCACGCTCTACCGTCGGTTGGCGACGGGATGGAAGCACTTCCTTCGAACTCGGAGCAGTTAGAATGGGAGGGAGCGACAGGATAGACAGAGGAGAAGGAGGAAGAGGGAAGAGGACGGAGAAAAAATTATGGGGTTGCAGGTAACGGGGAGGGGAGGAGTATTTAGGCGTCGGGAGGCAGCATGCGGATGGCAAATAAAGATAAAATAATTGGAATGATAATTCTACCGTGAGATAAGCGGGGAAGCTATCACGACAACGTGTGAAATGGGACAATTACACCATCAGAATTCCGAAATGATGATTAGCCACCGGTGGACTAACAGTTAGCTCGACAGGGTCGGTATGATTTGCCCCTCCCCGTATACGGACGGCAGAGTCGATGGTGACTTGGCCGGAGTGGGAATGGTGGGAGCCTGGAAGGAGGTAAACTACACGGTCAGACTTTTAGACTGCAGGGGCCAGAAAAGATAATTGCCATGCGACCATTGGATTCAGAAGGAAAGAGGCGGAGAGGCTTGGCCCGGATGCCCGACTTCCATGGAAGGGGAGGCCTGTCTACGGAGTAGTTACTTCAGTTACCTACTTTAGTCAAAGACCCACCCGGGGAAAGCGAAAGGCTTGGGTCGAGATTAGCCTTTGCTGTTAGTCACGGAAACTGGCTGTTATCCGGGGTAAGAACCGCCCCAAGGTTCCGGCGTTGGACCTCCGTAGGTAGTACCTTAGGTACTGTCCAGGGAGTCCAGGGACAGAGTCCGACCAAGGTATTCTCGCCAACTTCCACTCTGGTTCTCTCTCTCTGCTGCACACCTGCCTTCGAAAATAAGCACGACGAAGCCGACGCAAAGCGAAGGGGAAAACCTTCGCGGCCACCCCCGCAGAAGCCAAACCAATGGGGACGGGGGTCCTGGTGGTCTTGGCGCGGCTTGGCTGTCACCGTGGCGGCGATGGCTGCCCGGCCAATGCAACCCTCCCCTACTTGGGCCATGCCAAGACCGCTATCACGGGGTTTATCTCGTCACCCCCAGCCTGCCAATCAGCACGCACCGCTTATCTCCTCGGTTGTCCAGGGGGTTTTCTAGAACCCTTCGGCCATGTGGAAGTGCTGGAAGTTGTTCTGTCGCTGCATTTTCCCTTACAACCCGTGAGAATTCTCCGACCGATTCGGAGGAAATCAGCAATTTGACTTCGTGATCCCCTCCCCGACGCCGTAACTATATATCCCAAGACTCCCCCTCAACCCGGCCCTGCCTCCCAAAGGATTCGCACGACATAAGTGGGGAGTCGGGCTATATTACTTAGACCGTGACTCCCGGGGAATTCGTTAGGTAATGGAATCCGCTTTCCCCCGGATTCTTATCGGCTCAATGCCGCCTGCCGGTGGATAACCCTGGAAGGAGGAGGAGAACTGAGATATCCTGATATCGTCAGTTTCTCGGCAGCTACCGGATCCGAGAGCTTTTTTCTCCTTTCGTAGCCCTGATATCAGGTCATTGTCTAAACAAGGTGAATGGGACAACAACAGTCGAACGAACACCCGATAAGACTCCGCCCAATAGGAGGGCAGGCGGAATGCTAGTAGGAGCGGGATTCGCGCGTGTCAGGAGATTGCCAAGTCTTATTTTCCAGGAAGATACATCTGCGGTCGAAAGTTTGACTGATGATTGGGTCCGTTATCTCGGGGATGCCAGTCTATCAGGCCAGATGCACCGGAGCTACTCAGCGCTCCGGTGCTGGATGCGGTAAGGTCAGACGCTCCCTGCATCCTCGCGTGACAACGGTCTCTGGTTGCACGGATCTCTGGCATGGGCATCTTTCCATGTGTCCCAGACCCAGGAACACATGGATATTAAACCTCCCTGCACCTTGGTGAGACCTGTCCTACTCAGCCGAAGTCCTGCATCCCTTCAATGCCACGTTCTCCGTCCTCGGAGATTTATTGCCTTTCACACCCTCACACAACTCTTCATTCGTGAAATAGTACAAGCCGCATCTGACTTCTCCCCATTCCTTTCCCCTGCCCGCTATCCTCTTCCTCCTCCCTTCTAGAAGCACCCCATCATGCACCACTGGCGGCGCAGGTGATGGGGAACTCTCGTAGAGGCTAGGCGTACTCGACAGCTCGACCCCGATATCATCACATTGACATTCAAACCAGGCTAGCCTAGGACCTAGGCTAGGTACATACTTAGAAGCAAGCTAGAACGGAGAGAAGGGGTGTCTTTGGTGACACTGACCCGATCCATTGGGCTAGATAGGTTCACTGATTAAGTGATTACTCCGTACTACCCCGTCCTACCAAGTGGGCTAGGTATATGCCCTGGACTGTACGAGCGGATTCTGTCGGCCATTATCGACCGAGCCCCCCTGCCCGAGGGGAGACCCGTTAGGTGAACTCAAGTGAGCCAAGTTAGAAACCTGCAGGAACGACTTTAAGTCTTCGTCAGTTCGTATCTACGACTACTAAATAGCTTGAACTTCAAACTATCTCAAGTGCCCACTCAAACTTGTATATTCAACCTACTATGACTTGCACATGGATATTCTATGGGCTCTCGAACTTCCCCGAATGATGTATCGGAAAAATATGTGTAGTAGGGAAGAACGGTGGAGACATGTAGCTACATTTGCTTATCACTCTAGACCTGTTCGATGTTCCCCCCACCTGTCACGATTCACAGATTTGGAAAAACTGCAACATGTCTAGTCTTATTTCTCTGAAAGCGCTGTATCCAGGTAACAACCGACCACACGTCTATCCTCTCAGACCTAGGTCTAGATTGGTATCTGAATGTCTGGGGAAATTTGTAGAATATTCGCTTGCGTAAAACCTCCTCTGTACGGCTGTATGAGACACATAAGCCGATTAGAAGGTAGGAGAGGACCAGGGAGGAGGCGATTGAATAACAAAAGCAGGGTAATAGCCGAGCGGGCTCGGTAGAGGAAGAAAGGGGAGATGGGGCACACCCATCTCCATCCATAGCACTCCTAGTCTCCTATTCCCACATGGGTTAGACTATGTCGGTCTATCTGTTGCCCACTGGAGTATCTTTCCTAGCGGTGATTCGGCCCCCACACTTGAACGTTGCGCGGGGTGTACAGTCAGTGCAGTATACGCTAGGTAATGGAGGCTCGTGAACGATAGCAGGGTGCTCTGTATCGGCATCGACCTTGGGTTTGGTTTGTGGATGTCCTGGCCTCGTTGATACGATGGATATGCATCCCATAGGATGGTGGCTTTGTTAGGTTGTGAGGCTGATCTGGGTGTCAATAGATGCAACCGCTGCAAATTGATCACACGATTGGTATCTCCGGCTCTGCTGTAGACGGTCATCCGATGGATCAAAATCCCTCATATGTGCCATTGCCATGAATCATGAATACCCATCCAACGTGAACACGTCTACATACCAACGCAACGGGTCAACCACTGAAATCCTCAAAATCAAGACATCCTTAAAGCCAAACGAATCAGACCGCGCAAATCTACCGCCGAAATCCAATAGTCGGTTCTTCACGCGCAGATAAATAAATCCCTCCCCCGCTCAACGTTCAGCTCGATCGCCCACGAGAGTCCAACGGCCACAGTCTGGACCGACACCTGTCAGAATCCAGCAGAACACAAAGAAATCCTAGGAATCCAGAAGCCCAATCGAGCCATCTTCGACCGCCGGCCCGAACGGAGCTGGTCAAAGCCGCCTGTCAAAATCCCCGATCAAGCGCGCAATCTATGCAGAGATTCAATAGTTCGGAATAAGTGCTTATGGCGGGCGTTTGGGGACCAGTCCCTCCCCTCCTATTTTGCGATGCAAGGCTGAACATGACATGGCACGCAACGCTAGGTCATGCCTGACGACGGGACGCGGGCTGCAAGAAGCGGGGGTGGGCGATAAACAGGGGGTGTTGTATGGGTCGAAAAGAGGGCAAATTCCAGTGACTCCGTGGTGGAGGTCCGTTTCTCCGTGTCCTCGGTGGAGGGGAGTGGAGGGAAATTAGGGATCGACTTGGTCTTAATTGATGCTATTTTGGTGGTCACATTGGCCAATGACGGGGTGTGATATGCAGGAGATGGCAGACGTCGGCGCTTAAAGGTATTTATATCCAGGGGAGGCATTGGCTTCCACTCTGTCGGGACAAGGGCTATTGGTGGTAACTGGGATGTGGAGAGCCCTATTTTGCTATGATTAGAACGTCCTGCAGCTGCTAATTTGGCTGGGTTCCCCTCTTTTCTCTTCTTCCTCTTCCAGCTGCCCAGCATTCGGGATGGTGTGATGAACGGATCTATTTATCTCGACTCATTCCTCTCCATCCTGATCTTTCTACTTCTTCAACGACCAGTGTATCCTGGGTTGTTGTTGTTGTTGTGGTTCACCACCACACTCATACCACATTTTATCTGTCTTCATCTTCATATTGATCACTCCTATACACCGTCACCATGGGCGTCATCCGTCTCCCCCGTCCTACAGCTCTCTACGTCCCCAACTCCCCCCCATCTCCTTCATCCTCTGCTTCCTCATCAACACGCACCCTCACCCCCGACATGATCTCTCCGCCGCTCTCCCCAGACTTCACCTTCGACTCGGAGACTTTGCCGGCCTCCAGCCTGCCAGCCCTCGAATACATCTCCCGCAAACTACAACAGAAAATGATGCACGTCACGCTGCTCGTCGGCCGCGGAAAGCCCTACCCCACCGGCGCACCATCCGACCTAATGGTCATCCCCATCAGTCCTCTGGACCCGATCTCCCTGCGGATCGTGCACCGCACCGTCGCCAAGGGCGCCGCCAAATTCTCCCTGGGAGCCAGCTGGACCGACGCGCTGGCCCGCGCCCAGTACGAGCGCCACACCAACGAATACCTCATCCAGCAATCCATCATGCAGAACGAGGTCGTCTTCAGTCGCGAGGGTCTCACCCTGCTGAACGTCGACCGCATCTATACGTTCAAGCGCCGACTGTGCATGCTGTCCTCGAGGGGCCCGCACGTCGAGGAAGAGTATGTCGGTTCGTGCGTCAGTCTGCTGCATCGTACCATCCAAGACTTCCAGGGCCGGCCGTTCAGCAAGGCATTCTTTCATCGCGTGTACGAGCAGCTCGACGTGCGGGACGAGTTGCTGATGCACATCGCGGACGTCTATCGGAAGAGCTTTGGCGTCGAGGGCATCGTGCTGCCTGAGAGGGGTGGTGTTGCCGAGCAGACGGCGACGAGGGCCCCGGTGTCGAAGAAAAGGTCGGCATCGCGGATGGGCAAAGGCGCTGCCATGAAGCCGGTGATGCAGTCCGTTCCTGAAGTTGAATGCATAAAGCCGGCCACGACATCGACCACAACTACTACTACCCCTGCCATCAAGATTCTTCCCGTAAAGCCAGCCCCCGCCAACAAGCCGCTGCCCGCCAAACCAACCTCCACAACGCGACCGGTGCGTAAATCTCCCCTGCGCGGCGCCATCCGCTCTCCTCGCGAGGCGGGCCCGCCACGATCACGCATGCCGACCAAACGAGGCCCCAAGACGCCGCAGTCCGCGTCGGACGTGACGCCCATCACGCGAAACGAGTGGAACATGCTGGTCGGGACGGATTTCCGACACATGAAGCCGACCGTGACGAAGTGGACGCCTTCGCCGACCGTGCTGGCAGCAGCTTGATTCATGGTTTGGATGACATGACTGCCGGTTTTGGGTAACCTATCTCGTGGGTTACTCTGTCGAATGATGCCGAATCACATGCAGTCGGCACTCGACAGCCAGACCTGCGGCGGGCATTTTCTCTTTATAATTCACATTATTCCACAGTCCGACGGGGCCCCGAGCGATCCACCGCGCCAGGACCCACGGCGACGTCGGGTAGACGTTCTCAGTATAGCGTCCTGCAGCATCGACAATATCTGAGAGGTCGTTGCCGACAGGTGGGGCTGCGTCGTCCAGTCGGCGAACTGCCCCGACAGGAAGCATCAGGCGAGGATTGAAAATATCCAGAGTCCAGAGGCACAAAGATGCCGACTCCAACAGACGGAGAAGATTTTGTCTTGGTAGTATATAGTTACATCCCTTGTAGAGGGACATGAGTGATGATAATGATAATGATAATGATAATGAATAATGACTTATAACATAGTCCTTTACCGCAAACGCATAGTGCTACACCGTAGACCACTGCAAGCAAGGGAACCCCCTCGCCGATGCCGACGGCCATCAAGACGACGTCGGCCTCCTCACGGCGGTGCTAAGACAAGCTTTTCCAGCACCACCGAATTAATTTATAAATTCTTAATACTCCATAGTGCCCGACGGACCATCTGATGGGTTGGGATTTTTTGATTTATCCAACTCACATTAATCGATAGATATTGGTCATCCTTATCTCTTATCGTTGTGCTCCCCGCCAGGAAGAAAAAAAAAGAGCCCCTCGCTCCTCTACAATCTCCAATATTGACAACGACTCCTAATCGCTGTCAATTTGCACATCACGCCATCTCTTATCCTCAACTTCGTCATTTCTTTCATCTACATACAACATAATCATTAATTGCTAGATCACTATATTTGAATACCCATGCGAAACTCCGCCACCATCCTCGAGTCCTCCCCGGACGACCCGACATCCCCGCATCCTTCCCGCCCGGCCGACACCAAGACGAAATGGTCGCCCAGGGCCCTGATCAGACATGCTGAGCGCTCGCATAATCGTATGCCAGGGATTCGGAAGATCCCGTTGCGCGCGATCGCGGTGATCTTGTTTGTGGCGTTGATGAATGTGGTGGTTTGGATTGCCGCGGCGATTTTGTTGGTATGTTCTTTTTTGAAATTACTTGGTTGGTTGGTTATGGGAGTGGATTGGGCTAATTTGAATGTAGCGTTATTATCCGTATGTTTAGGAAGGTTCTTTGCTGGGAGATAGGGCTAATTATGGAGGTGTTAGGTCGTTGGTTTCGAATGCCGTGCTTTCGTATACCCTTGGTTTGAGACATGCGTTTGATGCGGATCATATTTCGGTGAGTTGCTCTTCATGGGATGGACTGAATAGTTGATAGTGAGACTAACGATTGCATAGGCCATCGACCTGATGACTCGGAGACTGCTGGCAACTGGCCAGCGCCCTGTCACTGTCGGCACGTTCTTTTCTCTCGGACACTCGACGTAAGTGTCATTCGACATGCAATGGGTGATACAAACCTGACACTAAACATCAATAGAATCGTCATCATCACATCCATCGTAGTCGCCGCCACCGCCGCAGCCGTGTCCTCGCGCTTCGACAGCTTCAGCACCGTCGGCGGTATCATCGGCACGTCGGTCAGCGCCGCCTTCTTGATCCTCCTGGGTCTGATGAACGGGTACATTCTGTATAAGCTGTACAAGCAGATGCAGAAAGTGCTGGATCTTCCCGAGGGTCAGGAAGATGAGGCGTGGAAGATCGAGGGCGGGGGTGTTTTATTCTCGGTGTTGAAGCGCATGTTCAAATTGATTGATCGGTGAGTGGAGGCATACATACCCAAATACAAGACAGAGCTGATGATCATGGCTAGTCCGTGGAAAATGTATCCGCTTGGAATCCTGTTCGGTCTTGGCTTCGACACGTCCTCTGAGATTGCTCTTTTGGGAATCTCGTCGATTGAAGCGGCCCGCGGGACTGATTTCTGGGTTATTCTTATCTTCCCGATTCTTTTCACTGGTATGTATCCTCCGCCATCCTCCATCCTCCATATCTCTAGGAGCGAAATCCATTAACAAACCGGCCAGCCGGAATGTGTCTCCTCGACACCACTGACGGAGCCCTCATGCTCTCCTTGTACATCCAACCGGCGACAAACTTCCTCCCGCCCAAGCGCGAAAGCGCATCCTCGCCACTGTTAGAAGAAGGCATCCCCGAAACCGACTCCCAGCCCGAGGAAGTCGAATCCCAAAACCACCGCGACCCCATCGCCTTCCTATACTACTCGATCGTACTGACCACGCTGACCGTGATCGTTGCCATCGTGATCGGCATCATCCAGCTGCTGACGCTCGTCTTGAACGTCGCGGAACCGACGGGTCGATTCTGGGACGGCGTTCAAACAGCCGGCGATTACTATGATGCCATCGGCGGAGGCATCTGTGGATGTTTCCTCATTTTCGGAACCCTGAGTGTGTTTGTGTATAAGCCGTGGAGAAGATGGATTGCCAGACGGCATGGGAAGACGTTTGTGGCGGATGAACAAGGCCATGGCCATGGTGATGGTCACGATGAGGGGCGGTTGAGACCTGATACCCCGATTTTGAACGAGGAGAGGGGGGCTTCGGTCGGGGCGAACTATGGAGCTGTGGATGGGAAGGCGAAGGGACAGACGAGAGTTGCGGTTGCGGAGAGGAATGATGGGCCGGCTTAGGGGTGATTGGATGTGCTTAGTTTAAAGAAGGGTACCGTGTTTGGCCGTGAGTGTGGTACATTCGGATCTATAACGGATGGTGATTCGAACTCCGGTTTGGTAGTTATGGTGACATAGTCTCAATCTAAGTTATACCTTGATTTATTAAGTAGACCCAGGTTGTTTCCTTCCAATCCCCATATATACGAGACTCGTTCGATACTAGATAAATGCTAACTACTAACCAGAGAACCAAAACATACCGAATCAAAGGAGTCCCATCTAGTCAAGCCATGCCTAAGAGATATACATGCTACCGCCGACGAGGCCATCAACTTATTTACTCTATGTATCATGGAATCACGACAATACCTCCTAGGACAAGCCAAATCCGAGCTTACTGCTGAGGATTAACCTAGATTATAGCGACGCAGCAGCGAAACCCAATCCAATAAAATCGATAACTTCATCCATACATTGTTAGATATGAAATACGGATGCCAAGAACAATCCATTGATATGATATACGACACCTCAGGCATGAATAGTTACTCATTGAGGTATTTAGTGGGTGACGTGACGTCATTTTCCATCAAACAATCCGAACACGAAATCGATTCCGACCTCGAGGGTCGATCTCCGTCACTCCATACCATATTAGCTCAGTCTACGATTACCTTGACGAGCGAACCGTTGACACACGGAGCAACTGCCATCATGTTCATAGGACCGACTCATCGTGAATTGGAGTTCAAGCGTGATGAGTGATTCATCTTTAGGTTTATCTCAAAGATAAAGGTTAGTCAGGTGGTTTACGATTTTCTGGGATTTTTGAAATGACAGATTCTGCAGGTTGATCATTTGCTTCTTTCTTGGATAAGTGGACCCAAGACCAGCTAGACTCTATCGTGGAGCTAGCAGAATCCGACATGTTCTATCTAGAGTCATATCCTCAGGGTTCAAAACTATTTCTCTAGCAGGCCTATTCTTGTCAACTTGGCCTGCGTTTATAAATATACTCTATATGAATATCTTACGACTATATATACATTCACTATCACGATCTATGGACTGGCAGTGACAAAATGGCCACGGCATCTTCAACCCATCAAATCTCACAGCCAGCACAGGCAGCGTCACAAATCAGCTCTGACACTCAGACGCAAACCCAAACCCAACCGCAACTTCAATCTCAAAGCCAAACAGAAGCCGGATCGCAACCGCCCCTGCACCTACAATATCTCCCTCCCATCTTCGTCCTCCCAACCAATCTATCCCTCGACGCACTCCACCAGATCGAAGATCATCTGGTGCGCGGCGCCGCTCATCTAACGTATGACATCTCCGAGGCGGGTCTTGTTCTCGGACGACTGAGTCATGGTAAGAGGGCGGCGTTGGAGTTGAGGGCTAGAGGGGTGTGGACTGAGGAGGTTCCTGCTTCTCGTTCATCTACATCTGATGGGACGAGGGATGGGAAAGGGGAAGAGCCGCCGGCGAAAAGAGCGAGGGTGTCTGGGGGAGATGTGTCGAGTGGGTTGCCCTCTACTATGAGCGGTGCTACGAACGAGATGGATACCGAGACGGAGAGCGAGGAGGACGGGATGGAAGGACATCGGGTTGAGAAGCATTTACAGAGACCGGAGTCCGAGTCGACTATTCCTTCAGCGGAAAGGGCAAAGGCAGATCCAAACACTATTCGGGTCGTTAAATTAGCCTGGCTCGATGAATGTATCGCCACCAACACCCTCCTCCCTATGCATCCATACCAGATATACCAAGCTCGCAAGGTTTCTCGTCCAGCAGAAGCACGACCACCACCACCACCACCAATCACCAAACCAACAAGCATCCTCCAACGAGCACGACAAGACCCCTCTATACCACCTCACCCACCACCCAAACTCCACCGCACGACCACCTCCGAAGCCGAAGAAGACAAAACCACCCTCCCACCACCCCCAGACTGGGTCCTCAACCGCCTCCCCTACGCCTGCCAACGGCGTTCCCCCCTGCACCCCCCAAACGAAGCCTTCATCCACCAACTCCTCAAGATCCGCCAAATCCGCCAACTCACCCTTGACGAGATCGGCGTGCGCGCCTATAGCACCTCCATCGCCGCCATCGCAGCATACCCATACAAGTTCCGGCGCGCGTCGGAAATCCTCTCCCTACCCGGCTGCGACGCTAAGATCGCGCACCTCTTCTCCGAATACCAATCCAGCTCCTCGGGCTCCCTCGTCGCCGCTTCTGACCTCGACAAGGACCCCACCCTCCGTACCCTCCACACCTTCTCTCAAATCTGGGGTGTAGGTCCCAAAACCGCCCGAGACTTCTACTACACGCGCCAATGGCGCGATCTCGACGACATAATCCTCCACGGCTGGAACGGACTCTCCCGCGTGCAACAAATCGGCGTAAAATACTACGACGAGTTCCTACTCGGCATGACGCGCTCACAAGTCGAAACCATCGCATCCATCATCCAGCGCCACGCGAACCGAGTCCGTCCACACGCGCAATACGACGGCGTCGGTGTTGAATGTATAATCGTGGGGGGATACCGTCGCGGGAAAGAGAAATGCGGCGATGTCGACGTCATCCTCACGCATCGAGACGAGTCTGTCACCAAGGATTTGATCGTCGATGTGCTGGGGAGTTTGGAATCGGAGCGCTTCATTACACACACGTTGCATTTGAACCTCTCGACCTCAGATCGCGATCAACAGGCCTTGCCGTATCGGGGTGACGCTGTTGACGGAGCTCGCCATTTTGATACTTTGGATAAAGCACTGGTGGTCTGGCAGGATCCTCTTCCTGCGAGCCCTGCTGAGGCACCTACCGAAGATACGAAGAAGAAGAATACTAACACCCACCATCGCGTCGATATCATTGTCTCTCCCTGGCGTAGCATCGGATGCGCTGTCCTGGGCTGGACCGGCGACACGACTTTCGAGCGCGATCTGCGTCGTCTGGCGAAGAAGCGACACAACTGGAAGTTCGAGTCTAGCGGGGTCCGTGAGCGAGACGGCAAAGGGAGAGTTCTAGAACTAGAGGCCAAGGGCAGGACGTGGGAGGAGAGAGAGAGATTGGTTTTTGAGGGCATTGTGGGCAGTGGGACGTGGATTGGACCAGAGGGGAGGTGCTCATTTTAAAATCACATATAAGCTAGTCTGGCTATCTTTCATACATTCGATTGCCCGGATGGTGCGAGATAGTGATTCTATCAGTCCAACTGCAGCACCTCGCAGCCCGCTTTCTGAAAATCGCCAAGAACAAAAGCAATGCGATGGTGATAGAAAACGAGACATTTCTCTATGTACAACACCAACCCTGTAGTAATACAGAAGGAGGTATACAGGAAATAAGATATGAACGCCCGCCCACCCTCCTCAGAGGAAGGAAGGTCGATAGTGATAGTCAAGAACAGAGGAAAGGATCGAGAGAGCCAAGGTCAGGAAAGATAAAACGGAGGAAAGATGACAGTGATAAGAGACAAGAAAAACATGATGATAATGACAAGGAGAAACAAAGGAAAGAAAATAGTAAGAATAACCCTCTGACACCTCAGGCCGTGACCGACAACATCATCGACGACTCAGAGATCAGTTCAGCCAACGGCAGAACAACCTAGAGTGCAAGTCAGGATTTCAGACTGTGTTTTCCTTACTGAAACACGATGGGTCTTTTGAGTTGGAAGCGCCAGCCCAAATGCGAGCGTGAATTCTCCAAAGGCGGAAGAGATACGATGTACAGTCCGAAACCAAAGAGACCCATGACAAGGCTATGGAGGAATGGGTCAAACCCTACAACGACGAAAGAAACCGTGGCCATGCAACCCTACAGCGGCGACGTCGTTTGATGCAACTCCCCTCGGTGGAACCCAAGGAAGCGCACCATGACTCCTCCCCCCAGGAGGCGCCTCCCGACTATAGCACTATTTGCGGGCTATCGGACGCCGACTGGACCAACGAAATTCGGACGCTGACGGCCGCATTCTAGGAAGGCAACTCGAAGCTTCTCAATATGATTGACGACACGTCTAGCAATATATGGACGCAGTGCGTCGTGCTTTTCTGTGACCGCAGAGACCGACATGGGCGTTCCTATGCTTGGGTTTGTAGATCGTACCAGATGTGCCGATTTGGGTGGATGTTGCGGTAGGGAATGTAAGTGCTGTGAAAAGCCCTTGTTGGTCTATAATCGACCCTTGGAACATTTTGGGGCCGCGGAGGCAAGTGGAGTTTATGGCCACTGCACGTCCGAATGCCCCTGTTGTATTTCCATCAAGCAGGAATACATCCCCCATCCGAACCTTCCGCCAACGGGATTAGTACCCACGGGAGAGATGTATAAGGCAGTTGGATGAATACTCCCAGCCTGGTCATACCCTTGCAGATCTTCGATCAAGTGCCTTCTGATAACGGGGAAGACGTGGATAGAGAGTATGGAAAAAGATCCTTCTGTGTTGCCTTTTTGCTTGTTTTATGAATTGGCTGTGTCATGGCTCCGTTTCTTCCAAATATTTCAGCGCAAGGTTTGCTATTTTGTGTCTTCTCTTACCAGTTTCCTAGGTATAATGGGCCTTAGGATTTCTTTCTTTTCCTTATTACTTTTTCTTTCGTCTTTTCTTGTAGACAATATACTAGAGCTCATAGAGCCAGCTTTAATGGCCCGAACCGTAAGCTATCCTCATTATCGACTATCACCTCCATGATATTACCGTTATAAATTCCACCATTAATTCTGACCATATTCCAAGTCCGTGAGAACAGACGCAGGCTAGCTGATAGAGTAAATCTTCTGACTTTGAGAAAGTCAAGCTGTAAGTCCGGCAGTTTTTTCATTGCAAGTTGAAGCCATGTCATCTCCTGATGATTACCCTCCGATGACTCCCTTGCTCCTCATGTTCCTCGTTGCCTGCTGTTTGCTCCCTTTGGAAGCGGTCGTTGCTACTTTGTCTCTATACAACAGGACGCGGAACAGGGTATGTATATGTCTGTTAAGTTAGAAGCGCCTATATATCTATGTTTTTTCATAGTAAATTATCCAGGGGAATTGTTGCATTAACTGTAGACAGGTGCAATGACGCACCTGCCTTGCCTGGGTACGATCGTATTGTACATTAGGATAGTTGTGTCAAAATTCTATAACGTCAACCATAACTCCTTCATTATTACTATGTCTATGAAATAGATAATCCAAGCTGGGCGAAGCCCCGATACCCCGAGAAAGTCGAAACATTGAGAGAACTGGACGAAGAAAAAAGAGATGGCAAAACAAGGAAAGGCTGATGCTAATTAGCAAGAACAGAATTAGGACACTCCGTCAACAAATGATGAGGGTGGCTCGCCAACCACGCCGCCGTATCACACAGCTGATCCAACACCCTCTGACAAGCCTCCGGACGCAGCAGACCCTCCGGAGCGAAGAGCTGAACCACGAGGCGGTTCCCGCGAGGCAGCGTGCAGATATGCAAGAATTCGCGCTTGAACTCGCCGCCAAAGATACGCGTCGTGCACTCTACCCCACCCAGCGAGAACTCGGGCTTCAGGTCCAGGTTCTGATGCTGGATTAAACAACCTAGCTTCGTGCCCTCCTGCCACGCGGTACAATTCCTTTGGATCGCACCGAGACCGAGCGTTTCGTGGTCCAGCGCGTCGATGTGCTGTGCCTGGACGCTCTGGAGGAGATCCAGCACCGTCCATTTCGCGTGGCTTTGCACGCGCACCGGGACGATGTTGGCGCAGACTCCGAGGATACTTTCGACGCCGGCGAGAGGCGTGTTGCGTCCGCTGACGACCTGGCCGAAGACCAGATCGGTCTCGCTGGTCAGGCGCATTAAGAGCAGCGCCGTGGCACTCTTCATCAAGCTGGCGATAGTGATGGTGGCGGGCGGGGTGGGAGCGCCAACTTCACGCGTGAGTTCGACAAGCGAATCCTGGCGATCATGGTCGGGTGTGCCCATGGACAGGTGGCGGAGACTCGTGGGAGGCGAACAGCCCTTCAAAGTCTGTTGCCAGAAGGTCTGAGCGTCAGAGGTCCCCTGTGATGCGAGATGGTGGATATAGGTCGAGAAATTAGTCACGGGACCGAGAGAGCCACTGTCCTCGTATAAGGCCGCCAGATCCTTGAAAATCAAGGGCAAACAGAACCCGTCGTATTGGGCGTGAGAGAAGCGCAGCGCGAGAATGTGGTAGTTCGGATCGCCGTGAGAGAATAGAGTGAATTGCGTGGGAACGTGGCCCAGAGGTAGGCCACGACGGGAGTCTGCGCGGCATACGGTCTCACAGAGAGCGTCCAGGTCGTCCTCAGGATTCCCGGTATACTCGAAGAGTGGCACGGGCATCTGCTTCAGCACCACCTGCCGGACATGCGGTCCGTCACGAACATAGCCTGTACGGTAGATCTCATGCCGTTCAACTAGGGACTGACAAGCGGCTCGAAGGCGCGCCTTGTCGAGGGCACCGTGCATGGTGACGAGGAAATAGGTCAAGGGCCAGTCGAGGATGCACTCGGCCTGGAAGTCGGTGGTGGGAAGGACATCCTGGATTTGCTCGGCGGGTACGCCCATCTTGGGTGCGACGACCTTGTCAATGAACGCGTCAGTGTCATCGACATTCAGAAGCCCGTAGGGGGACGGCGCCGCGGCAGTGGGCACTTCAGTCGCCTCGTCGTCAGCATTAGGTGAAGTAGAGGGAGACGTAGCGTTGTCTTCTTCGTGGGCGACGAGATCCTTTAGTAGGGGCTGCCGTAGAATGTCCTTTACTGACAGCTGCAGCTCCTCTTGCCGTGCGAGGGAAACGAGTCTAACGGCGTAGGCCGAATCACCGCCGAGCATGAAGAAGTTGTCGTCGAGCCCAACGCGGTCCGTGGGAAGATTCAACACCGTCGCCACCAGGTTCTGCAGCTTTCGCTCTGCTTCTGTGCGTGGTGGCCGCTTCTCCTCGCGGCCCCCGGTGGCAACCTCCTTCTGTCGCATCTCAATGGCCAACTGACGCAGCTTGGTTCGGTCGGTCTTGTGTGTCTTGCCGACGGCAAAGTTCTCGAGTGGGATATACGCCATGGGCACCATGTACTGAGGCAGAGAGCTCCGGAGGCGGGCTTTCAGGCTCGAAACCATGGACGGAAGATCAGCCATGAATGCCGACAGGCCGCCGGAACCCTGGCCGTGACGGGGTTTGAAGAACGCAGTCAGGGTCGGATGGTCGACGCGGCCGTCGAAGGGTACTACGTCGACTAGCACATCGATAGACTGCCCAACATGTTGTCGGAGATGGTGCTCCACGTCGGCCAGCTCCAGCCGCTGTCCGTGGATCTTGACCTGCGTACCCTTTCGTCCCACGAAGCGCAAGGTACCCTTGGGGCCGTATCGGACCAGGTCACCGGTCTTGTAGAGCCGGCCGGCCTGACGGACCGGGAAGCTGGAGCGCCATTCCGGAGGTTGTATGAATGCTTCCGCGGTCTTTTCAGGCTGGTGCAGATACTCGCGCGCCACTAATGGCCCCTCGATCAGCAGTTCGCCCACAGTGCCTACCGGAGCGAGTCGATCGTGGTCATTCGGGTCCACCACCCACGGGAGACAGTTTGCACCGTACCCGATGTTCCGCGGGTCGGAGTGAGAATCGATGTTCGGTTGTATGACGCAGTAGATGCAGCACTCCGCCGGCCCAAACGCGTTCATCAAGGTCGCTTGCTCGGCCCAGGCGTCGACGTCGGCCTGGGCAATAGGTTCTCCGGCAAGGACGACGGTGCGCAGACTGGGGACCTGTTTGGCGTCAAGGATCCGAAGGACCGTGGGAGTGATACAAGCGGTGTTGGCCCTCAGGCGGTTGATCGCGCCAGACAAGTCATTGAGGCGCTCGTCCTCTGAAGGGACGCATACGCAGCCACCGTAACAAAGTGTGGTCAGCAGCTCGGCAATGCACACGTCAAACGCGAAGGATGAGAACGACAGGACACGAGATGTTGGCCCGAGGGCGATGATCCCTCCATGGGCCTGCGCACTGGTGCAGAACGTGGAATGCTCGATAACAACTCCCTTAGGGTTACCAGTGGAACCGGACGTGAAGACAGCGTATAGAGCATTGGATGGCCGAACGCTCGTATCGGGAACAGCTGGAGCAGCAAAGGCAGTTACGTTGGCGGCGTTGTTCCCGACCACCATCACAGATGGCACGAGTTGTTCACTAATGGGGAACAGAGTCTCGGAGGAGATGATTGTCGCTGCTCGTGCGTCGTCGCAGATCGCACGCAGTCGACTCGGGGGGTGGGATGGATCGAGCAGAACGAATGCTGCCCCAGCCTTCGCGATGGCCATGATGGCCACCAAGACCCATTTTGATCGTTCACAGTGGATAGGAACAAACGTCTCGGGCCCTACTCCGTGCTGAGCTAGACCTGTGGCGAGCAGGGACGAAAGACGATCGAGCTCGCTATACGTGAGGTCGCCATCCCAAGCGCAGACAGCCGGAGCTTGGGGCTGAGCTTCAGCCTGTCGACTGAACAGATGGTGTGCACAATCGGCTACTCGCCCAGGCGCTTGAGAATTTAGCCTTTGGACAAGAGCATGGTTTTGCTCGCTAAAGAGGTCGAGCTGCTCTGGGGCACAATCGACGTGGCTGAGAATAGTGCTTAGGGCCTTCTGCAGGGTAAATGCGAAATTTTGCGCTTGTTCCGTCGACAATGTGGAGGTCCAGTGAGATATCGAAACGTGGACCGTCTTCGGAGATACATGGACGTTGGCAGCAAGATCAAACTGTTCAGTGAAGCCCACCGGTTAGCGATTAAAACCAGATGAAGTCGAACAAGGTACCTACCTCCGTGGGATCAATCTCATAGATATTATCTAACTGCAGTGACGACGCACTCGTCACTCCATGGGAAGACGGCCTTCGCAACGAGATAATCGTATTGAACAATGGCCCTGCTAGGTTCAAGGAACCGAGGATTTGGCTGAGCGGCACATGCTGGTGAGCACAGCTCTCAATGAAGTTATTCAAAGTCTTCCGTAGTTCTTCCCTGAGAGTCTGGCCGCTTCCGAACTGAACCCGTGTAATCATCATGTTGATATAAGGTCCCACCGCATCCTCCACGCCTTCAACCGGAATATCGCGACCAGCAGCGAGATATCCAAAGCAGACATCATCTGTTTCCGCATAACAGCGGAGCACCAAGGCCCAAGCAAGTTGGAACACATTGGAAATTGTGACGCCTTCCTGAGCGCAAAACCGTTCCAAGTCTTCAACCAGGGCCATCTCAAACTCTACAGTCTTCAGCTCCCGTTTATACTCCACCGCAGGACTCCAATAATCGAGATGTGGAAGCACGCAGGGACTGATATCTTCGAGATAGCTGGCCCAAAACTTCGCGGACTGGTCGATCTCCAACCCCTGAAGATAGGAAAGATATTTACCATAATACGGGCCTTGTCCCTTGGGAAGGCATCCGTCATACGCGAGACCCAAATCGCGCATTAAAATGGAAATTGACGACGCGTCAACAAGTGCATGACTGATACTGAGGCCCAGGTAGATAGAGTGCCCTGTGACGCAGATCGTCAGCTTATGGGGTGGCTCCTCCGCGGTAAATTCAGCCTCCAGGTTACGCCGGAGCACGACAGCGAAGGGATCGCCTCGAGGCAAGCAGATGCCATCGACCCTCGGAGCGATTGATTTAAGGACAACCTGATCAAAGCCTCCCTCGTTGAGCTGACTCTCCACCAGCACCGTGCGGAGTAAGCCATGTCGTTCCACAACTTGTCTCCAGGCATCCCGGAAGCGCCACAACATCTGCTCAGCCGGAAGAGAGCGCGCAGGGGTTGCCTTCCAGATCGATTGAATCTGATACGTCTTGGGATCCCGTGCCTGTGAAAGGAGAATTCCTTGTTGCATCGGGGCGCATGGAAGTGCCTCCTGCAGCTTCTCATAGCTCAAGGATGGTAGTGCGAGGTCAGCCAGAGTATATCCGCTGTCGCTGTTGACCAATTTGACCGCCGCCTCCAGCAACGAGGCGTCCAGCTGGGCAACCCACTGCTCGACAGTCGTGAACAGCGCGGGGAGTTGTGAGCGGAAGGTCAGTCGCACTTTGCCCTGCACCATACCTATAACGATTTCGAGCTTCGCCAGAGGAGACGCTGACACGCCGATGTCGTTGCCAAAGAGATCCTCTCGCTCCAGGGTCTTTCCTTGCCACCCCGCCAAAGGGTCGCCAGCGTCAAACCTCAGCAGGACGGTCAGAGGCTGGGGGCCCTGGTCGTTGTTCAAATCGCGCTTGTCCCCGTCATGCTGAGACACCACTTTGCGCACGCGAGCGTCCTTTGCCCCTCGGATCACGTCGACTATATCCTGATTCCCACTACCCATCATGACATTCGCTGGAATGATTGTGCTGAGCCATCCGACCATGTTTGACGTCTCCACATCGGAGGTTCCACGACTTGGGATCTCGAGGAAGTATGCCGTAGCCGGTGCGTCCGGGATCTTGCCGCAAGCGTGACGTAGTGCACCGTGAAAGATGTCGACCGGTTGAGTACGAAAGGCGTGGTTAGCTTTACCCACCAGCGTCTGAGTCAGCTGTTCGTCCAGGTCAAGCTTGGCTTGCCATACGGTGTCGTCGACAGAATCCAAGCCATCATGAGCGTTGGCAGCGTGTCGTAGTAAGTCCAAGGCTGGCGATTGCTCCTTTTGTGTCTGGCACCATGATCGGAAAGAAGGCGTCGAGTCGAGTGATTGCGCTTGGCCCTCCAGCACCATTTCCAGGTCCCCGCAGATGGTCGCCCAGGACGGCTTGTCGACGACGAGGCAGTGGGCGACAAGAACGATATGGCGGTCACGGTTATCGGACTCTGTCAGAGCAGCTGTGAAAAGCGGTCCGTTCTCAATACTGAGGCTGGCTTCCATTTCTGCAATGAGATCGGGAATGGCTGTGATATCCGGAATCAGTTCCGCGCGGAACCCGAACGCCATGGATCCGTGCTTTTGCGTGTGTTGCGTCCAGTTGCCCTGGGAGTCTAGACGGAACCGGCTCCGTAGACTAGCATGCCGTTCGACTAGATCCGACACTGCGTAACGGACCGTGTCGACATCTGCGGAGCCACTGAGCCGGAGTACCAGCTGCTGGTTGGCCCTATTGCGGTTGTCGGGATTGTTGGAATACAGGAATGCCTTCTGAGCAGCCGATAGGTTCACTGCATCTAGCTCGGGTGCTTGGCCTGCGTCTTTGACTCGGATGTGCTTGGACAGTTCCGCTATCGTCCTGTGCCGAAAGATATCCTGAATGGTGAGAGTGACTTTTTGTTTGCGGCACAAGGCACAGGCTTGCATTCCGATAATAGAGTCTCCTCCTAGCCGAAAGAAGTTGTCGTCGATACCGACAGAAGCAGGATCCTTGTTGAGAGCTTTCGCGAAAACTTCATGCAGCAGGCGCTGCAACTGGGTTTGCGGCATTCGAGTCTCCTTCCGCTCGGCCAGGTACATGTTCAGTTCTTCTCTTGTTTTTTCGCCGCCCATTTGACGCAGATCTTTGCGACTTATCTTACCGCTGACGGTCAGGGGGATCCGGGTCATCTCTACATACAGGTCAGGCAGCATGTAGCGCGGCAGGATAGGAGATAGCGACGCGTGGGCTGCTTGGGCACTGGCTCGAAAGGAGTCCGACGGCGGCGCCATGTATGGGACATCGTTGACGGGGGCGTCTTTTGGGCGCAAGCAGACAAAGGCCACCAAGCTGGGAGTCTTGTCGCCTTTAGGGAGAATCATCTCCGCGATCACGGTCTTGGCCTGTTCGAAATGCTGCCTAGTATGATACTCTACCTCGCCTAGCTCTACGCGTTGGCCACGAATCTTGACTTGCGTCCCCGTCCTGCCGATGTAGTCGCAACACCCATCTTCCCGGTATCGCAAAAGGTCGCCTGTTCGATAGAGGCGCTGTGAAGCAAGTGGAGATTGAAAGGTCTTGCGCCAGGACGGTGGAGGAATGAATCCCCGCGCCGTTTGCTCGGGCTGGTTGAGATATCCATAGGCCAGGCAAGGACCCTCCAGGAGCAGCTCACCTACTGCACCAACAGGTACAAGCTTCTGGGGGTCTCCTGGCTCCACAAGCCAAAAGCGCGCATTGGGAGGGCGACCGATGTTGGTATTGCCAGTTGACGGGGCAAGAGCGCTGGAGACGGCGCAGATGCCGGCCCATTCCGTGAGCCCATAGGCTTGGATAAGCTGAACCCGAGCTGCCCAGACAGGGACAAGACTACGTGGGAGCGGCTCGCCTGCGACTGCCAGTGTACGAAGGCATTGGACCTCCAAGTGGTTGATAGTCTGGATTACCGACGGTGTCAGGATGGCCCATGTAGCTTGGAGCCTGTTGATAGCTCCAACGAGATCGGCGTTTCGTTCGCTATCCGATGGGATGCAAATGGTTCCCCCTGTGGTAAGGGTACAGAAGATCTCGATTAGGCCCATACCAAAGCCGACGGATGCGAACTGAAGAACCCCACTATCCCGTTCTATCCCAAGGGCCTCACTATGGGATGAGGCCACACTGGCAAACGCCACATGGCTCACCAGGCACCCTTTTGGTACACCGGTGCTTCCTGACGTAAAAAGGGCGTATCCTGGGGCGCTACCGGGGGTCGGTTGGGGGAGTTCAAGTCTGAGATTTGGCAAACTAGCGAAGGTTGTCTCGTTGAGAATGAGTGCGCAGTCTGCCACTTCGTGAAGAAGTTCCGCCGTCTTGCTCGAGGTCAGGATAATATTCGCCTTCACTTCGTGAATGATGCCATGTAATCGTTTGATTGGACTGGATGGGTCGAGGGGCACGTAGCAACCACCTGTCTTCAGCACCGCCAGAGCTGCCACCACAAACCATTTGGACTTCTCATAGCAGACGGGAACGAAAACACCTGCGACAACTCCGAGACTGGCCAAATGGGCCGCGATTCGATCCGATATCGAATCCAACTCCCGGTATGAGAGGTCGCCATCCCATGATCGCACGGCTAGACTCGACGGGGCCTCCGTGCATCGCTCGTAAATGATCTCGTGGATTAACCTGCGAGATTCGGATATTGTGGCATCGTTCCAGCGCGCTATGTCGTCGTGGTTGCGCTTACTAGTCAAGCTCGTTTGCCCAACGGTGTGTCCTGGCGCCCTGATAAGACATATCATAGCATGTTGAATAGTGCTGGCGACATCGTGCGCCTGCTTTTCGGATAAAACATGTGTCTCATACCTCAAGCCAAGTTCGATGGTGTCTTGATGTATTTTCACTTGAAATTGCAGGACATAGTCCGGGGGAGGGTTCGTTTCGTTTTCGCCTGTAGGTCGTGCTAGGGACAAGAGGTCCGATATCACACATGGCTTTGTAATCACGATATTCAAGGAGGTGTTGAACAGTTCTCTGCTCTGGGAGGGGATCGGGAGGGTTCGAGAGTTCGCGCCGCGGTTCAATTCGTCCAAAGTCGTCTCCGGTGTAATCGAAACGCTCGCGCATGATGCGTCATGACAGGCACCTGTCCTTTCGGCTGAGGCGCCACTGCGAATGTTTCCGGCGTTCAGGTTAAGTCCAAAGCTCACTTGGTCCACTTCACAAAACTTGTTCAGAACCAATGACCAGGAAGCCCTGACAAGTGGGAGCAACTCCGCGATCTCTCGGTTGCGAAGCTCTAATTCAAGTATTGCGTCGTCTAGTTCGACTTCGGAGCAACTGCAAGAGCCGTCGCGCGCAGCATCTGCCGCGAGGATAGGAAAAAGGCATGGGTCCTGCCATGAGGACATTGTGTGTATAGTGGCTGCTGCGTGTCGGATGGCGGGAATGGTGGCTTCTGCGCCTCTCGACTTGCATTAAGATGAATAAACAGGGTATGTTGTTAGTAAACACCCCCCTCGTGAAGAAGTAGCGATATATGAAGATAACTTTATAAGAGCAGGCAGATTCTTCATCGCAACGAGTACCTGCTGGATGACTCGGCAGTATGTCCGATCAGGATTATACATCGACGCGGTGCAGTCTGAGGGTAACCGTAAGGAGAATGCAACGCCTTGCATCAAACTCAGCTGGAATGCACAAGCCAAGGATTAGCTAGACCTCACTAGCTTCCGAAAGCAGAGTGAAAGCTCATGAGGTTACATGACTTCAAGTCTAAGCTCCATTGATCGACATAATCCGTTGTTGGGAAGCTGGCCCATCCCTCGCTTTATCGCATTCTCTCCTTGATTGTCATCTCTTTTGCTAATATTGCACCAGAAGCACTGACAGTTCCGGAGTTAGTATCCACAGAACAGAGTTGAGGAACGTGCCGATTCTCATCGGGCGTGATCGCCCCCTACCTGGAGCCCTTGCCGCTAACAAGAACTACCATGATCAGCCAGCCGTGCCCACAGCAACTGCTGGACAATGCCTGTTTTGGCTGTGCCGACTTGACGTCCCTCGTTTAAATGCTTGTCATTCATCCAGGGATACTCCTGGCGGCCCGTAGACTCGTGCGGGAAGGGCACGTTCCCCCTTACGGGCTCTAAGATGGAAGGGATGGAGGGCGACTTCAGGTCCGAAGATTGCCGGTGCCGGTCTTCACAACCTGGTATGGCGACACCGCTAGTCCAGAGAGGCAGGGGTGTCAAAGCATAAACAACCCCTGCCTCATGGATGCATTTACCAAGGAGCCAAGTTGGTTTCCTCTTTGCTTGACAAGCACGACGTTCGTCAGGAAGAGCTCCACATGGCCGCTGTTTGGATTTTGGAGTTAATTCATGTAGACGTTTTAGGCGTTGGCAGCTCGCCGTAGTGGTCGAAGACGATAAAAAGGATGAACGTGAATGAACGAGTGGATGCTCTGGTCAAAAGTCATGATGAAATTGAAAAGGATCGAGGCCTTCGATGAGGTGCAACCGGCGAATTTCTTGGCAGAATGCCTCAGGCTTTTAGTCTCCTACAGTCTGTCTTACTCAATTTGGTGTGCGGGTGAAAGCTTTGATAAAGACAAGAAGACGAACCTCTTTCTTTGAAAAGCATGTTGTTCTTTAGGAGGCAGAAGAGCTCAAGATGGCAGAATATTGGATGCTGGATTGGATTTGTGTAAAATTTCGGGCAGTATAGTGTTGAGATGTAGACCGACAAGCCTTTTCCCCATACAAGAAGGCAGCCTTCTCCTTTGAACAGTGTGCAAAGATCATGTTCTTCCATTCGTTAACTTGAATATTGTATAATTCCAGGCCATGTAGCGCACATATATGGAGACAGAATCATTGGATGAAAATAAAAAAGCAAAATAGTATTACAACTCAATCGATCTACCTACTGCCCCTCCTCGATATTCGAAACAGTCTACACCTTTGTCCAACAGAAATACCCGTCCTAAAGCCCAGCAATACCCAGTTCCAACGACCTATGCAGTCTTCCTCTTCTTGCGTTTAGGAACTCGCAGGGCCCAGTACAAAAAGACGGCCATGAACGCGTTGAACGCGGCATACACCAAGAGAAGCCCAAAGTCCATCCACCGCTCCGAGAAATGGGCACCAAAAGTAGCAAGGAACTGGTCCGTCTGGGTGTACTGGCAGTACTGACACTGACTAGTTGCATTCGGGTCAGAGATCGAGCCGCCATTGCTATCGAGATAGTCACGCATGTACACCCCGCAGGTCTGGTTGGGCGGGATGCGGATGATTTGGTATTCATTGTTATCGCAATGCATGGGCGCCCGGCCAAGACTGGTTGAGAGAAACCCGGTGGCCAGGTAGGTGAAAGGGTTCACGCGGTACATCCAGATCCAGAAGCCCGGCATTGCGGTTGGGGAGACGAGCAGCCCGCAGAAGCTGTAGCAGAGGAAGACAAGGAATGTAGACATAGACGAGGCCAGGTCAACTGTGTCGAGTCCTGAGATAAGCATGTTGCCAAAGGTGCTGGCCCAGATGAATGTCACCCAGATGAGCAAGAAGATAAGAGTACTGCGCGAATGCACCGCACCCGTGAGTTCAGCATTGCGATAGCAACCAAGAGGGTAGTACCAGCACAGGAAGGTGAAGACTGATAGAAACTAGAGGGACAGATGGTTAGCAACATAAGCGCCTGCTGTAAGGCAGAGTTAATCTCACCATGGCCCAGACTAATTCAACAAACATATTGCTCAGAACAAAAGCCTGCCAGGCATATGTCTTGGACTGGCGCTCGCGGGCTTCGTACAATGTTCGCTGTGTCACGAAGGAGGGCAGCGTCTGGAAGATCAACTGCATCAGGACAATCAGGACAATGAAGACACCAAACATCTGATTCTGCAGGCCCTGTTGGGTGTTCTCTCCCATGAAGAAAGAGAACCCGATGAATAATGCCTGGAATGATTACGTGGTTAGTGAAATGAAAGTGAAATACGAAAGCGGGTGGCAGTCACATACCGAAACGATAACCAGCTCGGCTTTGGCATAGATGTAGCCTGGCGATCGCCAATACTGCTGGAAAACACGATGGCAGACCACCAGGAATTGAGTCGACATTGGGGCGGCGAACTCCTGGTAGTTGGACTTGTCTTGCGAATCCAGCATCGCAGACTCTCGGTTAGGCGAGTGTCGCAGCCGACCCAATTCACGCTGTACCTCTTCATACTCGGGGCTATTACGCCACGCCGAGTGCCAGTCGACCTTGGTGTGCGTCCCCGGGGCGGCCCCAATGACCTCCAACATATATTCGGCCGGGTTCGCCTCTGGTGGGCATGGGTGACCCCCGTTACGAGCGAAATAGTCCAGAAGCGTGGCTGAGTTCTTACCGATGTCTCCAAAGTACATCGTTTTTCCGCCCTTGCCAAGGAGCAGCAACCGGTCAAACCGCTGGAAAAGCATGGCAGAGGGCTGGTGGATGGTGCAGAGGATTGCCTGGCCGCTGTTCGTTAACTTTTCCATCAGATTGCAGATCGACCACGATGTTTGACTGTCCAGACCAGAAGTAGGCTCATCGAGGAAGATCAGCAACTTGGGTCGGGCGACCAATTCTACTCCGATTGTCAGACGCTTGCGTTGCTCGACATTCAGTCCTTCGCCCGGAATGCCTACGACGGCATCCGCATAATCGTGCATTTCCAACAAGGAGAGAACCTGTTCAACGTAGTCGAGCTTTTCCTGGCGAGTGTGATTTCGAGGCTGTCGTAGTAACGCGCTGAATTGCAGAGCTTCACGGACAGTCGACGTATGTAGATGAAGGTCCTGCTGTTGAACGTAGCCGGTTTTTCTCTGGAAGGATTCATCACGCTGGCGGCCGTCAACCAGCATATCACCGGTGATAACTCCGGTAGATACACGGTCGGCGAGCACATCCAGCAACGTCGTTTTGCCCGCTCCGGACACCCCCTAGTTTGTCTTACGTCAGTATATCCAGCTTTAACGCTGCGACTCAGTGGCGGGGTCTGAGGGGTATGGCTGGAATGGAGGATGTATGCTTCTTACCATGAGTGCAGTCAACGTCCCAGGTTTGATCCATCCATCAACGTTATCGAGGATTCGTCGAGGCTCGCCTTTAATGGTGATATCGTAGCATACGTTTTCCCAGTGGAACACAGAGGTTTGCTTTTGTACATGTGCCGAGTGCCCAGTTTCTTCAGAGTGACCGATTCGCTCATCGCCAGTGGCCATGTGCTCCAGGTCGCCTTTGCGACTGCGGCCCTTCTTTTTGGCCTTGTCTCGTGGCAGCACCAAAACTTCTCCCTTCGAGCGTTGTGCCGCAATCAAGTCAGACAATCCCAAGTGGACGGCGGCAAACAACACCGTAAACGCGATGATTATAGCCCAGTTGCGCCAGCGGTGCGCATAGTTATACGAGTAGGAAGTCTCGTAAAACGCGGTGCCGCTCACCGTTGTACTACCGGGCAAGGAGCCTTTCGCATTGCAGGTCTGGAGCGACCTAGGGGTGTTCTCGTACCCGGGGCCTGCTGGAACAAAAGCTGATAGGGCACAGGCAAACTCGCGATCGTGGAATTCATTCGTGATCAGAGCTTCGAATGCGTAGGCAACCGGATTGATCCAACGGATCCACGATGCCCACCCTCGCATATGGGAAATTGGGATTGCAAAGCCGGTGTATAGGGTAATGGCGAGAATCACGAGTGAGGCAGGAACCATAGCCTGAGCAACAGTCTTGGTCATCGAGCCTAGCAGGCGGAAGACCATAGACAGACACATCATGCACGAAAATGATATCAATAGATAGAAAAAGAACGCTCCCGGCTCGCGACGAAGGTTGGCCATGAAGTAACCGACAATATTCATACAGATTGACAGAGAGATCTTGTAAGGCAGGTCGATTACCATGGCCGCTAGGGCCTCGGCGCTGGGATGGTAAAACGCGTACCGATTATGCTTCTCGACCGTGTCTCGCTTGGCATATAGGGTCATGATCTCAAGCATACAGGTGAATGTGTTGAGCAGAACCATGATAAAGATGAATGAGCCACGGAGGAAGAAAGACGAAGTGTCCGCTGGGAGGTTGTAGTACAGACTGGACACAAGTAAAATCTGGATCGAATTGATAATGAGCATGCTGATAGGCACCGAGATCGAGGACTTGGTCAGGACCATGCCTCGCCACAAGCAGAGGCGAACCTGTTCCCAGTATGAGATGGTATATGGGGACTTCTTGCGCTGCAATCGCGACTTGTCGTCTTTCATGGACCGGGAGAAGTCCTGGAGATCATTACTGTTGTACGGATGCTCAGTAGCGAATTGCTCGATCTCATCCAGCAGCTTTTTATACTCCTTGCTATTCTTCCAAAGGTCGGCGAATTCGTCAGGAGAACGGGGCACAGCCTCCTCCATTCCAGGTCGAGCGATGCGCTCTGAAGGACTAGTCATCGAGGTCAGGAAGTCCGGGGTAGTTTGAGATTCAGGGCACTGGAATCCGAGACGCTCGAAGTAGGCTTTGGCGTCAGAAGCTCTGCCGAAATAAATCTGCCTGCCTTCATAGAACACGGTGACCTTGTCGAACAAGTCATAGGCAGCTTGCGGTGCCTGATAGATGGCCACGCATGACGTGATGCCAAAGACATCACTTTGCGTCCGCAGGGTTTTGCAAAACTCCACGGCGTTGGCGCTATCCAGGCCACGCGTACTGTTATCCCAGCATTGCAGCGGCGCGTAGCTCAATGCTGCTTCGGCGATCGTGACTCGTTTTCTTTCACCTCCACTGACGCCACGCACGAAGTCGTTACCCACTTTCGTGTTCATCGTATGGCTAATACCGAACATTGCCATGATAACATCGCGCTGGTGGCGGGCGTAATCCACGCGACTCATTCCTCCAGGAATGATGCGAGGAGCGCGGGCGAGGGCCGCAAAATACAATGTGTCGCCAACAGTGAGTTCCGGCAGGTGATGATCAACCTCTGCAGTGTACGTTGCTTCTCCGCGGAACTCATGGGACATCTGTCGCGCCGTGATGCCGTGATAGTTTATGTAGGACGTCGGGGCCACCTCAAGGCCATAGGTATCGCCGGCAATGGATTTCAGGAAAGTTGAGCACCCAGATCCTGGCGGGCCCAGAACACAGAGCTGTTCACCTGGCAAAACCAAGGCATCGACATCGCGCAGAATGCTCACTCGCTGAGCCGTAGTTACGTGCTTCCGAATGGAGTTCGTGAGCGTTGACAATAGCTTCAAAGGTGCGTTTCCCACGCTCATCTGGTAGTCGATCCCAACTCCGTAACCTCCAACCTCCAAGTGTCTTGCGGCGAATCCAGCAACGCGTCGCAAAGTTCCACCCTCCCCATCGTGTCGCGTCTGGTAGAAGGCTCTTGCCCAGCGTTTGGCATCGAAGTCCGGGCTAAAGGGGTCCAGTCGAGAGTCGTTGCTGTTCAAACCCTCCACGGTCTGGTGTTTCGACTGGACGGAGAACGTGCGAGCGAGTTGCGTGACCTGTTGGTTTGACATCCGCTCATCCCTATCTTGTGCCTGGCCTTCGGGGTCTTCTCGTCGTTCTGTCTCACCCGAGCCCCTGGACAGCGTCGAGCCATTACCCGTGGGCTCCTCCGACTGGGACGAACGCCCCAAGGTCAACAACCCAATATCATCCGTGGAAACTTCGGCATGCTTTCGGGCACCCATGGCGATAGGTATAGCTCACCGAAAAGTTAGAGCTAGGCTTGGGCCTCAGGAAACGTGTTCTCGATCACACTATTGCGGGAGGCCCGGTCACAGGCGCATAACATACCAGTCAACTGCTCGTGGGACAGAGGGGGCAAACAATTACGAACAAAAAATAATAACAGAGAGCCGAAAGCAAAGGCCAGAACCAGCGAACAGAAACCAAGCCTCGATCCAGCAGATGATCTTGTCTGATAACGCAAGGTGAGGAAAGGCCGAGACTATTTCGCGCAGCGCTTATGCGGCCTGGAGGATCAAGGCACATAAATATCACGGCTCTCGAGCCAAACCACTCGCTCAGCAGGGAAGAAAAATGAGAAACCAAGCACTGAAAATCAATGCACAGATTATAATTATAGAATACCATTAGGAAAATGGCGATGGGGCACCGACAGCAGGGGATAATCCATTTTTGAGGCATGCGAGACCCCGAGCCAGGAATGTTGCCGCCGTGGCAACAACACCAGTACCACCCTCAACATCAGGGATATGCTCATCAGTGGGGTAAGCACGGTGGCGTGCATAGGGAGAGAGGTTGACGCCTTGCAGACAGCCTTCCAAGTGTGGTTCGGGGTGGATATTGCTTTTCCCAGATCAGCTGGGAGAGTCGGGGCTGCCTTGCAGTTGCTCTGGTGGCCAATTAGAAGCACCCTTGGCCAGAAACATGCATAAAGGAGCCATGGTCGATCATGGAAGCACCCCCTTTGGTCAAAAACATCCTTCCCCACGCTTGCGAGTGGTTTCGTGCCATGACGAGCACCGGCGCCCATGCATGTCCTTGTCGTTGGCATTTCCAGGCACGGTTTTCTAGCGTCTCCTGGCCCCTAGTCCTTGGTTACAACATATCACTGCAGCATTCATGTTTCCTTCCAACCAAATTGGGAATCCGACCCTGACGTCCCAGCCCCAATTGCAGCGCGCTGGTGGTGGCCTGGCGGTCTCATCCCTTGCATTATGGATGCACGTAAGATGGAATATTAATGTAGATATAAACCGAAACAGCACTCTGATCCGGTGCAGGGACAAGAGTAACAGCCAAGTTACTTTCTCGGCTGCCTAGTTTGCAACATGGCGTTCCTTCAACGGCACGTCGTCAACCACTTCATGGCGCAAAACGCCTCCCAGGATTCCGGTCCGGCAGCGCGGGTCGTCACGGCCGTAGATGACTTCATCCACGCCCATTCCCCTTCTACCTTGGTCCTCGGGGCGGTTTTCGCGACCACGATTGCCGTCTCGCTGCATGTGGTGCTCAAGAACACCGTGCTGCACCCACTCCGCAATGTCCCTGGCCTCTGGTTCGCCGGCTTGACCTCGTGGTATGAGTTTTACTTTGATGTCATCCGCAATGGAACGTACATTCACTATTGGGACGACTGGCACAAATCTTATAGTATGATGTGAAGTCGGTTTGACTCTTGGTAGAAGCTGATTTGGCCCAGATTCGTCTATTATCCGGGTGTCACCCAACCATGTCCACGTCAACGACCCTGAGTTCTACAAGAAGTAAGCGGCTACCCCCTTTTCTGAGATCGTGGGCACAATGCTGACTTTAGCAGGCTCTTCGCCATCGGATCTCCGTTTCGAAAAGCTCGTTGCTTCTATCATGCGTTCGGCTTATCCAGTGCCATCGGATCGGAGTGGGATCCTAAAACCCACCACCGTCACCGTGCCGCCATGAACCCGGGTTTCTCCCCGAAGTCCTTGGCCTCGTTCACCCCGACGATTCTTCGACATACTCGTGGATCAATGGATGACATTGCGGCTCGCGGGCGCAAGGGAATGGCCATCATCGTGCCCCGCCATGCGAAGTCTCTGACCGTTCGTCCTGTCTCTCCTCGCTGGAATGACCTTCTCACTGACCAATGGCCAGGTCGACGTCGTATCTGAAGTGACCTTTGGTCGGCCCTTGGGCCTCATTGGCTCTCTTGACGAGGAGCCAATCGTGCTGCGAGATCTGTCGGCATTTATGAGCCAATTCCACATGGGTATGAGTTTTTCTGCTGTCACTGGGAATAAATCCGTCTAACCTGGAGAAATAGTGAAACACATTCCCGCCTGGAGATGGTTGCTCACCAACCTTCCGGGTGGCCTATCAAAACAGCTCATGCCGGGATACTTTGATCTCCGTGAGGTAAAATTTTTCGTCCGCTAAAATGGACCCTGTATTCAAACTGACTCCATCTAGAAAGCCTTGGACTGCGTCAACGAACTGATCGAAGAACGCAAAAACCAAAACCGCTCCCAGGAGGAGTACACCGAGGGCGCCGGATTTATCTTCGAATTGCTGCTGAGACCGAACCCCAAGAAAGGTTACAAGCCCCCAGATGCGGCGGCCATGGTCGATGAGGGATGCGCTTTCATCGTGGGCGGCAGCGATACCACCGGCTTCACCATCGAAGCCGTCACCTACACCGTCCTGAAGTACCCCGGTGTCTTCCAGCGCTTGCGCGAGGAGCTCGACGCAGCTTCATCCATTATCAAGGATGATTTCGATATTCAGGCCATCTTGAGACTGCCGTGGCTCGTATGTTCTCTGGCTCTTCTCTGTCCCATGTGCCCGGTTAACTGTTCTTTTTCCTAGAGCGCCGTGATCAAAGAGACGATGCGTCTATTCACTCCCACTCCTGGTCCGCTGCCTCGCGAAGTCCCTCCTGAGGGTGTTCAAGTGGGCCCCTATTTCCTTCCTGGCGGTGTATGTTTCCCTCCCCCTTGTTCATATCCCACTCACCCATGCTAACATCCCCGGCCTGGGTTCAGACCATCGTATCCCACAGTCTCCAAAGTTTGCACCACAACCCCGACATCTTCCCGGACCCAGAAAGCTTCAAACCGGAGCGATGGCTCGGAGAGCAAGGCACTAAGCTCACCGAGTGGTGGAACCCGTTCAGCAGAGGAACTCGCTCTTGCATCGGACAATAGTACGTAATCAATCTCAATCTTCCGTAGAAACCCCTTTTTCTTCTCTGTTCCATACAGCTGACACCGCTCGTTAAGTCTCGCTTTGAATGAGATCCACAGCTTCATCGCGCATCTTTTCCTGCGCTTTGATCTCGAGCTCTTCCAGACCGACGAAAGGAGCGTGGAATGGGTGGAGCACATGTTCACTAAGTTTCGGGACCCTATCCAAGTGAAGGTCCGGAAGGATCGGTGGGCTGAGCTGTAGGGTCCAGGCGATGGGTTTTCTATGTGATGTTTTGCAGGTGCGTTGGGCTTTCGAAAGCCAGACAAGACCCTCCCGTTATGTGGAGTGTTTTGTATGCCGGCTTGGCCATTGCAAAAGTTGTTTGTGGAAGGAAAATTGATTGAAAGTGCTTCTGCTTGGTTGTTCCCTTAAGCTAAAGGACGTTCAGTGACACTAGCCCCGCTTGTCTGTTCAATAACCAGCCAAAAAGTAGTAAATCTGAAGTTGAAAGAAAATCAAATCCTTGCCCTACCGTTCCGATTGCTCTCAGGTGAGAGACGACTCATGTCGATCCTTGTAATCTGCTCAAACGGTTCTCCATCTGACTCAGACGATGGGTGTCACCAGATTTGTAAGATATCGGCGAGATACGAAACTGTTGAGGATAAACAATTGAATGTATTCAACTATCCCAACGAGATGAGCTGATCAAGTAGACGGTTGATGAGGGAGAAGAGGACCTTCTTTAGGCAAACGGTGAACGCTTGGCAGATTGAAACCTCAGGCAACAAGAACATCTACACCCCATCGCGTAACTAGATGTCTATAAACTCACTTCGTTTTCGAATGTACTTTTAGACTTCGGTAACTATAATAAGGCCCTGCTTTCGACAATTTAAAGGTGTGCTTCGCGCAGAAAGTTTTGATGTCGCATAATTCTCCGGCCGTGCTCTCTATATATAATCTTCCGTGTGGTTCTTGCTAATTTCCACCGACCAAGTGTAGACGTTTCAGGGACTAGGTATACCGCAGTGGTTTAGAACGATTATGATTAATACTGAATTGGTTGATTGATCGATATAGGAAGAGATGAGGTTTCCTATGGTGTTGCCTATCTAGAAGGTAATTGGTGACATGTTTGAAATCTTGCCTCAGGCATCCAAATGCCTACACCAAGGACTGCGCATCTGGCTTTCCTATTCATAGTTTATCATATCATAAAGTCCTAAATTCACCCCAGATGACCTATTCACATAGGATTCCTCTTCGTAACCAAACACATGTAGACCAAGTTAAATTCACTCAGAACCAATCATAACCCCCAAATCCACCACGAAGATGTATGATAAGAGTTCAAAGTTGAGATAAAACGTATTTTTCACATTGACTTCATTCATATAGATATTCGGAATATAAAAAAATCAAACAAAGGTCACAAATCCCATCCAATCCAATCGGATCAGATATAGATTCAGATATAAAATCAAATCAATCCGCCCAACAACCAACAAGAAGAAATGAATAAGTAAATACTCAATCAATCGAGTCAATCAATCAACGAATCACCGCCAGAAATGCAACAGCAGGTTAGGCATAATAGCAACAAGCAAGCGAACTAATACACATGATAACATAGATTGGATCAAAGTCGGAATCAAGGCTCAGTCAGGGGTTAGCTCAAGAGCAAGAGACAGAGACAGAAGATCGAAGAATGGAAGGTTCAAGGTTAAAAGGTCAAAAAAAAATGTTAGAACAATAATCACACAGAAAAAGAAATCATTAAACCAGGGCCCTGGAACTAGTCATTTCACCATATCTACCTCTTCCCCTCGTGGTATCGTAAGCGTTGACAACGCGCATCTGCTGCCCGCCCTCGTCGGCCTGACTGAATGCATACCCACGCTGCTTGCGCATGCGCTGCACCTGCCGGACCTTGCGAATTGCCTTCTGGAACTGCTCCATGCGCGGCCGGTAGTCCTGGACATTATATTTCTGGATCTCCTGCACGTGATGGTAGTGCTGCGGGTAGTACATCCGTTTGGCGTATTTCCAGGCGTAGTCACGCAGGAGGCAAACACAAGGTAGCACCACCACCATGAGGTAGAAGACGGGAGATTTGAACAGCCGCGGGATCGTACCGTAGTATTCGGTCGAGAAGCCGATGGCCGGCGCGGCGTACCCGTACGCCGGCAGGAACGCCAACCAGATGACCATGGAGCCTGGGATGGCGATAAACGTGTACTTCGTCCAAATGTTGGTGATCAGCGCAGCCTTGCCAAGCACAGTCGCCAACACGGCTGTGTACAGAGCTGAACCCCAGACCCAGTGGCCGGAGACCATACCGTCCGCTTGGGGCAGATCCGAGTAGTAGATCAATTCGGAGACGATGTAGAGTAGCAGCGAATGGTAGAAACCGTTCAGAACCCACGACCAGAAACTGTGCCTCTTGAAGAACATCCCTTTCTGTCCAAGCTGGTACAGTTGGGGATATCGATCTAACAATCGGGCAGAAATAAACTGGTCGCAGATGCCCATGGCAAACGGAGGGAGCACGGTGAAGAAGACGTTATAGAAGGAAAGAGTCCATGATTCGTAGATGACTTCACCGGAGAACGCGTTTTGGAAAGAGTACTGTACTCGTTAGTAAACGGCAAACGATAAGAAAGTGCCTGACATACCCAAAACTGGGTCATATAGAGCGCAATGTTCTTGTAGAACGAGTACAGAATAACCCGACTGATACGATGATAACTCCACGCGCCATGCACCAGAAGCAGTTTGCGAAGGAAGCGGAACTGGGCAATCGACACATCGGCGGACCGAGCGGCTTGAAGACCCTCGACACCACTGATACCGACGCCGACATGAGCGGCCTGGATCATAGACACGTCGTTGGCGCCATCACCAATAGCAAGCAGTAGCGACTTGAGATGACGCTTGACCAGCTTGACCACCAGAGCCTTTTGAAGGGGAGAAACACGACTAAAAGAGTTAGAATTTTCCTACCGAGATGGAACGTGAGACTTACCAGCAAACCACTGCCTTACACTGAACCGCCAAGTCCAAGAACAGCTTCTCCATATCCTTCTCCAAAGCAAAAGTTAAGGACCGTCCGTCAATCACAAGGGCCAACGGTTCGGTTTCCCCGGAGGCTGCCTGGCTTTGAACGGCCTGCAGTTTCTTAGTTATGTTGTCCCTCGTAGCTTGCGCTGTTTCCTCGTTGATAACCAAAAGGGTCATATCTTCCGAGATCAGCTTGCACGACATGCCAATATTGATAGCCGTTTCCTGTCGGTCACCAGTCAAAACCCAGACCTTGATTCCAGCAGTCTGCAACGTGTGTATGGTATCCGGAACCCCATCCTGCAGACGATCCTCGATAGCCGTGGCGCCCAGCAGGTAGAAGTCCTTCTCGATTAGCTCTGACGCCTTGTCCAGCTCATCTGCCCGGTTGCCGCCGACCGTCGTTGACGCCTTGTCGTAGATCTGGTACCACTGCTGGAACTCCTCCTCCGGAATCTCACGCATGGCCAAACACAGAGTTCGAAGACCCTCCGAGGCATAGTCTTCCAGATGTTGCAAGGTTGCTTCAACGATGGGATTATCTGAATTCAGACGCTCCAGGATGACCGTGTCGGCACCTTTCGTATAGATACGGACCTTGCCATCGGGGCAGCGGAAAATCGTTGACATTCGCTTTCGGGTGGAGTTAAATTCGCAGACAGCAAGGAGCTCATACTCATACTCCTGACCACCCACGGTGATGAGCACCGATCGCGGCTTTCGGTTGGTGAATTGATAACCAAGCTGGGCAGCACCCTCAACCAGAGCTCCCTCGTCTGGAGACGCGGCCTGATACTTGATCTCGCCCGGCTTTTCGTCGTTTCGCTCTGGGATGACGGTATGACATGTAGCAAGTAGAGTCAGGAAGTGGTGCATCGCGTCCCTGGTCCGATGGGACTGCAGGTTATCGCGCAGTTGTTTGAAGTTGTGGACTCCGACTTCGACGCCGTCTTCGACTGTGGCTCGTCGGTCTTCTGGAATATCCTCGCCGTATTGAATCCCACCGATCGTGCACTGCTTGAACTCCATCATGTTGCAGGTCAGTGTGCCCGTCTTGTCGGAGAAGATATACTCGATCTGGCCCAATTCCTCGACCAGTGAAGACGTTCGACAGGTTGCCGGAGTGTCGGTTTTGTCGTAGTAAATATCCATATCGGAATTGATCAAGAACGCCTGTGCATACTTGACGATCTCTATCGTCACGAAAAGCGAAATGGGAACAAGATTCGAGTAGAGAACCCAGTAGGTGAAAATATCGAGTACAAATTGCTTCACCGGGTTGACGCTGCCGTAGGCCAGATACTGAAGTCGGTCGGCCTGGGTCTGCCGGATGATCAGGTCACCCACGGAACTAATCACAGAAAGAGCGATCAGAATGCCGACCAGCATCAAAATCTGGACGTTGACCATGCGCTCGACCGCGGTCCGCTTGATCGGAGTTGCCGTTGCATTGCGCATCAGTTTCGTTTCGTGACCGGTGAAGACAACGATTCCGTGCACCCACGGCGTGTTTCGCAGCGTCGCACCTCGCAGAAGAAGCTGATCCGGAGCTAGAGGAAGCTCCTTCTCTCCCCCTCCGGCGTGCATGGTCAACGTCGCCTCGTAGGTGTAGAGACTGCTGTTCGGTTGTTCGGAGCGAACGCGGCCGCTCAGTCGGCTGAGGTCGGCCGGACTTACGAGGTGGGCGGTTTCGGGAATGGCCTGCTTGATTTTCAGATTGGTCTCTCCGTCCAGATTGGCCGTCTCGATATAGCACAACCCTTCCGGTTCTGAAGATGCCAAGAGCACCAGATCGGCCGGGAAAGGCTGTTCGGACTCCACCCGGACAATATCGCCCACCGCTACATCAATCCATTTCGTATCGTGGAACGCAGACCCTTTCAGCACCTGAGTTTTCGAGTAGTTCAGACTCTTGTCTGACGTCCTCCGCTTATAATCTTCGACGAGTTCTTTGATAGCGGAGACGAGCAACACAATCAACAGCGGACCGATGGTGGTGTATCGATTGGTCGGAGACACGTTCGGGATCTGCTGCAGAACAGCCGTAAACAAGAAAAACAGGTTGGCGTATTTGGAGAACTGCTCGTAGAGGAACTTCGGCAGGAAGGTGATGATATTGTATTTGGCCGTGGACACGTGGTTGTCGACGAATTTGTGCACCGCGTTGGCCGGAGGATTATTTAACACGATCATGCGAGGGCCCAGCGTAGACGGGTCGACCTTACCGCGGCCAAAGCCAAACTTGAAGCTGGGCTTCTTGGGCTTCTTGGACCGGGGAGCAGCGGCCGCGTTCGTTTCGTCCGGGTCAGCGCTGTCGATGCGAGCCGCCCTCGCGCCGTGCTCCGTCAGCGGGAGATCCATCTCCGAGTATTCGGGAGCCATGCCCAGCATGTGCTTTGCTCGGCCCATCAGCCCGCCTCCCAGGCCCAGAATGCTATTCCGCTCGGTGGCTTGCCGTACGCGATGGCTGGAGTGTAAGGGGTCGTCCCCATCGTCCATGTTGTAGTATCCATGGTCGTCCTCGTAGTCGTCAACGGAATAGCGACGGTAGTTGCTCAGCCCGGAAGTCTGCGAATAGGTCCTCGAGACGTCGGTTCCCATATACGGATCGGTCATGTAGGCTCCCGACTGGACGGGAGGGTGCGCGGAGGTCATCGCACGGGCGCCGGGGTGTTGCTGCTGGAGATGCGGCGGCGGTTGATGTCCGCCGCTGCCGCCGACGAAACTATCGTAGGAGACGGAAGGTCGCGGTTGAGGTTCATCGGAGTCGTTGATGTTGAATTGTCGCAACAAGTGTTCATCGTTGACCGGTGGGCCCTGTCCCGGATTATACAAGGGAGTTGGTTCCTCCAGCTGCAGCAGATCGTCATCGCGGCCAGCGGCTGGATGAAGTCCTGGAGGCCTACCGCTGGCCATGATGATGGGGGCGGATAGACACCGTCAAAGCGATGGAATGCCCCTGGAGCATTGATAGGGGGGAGGAGAGGGAGGGGGGGGATGTGGGAGCACGAGGACGGTGAATATTAATGCGCGGGAGAAAAAGGTCAGAAAAGCAGAAAAGAAAAGGGAGAGAATATTATCGGGGCCAACAGGAGAGGAAGGGAAGGATGAATTCTGACTGCCTTCGGGGGGGAGATGCGTTTTGGCACTAACGAGTCCGGGCGGTGCTGATTTATGGATCTCCGTCTGTGGCTGGGGTGTCGCGGTTTGGCTTTCTTAGCTTTGGGGTATTTTTAGAGAGCGGAAGGGTGGAGATCTCTATTATCGCTGGAATTAATTTATAAATCTGGAGGGCATCTAGAAGATCTTTTTACACCGTAATGGCAGGAGACGTCTGGATCGTCCGATAATGGAATCTCGTGCAGTTATGACGTCCTTCGGAACTGGCCTGAATGCCCGTCTAGAACTGCCGCACGCCAAACAAAGGAGACCACAAGGCCTCGTGGTTTCAGATTTGTGAAAGAAGGATTCGATGTTGAGTGTCTAGACTCTGTCGGTTTCGACCCTCAGATCCAGTCATTGCGCATTATTGGTTATCATACATCAATTGCTTAAATCGATTTTCTCTACTATTCCATCCCCTGTTCACCAAAAACTGCTCACCGATCATTCTCTGCGCGGGATTGCTCCGCGAGACCGCCCTTGGCCCGTTTCGCAAGATCGGCCTGAAGAGCCTTGTCGACGATCGCGTTGATCTCCTTGACCTTCTCCAGCGCCAAATCGGTTTTCTTGACGAACACCATCGCTTCCACGGGCGAGCCGGAGAATTTGGACAAGAAGCAGACGTCGCCGGCGCCGTTCATACCGATGATGACGTCCGCTTCCGACGCTTGTTCTTCCTTCCGCGTGGCGTCTACGATCACCACCTTGCCCTCGTCGAATGTATGGAATGTGACGGAGAGCGGCTTGTGCGTGATGTTCAGAGGAACCGGAACCCGTTCGTCGAGTCCGTAGACGATCACTTGGCCGTCCTTCACCACCGCATCGGGACGACGGAAATGCTGCAGTCCCGCCATAACGCCGATGCAGGCCGCATCAATCAGGTTTCCATCGTAGTCGGTGATGTGGACGTCCGCGCGAACGCCCCAGCAACTCACACCTTTGAGGATGCATAGCGATTCCGTATCGAGGGCGTTCGAGTGGCGGACAACTCGGTCGAGGACATTCGTAACGTAGGTTTCGAGATCTCCTTGCCTAGAAATCATGAGCGACGCCATCAATATTGCGGGAGTGCACAATGTAAAGCCGGAACAAGGAAGAAGTTCGTCTGGGCATCCAGGACAGGAGCATGTAGGTAGCTTACCGGCCATTATCCCAAGCCGGGGAGCCCATTGCAGTCAGCTCCAGGGCGATGGTAAAGGTCCCATCGAAGGGACGGTCATCGTGAGGTTTTGTAACTTCCGAGGAGATACGCACGATCAACCTCGTCTTGCCAAGCTGCACCTTCACATGTCCGTACTCCTCGCCAAAGGAAACGCTCAAAGAACGGAACTGGTCGAGATGGCGGCCGTCCAGTCTCACATTTTCGCGCAGAGCATTGACGATGAAATCGCGCTCAGAAATGGAGAGCGGTGCTTCTTTGTTCATGATTGAGGCGGAATCGGCCCCGGCGGGGACTTTGATCTTGAGTGTTGCGACTTGGGATTTTTGCTCCTCCGCGGCGGCGTCATAAAGCGGGTTATCGTTGTTCCCGGAAATTGGGGTGTCCGCCAATTAGAGATGGGACAACTCAGGCGGTGAGCCATGAGAAGGCAGGTTGGCTATGACCGACCGCTTGCCCAAGACGGACTAGTGTAGAGCTTGGCTGCAGGTCTGCACGTGATCAGCTTTCTCTAACTAGGCAAGGGGCAATAAACCAAGGCGGTGTGAGTGATCTGCCAGGACCGTTCATTCAGTCTCGATTCTCGGCTTCTCTGCTACCACAGACTACAGCCACCATGACTACCGGTATGAAGTTCCAGATCTCGGTCATTTGCATCATGCGCTAATATTCCATCAGCCCACAGACCCACATTTGATCCCGTATGTTCGCTGACTCCGTTCATCGCTGCGTCGACTGACCACAATTACAGGCGCAAGGGAAAGAGGCCCTCCGCGGCCCGGCATACCACCAGCGACTTCTCCCGGCGCACACGCACCTAAAGACTCGGTATGTTGCACACTTCCTCCGCCGAACTAGCTAACAACTTCCAGACAACTCGGACAAGGCGGCGAAAACGAATCCCAGCAACGCGACCTGCGCGCCGAACTGCTCCAGGCCGAAGCCGCTCACTTCGCTAAGAAGAACGGTGTCCCTGTCGATACGCCCGCCCTTGAGAATGCCGCGCCGAAACGTCAGCTAGAAGGAGCGCCGACCAGTGAAGAGGGACTAGAGGAAGAAGACCCGGAAGCGAAACGGCGGCGAATATTAGAAGAAACGCGAGATATTGATGCAGATTCGGACGGGTCAGAAGAAGACAGTAGTGATGATGACAGGTTAGTTGGTCGTTCGCGTATGAAGGAATTCGCTGACTGGCTCTAGTGATGACGACGAGGACGAGGCTGCCGAGTTAATGCGAGAGCTGGAGAAGATCAAAAAAGAGCGACAGCAGCAGAAAGAGAAAGAGGTATGTATCGCGTGAGAGATGACGAGATTGTCGCTTACGGTTTCTAGGAACAAGAACGCGCCGCTGAGGAGGAGGAGCAGCGGGAGGTGGATATTGCGCGAGGCAATCCCCTGCTGAACGCCCAGGACTTCAACTTGAAGCGGAGATGGGACGATGACGTCGTTTTCAAGAACCAAGCTCGGGGGACCGAGAACAAGGGCAACAAGGAATTTGTCAACGTACGTGCGCTGGAACTGCTGACACGATCTTGAGCTAATGACTTCTAGGACTTGCTGCGATCTGACTTTCACAAGCGCTTTATGGTAAGTTGACTGAGCAATCTAAATGGATGTCTACTAATGAAGTATAGTCCAAATATGTCCGGTAGATTGCGAGTTGCCGCTGCTATCTAACTACACTTCAATACTACTTCTCGAGCGCATTCTTAGGAAGACAAATTTCAACAGGGCGGACTTTCTCGAAGGCTGAGTCCCTCCCAGAACCATAGCATCGGGGCAAACTTATAAACAGCTCAAGTGAACGCATCTGCTTGCCTATCTCGAGCATGGCTATGCCCAACAGAGGTGCTTCAGGATGCCGGGGCTGTAGCCCCAGACATAATGCTTGTCGATTTGTACCTAGATCATTGATGTAGCGGACTTACCTCCAAAATGGCCTGTACAAGTATAAACATAGCTTTGTAGTCGTGAAATAACCTCCAAACCATCCCACCGACTCCAAATTGCCGGCAAAACATCCCCTCCTCTCCACCGCCCGCCCTCACCAGCCGACCACCGACCGACAATCCCTCTTGCATTGTCCATCAATTCACCAAACCACCGAGTCAATCAGGAAAAATTGCTGGACAAGATCGATAACATGGACTCTCAACCGTCATCGAAAGCATTGCACAGTACGCTACCTGAACCATCCCCGCCTGCTCCCTCGGAATCGACCGACAACGGCAAACGTACTAAACAACTCGTTAGACCGCATCAACACCGACGTATCGCAATTACTGCAGCGATTCGAAAATATCATGGCGACAGCTACTGTACGTATTTCCTTGTCAGTTATTTGACCGATCAATTTGGGCACGGGAAGATAGACCGATGCATGTAGAGATACTAACAGAACCAACCATCCAGGTCGAAAGCACAAGCCACACATCCACCGCCGTCGAAACTTACCAGCTTGATGTCGAATCCACAGCTCTAGTGCGTTTACCACCAACTAACTAGCCTAACTATCTCTGCCCTGCCTATACTGCTCCTTGCCAATTTAACCAACTCCACCCAAACGAAAGACGAACGCAACCCAGCTCACAACCCCCGGTGAAACAACAGGTCCGCGCCGCAGAAGACATCCTCTCCCTGACCCGCACGATGAAAGAAACATGGCTTTTTGGGAAACTGGACACGCTTGGTGAAGACGAGGCGGATGTGAAACGTCGGGAGAAGCTAGAGCAAGACGCGGATGCGATTCAGAAGGCTGTTGAGGATGGCGGGTTGTTGAAGGCTGCGAAGTAGTCTTTATCTTGCTGGGTTTATACCTGCGTAGGCTATGGGTGTTCTTTTTGAGGGAATGGGTTGTATTTTGTATGTATATTGGGCTGATTGGTTGATTTGGCTCCTGGCGAGGTGTTTTGGGGATGGCGTTAGACTGGTTCTTCTTTAGATATGGGTCTGGTTGGGTGGATGGTGTATTATGATTAGTGCATTTGATTAAGCAATTCGGTTGAGATTGCGATTGGCGTTTCTGTTAGATTTTTATTTGTGTATCTGTTGGGAATTGGGATTGGTAAATGACATTGAAAACCCATGGTTATTGTAACTCCGCGGCGGGGCAAGTCAGTCATCATATCTATCGCAATCTCAACTTCACCTTCTCTCTCCATCCTCCATTCCTCGAACTACGAACCAACCAACGAACCTAGCTATCTGAACACCCACACCCACAACCAACATCTATATACAATACTCTTCACTGGGTAAACCAGCTCTTAACAACCACCACCACCACCACCAAAAGACCAAAAGCAAAATGCCCCCATCACCACCCACGCACCCACCCCTCCTAGGGAAACAAAACCCCCTAACGCTCATCGTCGCAACAACCCCAATCCCCTCTTCCTCCGCCTCCAACCCCGCCAAGACACGTCTCGGTATCGGCCTCAACGGCACCCTCCCTTGGCCACGCATCAAAACCGACATGTCATTCTTCGCGCGCGTCACGACGCGTCCACCCGCTTCTATCCCAGGGTCCACGAACGCGATCGTCATGGGACGGAAGACGTATGACTCCGTTCCGGCGGGGTTGAGACCGTTGGGGAAGAGGTTGAGTGTGATTCTTTCGACGGGTGGGGAGGGAGGCAAAGGTGGGCTTGGGGAGAGGGTGAGGGGGGACTTGGAGAGGAAGTTAAATAAGGAGAGGGAGCAGCTGGAGCAGAAGAAGCAACAGGCAGAAGTACAGGGACAGGCAGATGGACAGGGACAAGCACAGTCCGGATCGCAAGCCAACACCTCGGAAAACAAGGAAGAGCAACCCGGCAAACAAACCTCCGCGCACATCTCCACCTCCCTCCCCCAAGCACTCGAAACCCTCGCCCAACCTCCCTCGACAACCGGCCTCCCCGAACTCGGCCACGTGTATATCATCGGCGGTGCAGAGATCTATGCCTCGGCGCTGGACCTCCCCGCGACGCAACCGGTGCGGATCGTGATGACGAACGTGGAGAAGTTGAACCCGGGGGAGACGTTCGACTGCGATACGTTCTTCCCTGTGGACGAGGAATTGGAGGAGGAGAGGGGCTGGAGGAAGGTTGGTGCGGAGGAAGTGAGCGCGTGGGTGGGCGAGGAGGTTACTGGGGAGTGGAAGGAGGAGGGGGATGTGAGGGTTCGGATGGTTGGGTATGAGAGGGTTTAGTTTCTTTTATCTAGGAATTGAATGCACTGGGTTGTGAGATGACCAGGGAGGGTGGAATGGGAGGATGGGGTGTAGGGAAAAACCTGTCTACTGGTAATAGGGCTCACGTTCACTGTAAATAGTCTATGCATTCGGCAATAAAACCAACTCTTTCTAATAAGCTATCAGTCCATCCAATGGACAAGTAATGCAATCGCTCAAAACAAGAAGACAAGCTAGGCCAGGCTAATATACACCAACAAGTATGGTATAAGAAAGAAAGAAAGATAGAAACGCAATGAAACAAAATATATGCGAGCTGGGAATAGCAGCGTCAAAATATGCATACCTTACCACCACCAGAAGAGGAATATGAACAGACCAAAGTTCAGGGCCACAATTTACAAGCCAAGAACAATAGAGCCAAAAGCGATATCAGGCTATCACTCGTTCTGTTTCATGAACTTCACGAACGCCTTCTTATGCACCAGGCCAGCGTATTGTCCGTTCTGAAGAACGCACAGATACCGCAGCCCCAGCTTGGCAAAGCATTGATATACAAGGTCAATCGGAGAGTGGATGTCAAGAGAGATAGGTGCCTGGAAAGCAGGTCAGTATTGAATGACACACACTAGACATGGGAAGGGGAGACCTACAGGGTCAATATATTGCCCAAAATCCACATGATCCGTCTCGTCTCCTTCGCCGTCCGACAGAACCGAAGACGCATCCAGCGCCATCAGACACAGCGTATTATCCTCGTCCTCGAGATCATCCAAGGCGAACTCAAGCTCTGGAGCCGGAATCAGCCCCGTGAGAATGTTGTCGCGTAGGATGGGAAGACCGCTGTCCAGTTCGCCTGCTACGAGCAGGTTCTGCAGTTTCGAGCGAAGCTCCGTGGCGGGGACGAATGGGGAGTCGGAAATATCGATCACCCGGCTCTTGCGGACCGGCCGGACGATATCCCCTAATGCTGCGTCGGACATCACTTGGATCTTGTTGTCCAAGAACGGGTAGGAGTTCATGTCGGTGAGAAGATCCTGCTGAAGTCAGTATTCATCCTGCCTCAAGATATCGGAGTACGTACGTAGATGCTGCGCGGCTCGATCGCATCCGCTGTCCACTTGGCGCACAAAACGGCAATCGAGAAAGGCAGCACATGGTCCAGACTGCCGGTCAGTTCGAACAGGATCACAGCCAAGGTCACCGACAACCGGGTCACACCGCACATCGTGGCTCCCGCAGCCACCATAGCGTATACGCCCGGGGTCACGCAGGATTCCATGCCCGAGGTGGCGGGACAGGAGGACCCGAAGAGGAAAAAGCTGGGATACTTCACCACCAGGTACTGTGCAACATGGCCGACAATGCGTCCCATGAGGCCGCCAACAACCATCGACGGCACGTAAATTCCCGCCGGAGCCTTGATCCCGAAGGTCACCACGGTGAGAATGCTCTTGATAACAAACGCCACGGAAAGATAGCTGATGATCTCGCCGATGCCATCCTCGCCCGGACACAGCCCCGTGCGCGATGTGGATTCACGCTTACACGGACTGGCCAGCTCGAACAGAAGCTCCGAAACGGGCAGCTTGGTATACCGGTTCCAGAAGCTGGTCACTCCGGTGAGCAGCGCTACGAGCATTACCTCGAGCATTGGCCGCCGCTTGATGATGGGGATTCGGCGGAAGGATCGTGCCCAAAAACTAGATGCCTTGATGAAGAGAGCGCCCAAGACGCCTCCCATCACGCCCAGCAAGATGAAGATGGCCATCTCGAAGAGTTCCCAGTCCCCGAGGTACCGCACCTCGAAGAGAACAACCTTACCCGTGCCATAGGGGTTCAGAAACTTGAGAGACAGCGTCGCCGCAATACAGCAGAAGAAGGTTCTGAACAGAGTCTTGGGCGGGAAGTAGTAGCTAACTTCCTCGAGACTGAACAGAACACCACCGATAGGAGCTCCAAACGCAACAGCCACGCCGCCTGCAGCGCTCGCACTCAGCACCTCTCGTCGCTTCCCGTCATTGTGACTGTACTTGGCAAACAATCGACAGCAGATATTCCCCACGCACGTGGCGATATGTACGTAGGGACCCTCCTTGCCGAGACTCAGACCAGATGAGACGCTGAACACAAGCGCAATAGTTTTGATCACCAGCGTCTTGAAGCCGAGGTAGCCGTGCAGCACAAAGCCACTGTTGATGACCTTCACCTCGGCCACCCCGCTACCGGCGGCGGAGTAGTAGACCATGTCGGGACGAGTGCGAATCGGATAGTAAGACTGTGGCCGGTCTTCCGACTCAGGCGAGTCCTCCGCGTTGCGCTTTGTTCCGCGCGACGAGGCAGCCCCGAGATCCTCGTCCAACGTCGTCAACGAGACGGACGAGGGAACCACCGTTTTGGTAAGCAAAGTCAGAGAGCAAGAGATCATAGACAAGAGGAGCACCCAAAACACGAACATGGCAAAGTCCACGCCCTGACTTTCCGTCCGCGACGGTCGAAGCATCCTCGACCATGACCGCCATGCCGCACAATCCGACTCGTCGAGACAGCAGCTCTGCCGACTGTGGAACCACCGCGTCGTGCAAAAGCCCTCTTTCAGATCAAAAACAAAGTCCTCTGTAACGTCCACAAAGTACGCGATAGCCGCTGTTATGCAGCCGATAAGAGCCACCAGAATCCAGCCCTGAGCCCCGTCGAACCATGCTAAGAGTCGACCCCGAATGTCCTTCCGCCTGCGCAATTCGCGCAGACGAGCGCCGTCGGCGATGCTGTCATGCACCCAGTCCGTGGAGGTGAACTGATCGTACCAGGTGCGTTCGTCCAGAAACGACGCCGTCATGCCATCTTTCGCCGACGCAGCGAGACTATCCGCGTGTTCTCCATCCAGACTACTCCGCCGACTGAATCGAATATTCTGCGAATTGGCGCGGCTATGATGTCGGGATCGACGCAAACTCCCGGCTAGCAGCGAATGTCGAAACGGAATGTCAGTGCCGGAACCGCCGGATAGATTGGTATAAGACCGTCGCAGAGCTCCTTTGCGTCCTTCCTGCTGCTTCCCTAACAGACTAGTAGTCTCCCCGACCTCCAGCGGCGTATCGAGCGATTCATACTGGGTATGGGACTCGGACAGAAGGCTGTGGCTTCGTCGGAAAGCCGCAGGGGAGGGCGGAGCGGTTCGCGAGGCGGACATAGGACGATCCGGAGGGTCAGCGGAATTTTGGTCCTCGTCCGGAGGGAGGTGCGGGAAATAGGAGGAAATCGAGCGAGGCATGATATTATTTTTTAGAGATGGCGGTGACGAAAGTCGGGGTTGCCTCGGAGTTTAAATCCAACGCGCTATGACCTTGTGTTAGGACGGTCCTCGGCAGCCTAAAGGGGCCTAAACAATCACGCACCGACAAACATTTCTCATCTCCAGATGAGAAAACAGTCGGACAGACAGATCAGAAAGGAGTGGTGATGTGATGGGCAAGCAAAAGTCCGACCGCAATGAATGATACAGACAGATTCCCCGCAATTCTCCAATAGCGAGGAGAGCCCGAAGTTGAAGAGTCGAGGACGATGACCCTCGAGACTGAACAAAAGGGGGAGTGGGATGAGGGAAAGACGGAAAGATAAAATGAGAATCAACAAAGAGGGGCAGTATTAAAGGAGTTGGAGACTAGTCCGGGATTAAGATGGCAGACGAACAATGCGAAGAATAGTGCATCTTGGGGTGCAGGCAGATGACCCGCTCATCGGGGGGCGCTAAAAGCACATCATCTGATGAAGATCCCCGTTGGCCATCAGGACTTGGGCTGTTGCAGCACGACCGGTCTGACTCTGACACTATCTCCGTGTTGATGGCATGGCAATGGGAATCAAGAGTTTTGAACCATGGATCTTCATTCCTCATCACACGTGGACTGTCACGCGTCCATTGCCCTGGCTTTGTCAGCATCACTATCAGTGAAGGTAGGAATCAATATCCAGTATACGGAGTATTTGATTATGATCAAGATCCATTATCAAGAAAGATCGCATCATCCAGGCCTGATAGCCACCAACGAATCTAGACTCGCCATGACACCGCGCATCGTCCTTCCCCGCACATTGTTCGTAACCCGAGGAGGACTGAGCTCTGTCTCGCCACTCGGGGAAGCAAGCTACTGCTTGTACCTCTCCGGGGCCCGAGGGATTCTAAACCAGTCATCGGAAGGCAATGTACCGATGTACATCGACATCGCAGGGACGGTCGCCGGAGAGTGGCCTCAATGTCAATTTCGGTGGTGGGTAGCAAGCCGTGACCCACAAGCCATGCAGCGTGCATCGCGGGTTCTAATTCATGCTATGCGCTGTCGGCGCCCAAAGCAAGGTTGATTCTAGTTGAAGTCGATCCTGATTGATGATCTGCACCGTTTCTGGTTTCAGTTGTCGACGAGGCGGGATTTGAATCCTCTCAATATATTCCTGGACAAGGATACGGAGGATGTACGGAGTAGAGTGGATGGAATGCGGGGATCATCCCTCCGCTGAGAACTTTGGTCCCTTGACGTCCGAACACGGCAGCAATTGTCTTGATTCAGGAATATCAACGCCCAATTGCTACACGAGGCCCCTCCAGATAACAACCACCTTGCTACGAAAGTACGATAACAAGCTATCCCATTGGAATGGTGTCTCAAGTAGCCTTCCGGAGGCTGGTCGTAGTAAAAGCAATGGCGAGAATTATCAAATTTTATTTGAACTCAATGCGTCTAAAAACCGAACAATAACAAAGGTATCCGTCAGAAGCCCTGCCAGTAAAATCAAATCGCTATCCATATTTTAAACAAGAAGAACCCTGCGTCCGTTAGTGGGATGCCCCGGAAAGTAAAAGATGGATGACTTACGCATTCACGCAACCGTCGTTCTCGGGGTTGTCTAACACACAATTAGCTTTCGCCATCGACATTCAGACGACACACTTACTGGTAACCTGTGCCCATTTACCCCAAACCACCTTGCCTGACGTAGTGACCATTCCCAGGTCACTGACGTTGACTTCGATGATGGTACCCCGACTCAAAACTCCAAGACGAGTGTACAGCGGGTTGTTGGGGTTCTTCTGGACATTGAGGATAGGGACCTGAATCGTAACGCCGAGCTTGGGGTGGGTGACATTGGCCTTCTTGTAACGCAAACCCATGGGTCTAGGAAGAAAGTCAGCCGTCATCATCCATCATCATCCATCACGAATCCGATCGACAAGCCATACCGGATGAATCGCTCGTATTTCACATTCTGTCTCGTGAAATCCTGACCGACGAAAGTGGGTTTCGTGATCATCCGCTTCCACGCCTTCTTATGGGTCTTCTTTCCTGTGTTCACCACCTTGAACATCTCCTCCTCCGAGATACCGCGCACTTTAGGAATGGGCACGGCGAACTTGGCGGCCTTCTCGTTACGCTTGTCCTTGATGGCGGAGGACAGGGCCTTGGCGTTGGTGGCCTCGGAGCGGTCGAGCAGGTAGTGCGGCACGGCGGACGACAAATCGGCGGCTTCGGTGTTGGACTTGACGTTCTTCTCCTCCTGGGCCTTGATGCGCTTGCGCATCTGGATCTTCTCCTTGTGGCGCTGCTGCTGGTGCAGCTTGGCCCGCAGACCGCGCAGGTTCTGTGCATCCTTAGAGGCCTTGTGGCCTTCACGGGCCTGCTTCTTGCGAGCCTTCTCGTCGGCGTCAAATCTGTGGTGGGTTAGACGTCAGCCATCAGGTAGAGGTAATGGAAGAAAGGGATTGATGCGTACCGCTTTCCGTGCAGCTTCTGCCATCTCTCGACGTATTCGTTCTGAGGCATGGTGGCGGGCTTTCCTCAGAAATGTGAAGGTTGCGGAGTTGGAAAGATTGGATGGGAATCTCTCGATAAGGATTATTTGGGCCGCCGGAGGGCTTTTTTTCATTTTTCTCGGCGTGCTGATTGGTAGGGAGACTGGGCGGTGGCAAAAATCTTGGAGGGCGGTGGGCGGTGAGTCACGTGTTAGTTTGGGGTTAGGCTGTTGCCTGAGGAACCCACATCAGAAACCATCAGTCAGTATACTCGAGGGATATTGTTGTTTCTTCTCGTCTTCTTTTTTCCTTGTCTCACTGGGACTTCTACCTATATCCTACTGTTATTGAAATGAGCTCTGAGTCGTAAGGCACCTAGGTTCGTTCACGACTAGCATAGCAACAGAAAAGCCCTAATTTGAACTGAGATCGGATGTATATTAATGGCACTCTGCTAGAGTACGGAGCAACTAGTAAAGAGATAATCGCAGAGTGTTTCCCTTGGCAGTTACTGCAAAGTGATATATGTTACTATCAACATACCAAATTGAAACTGGTTCTAATTAGTTGTTTTCTCTCAGACTGTCAGATATTCACTCTATCTGCCAGTTTTCAATTTTGGGTCATACTCGCTGGATATAGATCTAAAGGTATACTATTTGAAATACGCCTTCTGGAAGGACTTAATGTATCATCAAACAATCTACAATCTATCGCACCTACTCGGTGCGGAGATCCGCGCCGCCCCTCCCAGGCGTGCCACGGTAGGCACCGAAACCTCAACCAGGCCGATCCCGATCAGACGATCCGCCAATGTGATCTGAAGTGGCGCAGGCACAGGCACACGGAACCATCCTTGCGGTCAGCTCTATATCTCTCGTCGACGTTTTTGATTTTAAACAGTGACTGAGTCAACGTATAACTCTCTACGATTTCCTCGATCTTTCCTCCGGTAGGTTACACTAAAGACTCCTTACCCATGGTCCTGGACGTGGAAATTTCCATGTCCTGACTTTTACCGTCTACTAACTTTGACTCAGACAATGCAGATAAACTAAGCACTATGCACTAAGCAATGATAAATGATGAAGTCACTCGGATCCTTATTCCAGGACTTAGCCTTGTGAATCATACTCGATCGACACCCATCGCTTCATTTCTATCTAGTCCGCTCTAGTCTCCTCAGAAACTGAATACCTATACTTGCTACCTATTCTAAGGTACTTGTTGTTCACCATGAACGTCTTCCCCGATCGACCCAGCTTAATCACGCTCGAAGCGCGTCCACGCTCGCACGATTCCGCCGTGATCGCCATCCTGCTGGAGGAGCTACGGTAAACAGGGCCCATCCAGCCCATCACATCACATCTCATTAGGACTGACCTAGGATATAGACTCCCATATGAACTACACCTCACAGACAGTCACGTCCCTCAAGTTCCTCATCTAACGGACACCCATTCCAACGGGGCACAAATCGGTCTGAGCGACGTCGTCTCGATCGCGTCGTACCTCGTCGCCCAGTACGACAAAGAACAGAGAGCCATCTCCTACAGGAACGGGACCAAAGAAGCCGCGGAGATCCAGGGCTGGGTGGGACTTTTGTCTGAGCGGTCCAAGACGCCGGCACAGGCACAGGCCCAACGGAAGGCACAGACACGACGCTCCTCGCCATCGGACGATGCACAAGCCCGGGAGAGTCGGGTGCAGGTAGTGCGGAAGATGTTACACCTGTACCTCCTAATGGAAGGACGGTTGCAGGATCGGAAGAGCGGGGGGTATTTGGTGGGGAGGAAATGGTGAGTCTTTCAGCTCTTTCCCTGAGGTTCGAGGGAAATGACTAGGTGAAGCTGACCATTTGATGCAACAGCACCCTGGCGGATCTAATTCACTTCCCAGCCGTCGCGGCCGCTGGATCCCTCGACATCGATCTGGAGCGGTTTACGGAGTTGACGGCGTGGTATAATCGACTTTGTGGGGTGGGAGCGGTGCGGAGGGGGATGAAGGCTGTGAATCTGGAGATTGGCGAGTTAGTTGATTGATGTTGGACTGATTGATTTGAAATGAGGGTGTTGTTGGCGTTGAATGAAAGGGGATCTCCATGGCGTTTTGGCAGTGTGTGGATTTACGTTCTTTTGTGATATCTCTGCCATCTTTGGGAGTCTTGTTGACACGTATATTTTGGTCAACTGTATGCATCCTAACAGGTCAAAAGAAGACCGATCGATTGTCTGAATGAAGGCATTGTTTGCTTGCTGATGGTCCGATGGGGTTAGTATGTAAGTTGGCCGTGTTCCGATGACCTGTACCTAAATTATTGATGATGAAACCCTTTTGTAGATGGTGTCTTAGAGTCGACAGAATGTTCGTCCTGCTGTAGATCCGACCTACGTCAGCATTGTCTGATCCGATGATAAGATCGCATCGCATCGCATCACATCACCACTTCAATATCCTGATATTCTTTGTTAATTCTCCTCTTTCCCACTTCCAACCGAGCATCCCAGCACCGGCAACCTATAACGAGACCCGAATTCCGCCACGCGTCGGACAATCGGCGGCATCAGCCCATCCGTTCTTTGACAGCTGCAGGTGATCTTTCTGGGCAGGTATGACGCCCAAGGCTGTCGAGTGAATAAAAGCTGGGAATTTCCATTTTCACTTTCATCACTTTGTTTCATCATCACTCCTTGTATTTCCCTACACCTTCCCTTTCCTTAACCTTTTATCTACCTTTCTCAATCTTTTACATCTCTCACACCATCTTTTGTCTTCTCTACAAGTATTAATCCTCCAAGCCATCATGCCCACCCGTAATATCGGTATCCTCACCTCCGGCGGCGATGCCCCCGGCATGAACGCCGCCATCCGCGCCGTCGTCCGCACCGCCATCCGCTTCTCCTGCACCCCCTACGCCATCCACGAAGGCTACGACGGCCTAATCACCGGTGGACCCGCTAGCATTCACCCTCTCGTCTGGGAAGACGTGCGCGGTTACCTCCCCCGAGGAGGCACCTTGATCGGATCTGTGCGATGCAAACCCTTCATGCAGCGCGAGGGGCGTCTACAGGCAGCCAAGAACCTGATTCTCAACGCGATCGACGCGCTGGTGATCTGCGGCGGAGACGGCAGCTTAACAGGAGCAGATGTCTTTCGCGGCGAGTGGTCGGGTCTACTGGCCGAACTAGTGGAGGAGGGCGAATTGGAACCTGAGCAGGTCAAGGGTCATGAGAATCTAAGTGTCGTGGGTCTGTTGGGTTCCATTGATAATGATTTTTCGGGCACGGATGCTACGATCGGTTGTTATTCGGCGTTGACGAGGATCTGCGAGGCCGTGGATGATGTCTTTGATACGGCGAGCTCCCATCGCAGGGGATTTGTGATTGAGGTGATGGGTAGGCATTGTGGATGGTTGGCGCTCATGGCCGCTATTGCTACCGGGGCCGATTGGTTGTTTATTCCGGAGAGACCACCGAGGCAGGGCTGGGAGGACGATATGTGTGAGATTATTATGAAGGTTCGTCTTCTCTTTTCGGTTACAATAAACTGAGATGAGGCGTCAAGCAGGGGTTTAGGGCTAACGTGTCGCAGAATCGAAACCGTGGCAAACGACGCACCATTGTCATCATGGCTGAAGGTGCCCAGGATCATAATTTGCAGCGCATTTCCTCCGAAATGGTCAAAAACGTCCTCAGTAGCCGGTTGGATCTCGACACGCGTGTTACCGTGCTTGGTCATATTCAGCGCGGTGGCAGTCCCTGCGCCTACGACCGTTGGCTCGCCACCCTGCAGGGCATTGAGGCCGTCAAAGCGGTGCTTGATATGACGCCCGACTCTCCGTCGCCAGTCGTGACAATTCAGGAGGCGCGGATTAAAACCTCCTCGTTGGCTGAGACGGTGGCTCTCACTAAAGAGGCCAATGCGAGTCTGCAGGCAAAGGACTTTGACAAAGCGATGCAGCTGCGAGATCCCGAGTTCATGGAACATCACCGGGCATATCGACGACTGAGCACGGCAGATCATCCGCGTACGATGCTGCCAGAGGAGAAGGTACGTCATCTCTCCCCACCCTCTGACCGTCTATACTGATCATTTGACAGAGGATGCGCATCGCCATCGTTCACGTCGGAAATCCCGCCGCTGGCATGAACGCCGCCACGCGCGCTGCCGTTGCCTACTGCCTGACCAAAGGACACACTCCCATCGCTATCCACAATGGCTTCCCTGGTCTCTGTCGTCACCACGCCGACACGCCCGTCTCCAGCGTGCGAGTCCTACGTTGGGAAGACTGCGAAGACTGGATCACCGACGGCGGCTCAGATATCGGCACGAACATCGGCCTGCCCGATGCTGACCTACCCACCACCGCACGTTGCTTCGAATCGCACTCCTTCGACGCCCTTCTCGTCATCGGCGGCCCCGAAGCCCACGCTGCAATCCACCAACTCCGCGCCGCCAGATCCACCTACCCATCCTTCCGCATTCCCATGATCCTCCTCCCCGCCAGCATGGCCAACAACGTCCCCGGAACCGAGTACAGTCTCGGCTGCGACACCAGTCTCAACACCCTCGTCTACTTCTGCGACGTCCTCCGACAATCTGCTTCCTCGTCTCGGCGCCGCGTGTTCGTCGTCGAAGCCCAAGGCTCCGGCGTGTCCCTTCCGGAACAAGAACCCAACTCCGCATACCTCGCCACAGCAGCCGCCCTGACCGCCGGCGCCATGACTGTCTACACACCCACAAACCCAGTCACCCTCGATCGCCTCTCCAACGATATCTCGTACCTCCGCTCCCAATTCGCAAATGAGCACGGCGCGCCCCGAGCCGGCAAACTGATCATTCGCACTGAAAACACCTCCCCGCAATACAGCACCGACATGATCGCGCGGATCATTCAAGACGAGGCTCATGGACGGTTTGAGGCGAAGGGCGTCGTGCCGGGACATTTCCAACAGGGCGGGAAGGTCTCCCCGATTGATCGTATCAGGGCGTTCCGGTTGGCTGTTAAATGTATGGAGTTCCTTGAGGGATGGGCTGGTCGACCTGTGGGTATTGATGGGGAGGGAGTCGCGCGGATCGGGATCAGAGGAAGTAGGGTTCTGTTGGAGGAATTGGGCGATATTAAAGATGGGAATGGAAATGGGAATGGCGAGGGAGATGCGGAGAAGAAGGCGTGGGAAGGATTGCAGGATGTGGTGGATTTCTTGTCCGGCAGGGCTGTTCTGTAGGTACGCCTTTAGAACAGAAGCGGGTTGATGATCTTACGATAGCTTAAATTCGATTACTCTACTGGAAGCGAATACTTCTACTACCTTTGAATACAGGATCTCTTCTATTTCTGTGATATGGGCACGCAGTTCCTTCTTATCCTACCTACCCTACTTTCTCTATGTATGTACCTTACCTATGCTACTTTACCATCATTTTATTCACCTTCTCTAGTAGCCTGCAGGTATTCAATGGCTTCAAACGTCTGGTTTGCTGCTGCTGAGCATAGTATTCTTTCTGTGATGGGAACATTGGATTCCCCGTTATCGTCGCTCTCAAATCGACCCATTTGAAGGCACCCGCCACCAGAACGGCCTCTGTGACATCCAAGGCAACACGTCCCGTTTCCCGCTTTTCCAGAAGCATTTTCATCAAGCTCATTCCTTTTCCCAAGTTTCTTGCGACAGTGCAAATGCAATCTTCATCAAGGAAACATTCATTATGACACTGTTCAAAGAGAAAGTCTAGGGATGTCAAGCCCGTACGCCCCTTTGCGATGCTGAACAGAATCTTCCGGGTGATTTCCACACCTGGCGCTCTTTTTGTCCATAAGAAGGAGAAACAGTCGGATTGTCATTATGCCGGCCTGCAAGGCTCAACAACCGCTCTTGAATTGCCATTTCACTTCCACGAACGTGGAAGTGTGTTTCCAATACCTCTAATGGAGCAACCATTGCAAAGGTCAATGGGACGTCTTCATCTAATGGAATTCCAGATCCAAGTTCTTTCAAGATGAAAACAGCCATAAAAGGATTGATATCACTATTCTCAGCGATTGTACGTACCAACCCCGGTGTCATTAGAATAGCAGTTGGCCTAGCCCGAGTTGAGAGGCCAAGTAGAGGGGAAGTTTCGGCTTCATACCAGGTCTTCCCAATGGCAGGGTCATGTTAGACCAGTTCTCGTACTATACGACGTTCAAACAGAGAAAACACGTCTTTTGTCAGGATTGTGGGTTCGGTAGCAGAGTCACTGAGCTTATGGAAGTGCTCAACCCAATGCTTTGCGGCATAGCAAAATAATGGAAGAGTGTGTAAGCATTCTTCGGTAAGAGGTTCGGTTTTCTCAAGCATATCCTCGAGAGCGCGAGTTGCTATGCTTGGATGCCCTTCAATTTCGCTCAGCTGCCACCAGTGACTCGGGTGATTAGTATCTTGAGCAGTTAGGAATTCCTTGACAGAGAAGTGGGCGAGTTTAATAGTTCTGCCAGACTCGCTGCGTGTAACAAGAGAGGTAGTACAGACTTTCACAACGTCTTCAGGATTTAGGAAATGGACCACTTGGGCAACAGTCTTCAGATCAAGAGGTACAACTGCATAGCTCAGCCAAGTGAGAATTGAACGAACATTCTTCTCATGTCGCTTTGATACTTTCTCAAGGACCCTTTGATAATTTTCTTCCGGTGTCTGAGGGACTGCATTAAGTGCTTCAAGAATCTGTTCCTCATTCGTGCAGTCGTTCAGTTCTTGCAATTGCAAGTCAGCCCATCGAAAGCGTCTAGAAATGAGATTAAATTAATATGAGACCTATGTCAAGGGCACAGCCACTCACCGCTCCTCTGTCTCTAGTAGTCTCTGCACAATCTGGTCTTTCACTGTTTGAGACAAGATGGTGAACTTTTCCTTCTCAAGTGCTTTGCGGATAAACCTCTCCACATCTTCGTTAATCCTTTGTCCAAGATCTAGTCTTGTTTCTCCATGTAGCTGCAATTCAATGTCTTCTTGAAACCGACTTTTGACAAGTAAATGAACCTTGTGGTCATGTTTCATAAGCTGCTCGAATACTGTGAACAATGGTCTCCTTCCATAGTTTTTCTGTTCGGGATACTCGTCAAGTGCATCCAATACAATATATGTGCTGTTGGCTGTGATACTGCTAAGGACCTCGTCAAAAATTGACAGCAGCTTTTCTTGGTCTGGATCACGATTGGGGCCATCATGCGTTTTCCACAAATTAAAAAGTGATGCCGGAATTCCCTCAGATACAAGCTGTCTAATGATTGATCTTGTCATCTGTTTGACATCTTGTGTTTCTTGGTTGCTGAATTGGAAGTACCAGTATGCGCATTTTTTCGAGTTGTCGACATCGCAGCTATGGATGAGGTCCTTTATCACGGTGGAGCTGAAACTAGTTAGTGGAGTTAAATTCCCTGGCATATTACTTACCATAGAATCGACTTCCCACAACCCGCTATTTTCGATCTATTAGTGCAGTTCTTTCCCTTAGTTTGACTTGACTTACCAGGCCCATGCAGCCAGAGAGTCTCTCCAGGAGTGGCTTTCCACCGGAGATACTCATTTGAAGACAGCAACCAATCACCAGTCTGGTCTGATCGAATATCTTGGTTGTCGTTCTGTGTCTGTGAATACCGTGTGGTGGAGAGCCAGTCCAATAATCTCTGTCTTTTTGTCCCTAGGAGAGCCAGAAGTGATGGCCTGGGTGGAGAAAGTTACTTTACCATCAACTTCGTATTTAATAGTCTCGGTGTTTTGGAAAGTATTTTCTATTCTGGTCAACGCTTTTTCAGCCAGCTCAGTTTGAGCTTTACCGTGTTATGATTAGCAAAGAGGTGTCCTTTTCCCAGAGGAATGTAAAAGAATTTGACAGAGGTATGAAAGGGGGTAAAATATTGATCTCACCTAGCTTGTCTTCGACTACACTCCAATCCCGAACTGTCTGGTCTTGTTCCTTCACAGTAGATTTCAGCGTTGTCAGTTGTGTGTCGGAGACGGGAAATATGCCATTCACAATGTTTTCTAGGCCGACGTAAGTATCAGGTAAACTGAGTGGAAAGAGGCAGACTACATACTCATCCTACTCGCTTCCTGGCGCTTGTTTACCTCTGAGGCGTATTCGAGAATAGCTTTATACACCCTTACAATGGCGTCTTGCGTCTGAAGCTGGCCCTTGAGATAGAGACTCTCTAGTATGGAATATCGGGCGAGGATGTTTGCAAGAAAGGCAGAGGATTCATAGATTGCTTCTTGCTGATCTTGATAGTTCTTGACCATCTGCACGATGAGTTAGCCCTGCCTATCTTACTGCGTAGGAACGGCGCCATGTTTACCCCTAATCCGAAAGAGATGATCGTCCATGCACTCGATGCTATGTTTATCGTTAATAACAACTGATTCTACCCGGGATATAAGAGAACTGACCGTAGCTAGTAGCATCAAAAGCCACGATCCCTTTGACTATGTCGGAACAGTGCATTGCTGAGTTGAGTATGTTCTTGGTCATATCACGAACGTTGACCTCTTTTCCGCTTTGGGTCTTGATCTTGAATCCTCCACTGTTGTATTTTTTGAAGCTCTCTTCCGTCTTGCTTATAACCTCTTGAATCGCTTGTTTTGGGGACTTTATTTCGTCTTCTTGGGGAAGGTGCCTTTTGCGATCGTCGTCCAGTTCGTCAAAGGCTCTTTTCCAGAGAGACCCCCTCGTATTGCATTTCACAATCGTGTCGACCGTTCCATCGGCGTGTTCCGTGTTGGTAGAAGATGCCTTGCCAGTGGTTTCGGTTGTCGCCTTGCCGTCGGCTTTGTCCGCGATCTTGCTGTCATCTGGTTGTACCTCTTCTTTAGAGATGGCTTTGAGTTCAGCTTCGCTATTACCATTTTGGGACACGCGAATAGGACGAATGCATTCTTCCACGCCATATTCTGTGTCCCCTGCGGAGCAACAAAGTATTTTGCGCAATTTCTTGAGCATTGTGCATTTGGGTTTTGGATACTGGCTGCAAGGCCTGTGCTGATGTTGGACATCTTTGAAGGTTTTCAGCTTGACTCGCACACCATGTGACTTGACAACAAATCTTGCATAAGACTCGCGCTGATCCCAGCACTTCAGCTCACCACGAAAATGACAGGTATATTTCTGTGCACCTTTTACTGCCACTACAGCCAAGTAACCACTAAATTCATTGATATGCAAACAATTCATACGCATTACCCATCTCTTCGGCTTCTCTGCTCTGCTCCATCTCAGTGCAAAAACCGTGTATGGATTATATTTGAAGCCATTTCCACTATCATAATGCTGCAATTGACCTCCGCAAGTGAGCAAGAGGTTATACTAATTGCTGTGCCCAAATATGACGGGGCAAGAAAAAAGAGGTGAAACAAAGACGGCAGTGTCGGTGAAATCTTGCCACAATTTATTGTATTCTATTATCGCCCCTACCGCCGAATCCATGGAAAAGCGAGTAATTCAGCGCGGCAACATACACGGCAATCACTTGATTGGGAGGCGTCCTATCCTGGAATCGATCTTTTTGATGTTATAAACGCCCGGTTGGGTCACCACGGGGCTCGGAAGGTTGCCAATGAGATCCTATCCTTGAGCGGAATCATATAGATCGTTCAAATCCACCACCAAGTCTCAGACTATTGGCCATATCGTTTCATGAAGTGAGATTCTGAGTACTTCGATAAGAAACGGGAGATTATGGAAGCAGACCATCAAGAGGGGGAGGGGATCCTGTGGTCGTGCACCTGTAGTATAACCATCAAACCTCATCAATGAAGCCCACAGGCTCGAAGATCGAGATAAATGGAACTTTGATGAGACTAGTACTCTATCGGTAAATGCGAATATTCTCACTCTGTGCCACCCAGTCCTTAGTTACCATTGCTGCCACCACCGTGTCGCTTTTGCTGCATCTATATTTGGCTGAATATTTTCCCTTTATTAACTGATAGAGACCGTATTCTCATTTGGTCTTTTACATCTAGTTTACGGCCGCGGAGCCTGTTGGTTCGGCTTTTTGATTCCAACTGTACTGACATATGTCTGGGTCGGGGTCTAGGAGGGGGCACATCGACTATACCTTGTAAGAAGAAAGCTCCAGATCCAAATTATGCGAATGCAGTAGATTTTACATACGTGTAAGGACCGAGGCCTACTGCGCATCTCGGTGGTAGGGCTTCCATAGGACTCAGATACTGTTTTTTTTTCCCTTCCTCCGTTTATATCGAGGTCCCTATCCTTCATTTGAGATATTAAGCGGAACTTGGCACGTTTTACGGTCAATCTTTATCTCGTTTCCACGTCCTCCATCACACTCGAATCAAACATACACACATATGGAGAGAGAGAGAGTGTGTGTGTGTGTGAGTGTGTGAGAGGGATCAACTTATCGATCAATCCAGACCCTAAAAGCCAAGACGACATCATACCACACCCCAGCCCCATCTAGGCCTTTCTTCAATCTACTTACCGAGTAGGTAGAGGTACATACTGCGCCTGGGTATACCCGCATACGTATACCTACATACTGCCATGGTGCACTACAATGGATATATGCCTCCCTTCGGCCGCCGAGGGATGGAATGGTAAAGCTCGAAGGAGGAGAGGGAATACACGTCAACCGAACTCGATGCAATGTTAATCGGACATGGACAACGCACCTTTTCTCTATTTTTCTCTGTCTTGTTACTCAGATCATAGATGGGTAGGTGGGTAGGTGGGTACTACGCCACTCGATTTAATCTTAGCACGGATAGGATTCTTCTCGCCACTTACATTGAGAATGTACGTACGTAGGGAGACTGAATTTGTTGACTCAACGGATTGAATTTAGTATCGAGCCTGTCATATATCATGTATAACTACCTAATCATTTTTGTTGTGTGTTTAGCGTATCTTCGTGAGCATGGTCCACTTCCTAAACTATTAGATCTTTTTGATGTAGGGGATGCAGAGTGCTTGAGGATAATGAAGGGAAAAGGAGAAGACAGAAAAATAAAAGCTAGAACAGAAAATGCAGCCCAAGAATAAGAATTGTCAAATATAAAGCAGAGATAGATGGTCCAGCATTGAGAGGCCACCCAGAAATAACGTGAGATTGCCTGAATCAAGAGACACTGGGAAAAGGCAAAGGGAGAATAAGATGCTATGTCCGCGGGAAAAGACCTACTCTCCCTCCAACGACCCAACCAATAAATCCAGCCGCCGACTCATCTCCTCACACATTCCCTCGTGGCGTCCAGCACCACCGCATCCACCACTATCCCTCTCCAAAACATCGACCAGTCGCATGAGACAGAGTCTTGCACGCTTCAACTCTCGCAGAAGGATACTGCGACAGATGGCCTTTTGCTCAACGAGATCAATTTCAAAAACTCCGAAGCGGATGAGTCGCTCGACACCAATACTGCCGCTGCCATTAATACCTGTGGCCACATTGTTGCTGCTGTTGTGGCTATTAGGGTAGTTGTTGGTGCCGTTTATGTGACAAGTCTCCGGCCCCTCCATACGCATCACGAAATCGCGATACCCCGCAGTGAATAGCGCAATGATTTTCCTCAACGCCACAGTGAATAGGAGGTGCGTGTCGTAGCCGTACTCGAAGCCAGGGGTTTCCGTCATACGGAGCAACGTGCTAAGGTAGCGTTGGTTGGCTGCGAGGACGGAGTCCACCGTATGTGTGTGACCGAGAGCAGTGGTCTGCTCGATGTCGTGGAGGAGCTGTAGGTACGCAGAGCTGCTGAGGGGATCAAGGGGACGCATGTGAGATTTGGACGGGATTGGGTCGTCAAGAACATTGTAGTCTGGAGGTGTGATGGGCGCGCGGATCGAAGTTATGCTGGTTCGACGGGGATCAACACTGCTGGTGTTGCTACCGGAGTCAAGATCCCATTCCTGAGTCTGGGTGTGGGTTAAATTTTGGGCTTGCGCATGGTTTATTTCCCGATCGCTGAAGGGCAAAGGTGGGGCTTTGGCTATGCTAGGGATCTCGAGGCCTGGGGTTGGTAGACCATAGGCGCTCAGTTGATCGAGCTCTGCAGTCCAAGAGAGTTGATTGAGATCGGAAAGACCGATGTCGACGTTGGTGGGTAAGATATAGGGTGCATTGGATGGAAGAGCATCCGGTAGAGGAACGGGCTCAGGATGGACATCATCGCCGGCGTAGAATGGGATGTTGCTGGTATAGTCATGTACCGGGGTGATCATGGAGGAAGGTTCTCGAGGAAACCCTGTCAAGACCGTAACCGGGGGTGGTGGTCGAGAGACGTTAGTCTCATCTTCTGGATGTTGTAGAGATCGGAATGAATGCAAAGCTTCGTTCGGCGGGATCAGGTTCGTGGGCGAGGGAAGAGACGTTGATGAAGCTGAGTTAAGCGTTGATGAAGACGAGGAGGCCGCCAGAGCTGCTGCTGCCGCCGCCGCTCGATTTGCTTTGCTTCGCTTCCCCGGGACTTTGCCGATTCTCGAGATGGAGAAGATACAGACCAATCCCAGATTGGCACACCGTTGGCATCCCGACTTTTCACCCGAGCAACGAACCTACGACAAAAGTTAGGCAGGGAGAATAAGCTTGAAGACCTAAAATCACTCGCCTTGGCCGCGTGACACTCGTTGCAGGCCGCCCGGAGCTTTGGGGGTCGTTTGGCCGTAGTGCATGCTCTGCTGACAGAGTCAGACTGGGAAAGCCTAAGCATGACAGGGAAAGGAGACTCACGATGCCATAGTCAGAAAAGAGTCCGTTGGGCACAATTTTCTCCGACAATCCTCAACGGAGCCAATGGCCAGGAGAATCCAAACTGTCCGCGAGGAATTGAAACCCGCCGAAGCCAACGAGACCAGCGACCAGCGATGTCCACGTATCTTCCATTATACTTATGTATCAGGGAAGGCATGGAGAATAACGACGCCTATCACGGTACCTAAACCGGTCATCGGAATCCCTAGATCCCAGTCAGTTGGGAGGGACGATCCACGCAAGCCCCCCTCCCATCTCTCCGGTCCAGAATGCACTGCAATCGGATGCATGGAAACCTAAACGTCAGTGATCTGATACGATTTGGCAGACGGGGATTCTGTTCTTGCGGTGGGCGATAAAAATAGAGTGGGGAGGCAGCACAGGCCATTGTGAAGACAGCTTGAATGGATGATGACGAGGGAAGAAACAACGGCAGAATGCCTTGTCCCGCCAGTTTTAAAGCGCACGGGGTCGATGGCGGTCTAACCCATCGTACCAGACCGACTCTCTTCCTCCTTCATACCATTCTCCATCTCTTTCAATTCATGAAAAAAGCTTTTTTGTTCGTTTCGAACAAACGTCGCCTATCTCGCCACCACCGCGGATCTCTGCTCAAATCAATTCCAGCCAAGCCACGGACAGCACCTCTAGGCAGCACCAGATGCTGTACCACTCCATCCCGGCCTTATAGATGGACAATTGAGAATCAAACGGTACGGGTCAAAGCATCGGCTTAGTTCACCAGCATTGAATCGGAACTCCAGGCCAGGGCCACGGTAGGACATATCCAGCCAACACGGACAACGGCGTTTCTTTTCTAAGGGGTACCACGAATATCTCAGATCAGATATTTAGACACCCATTTGTCCCCCTCCCTTCCTTGCGCTTGGTCCAATAATGCAAGTCCCCGGTGTGAACCCCAGACTAGATGGGAACTTTGAGGGAGGTACGTATATCTGCGCAAACCTCGCCCGAGGTTCATGTTTTCTGGTCTTATCTAGCCGTGGGATGGTCTGGACGGTGGATCATCGACCTTGATGACGCTGAGAGGCTTCGACGGAACGGTGCGTTTGGTGAGAATTTGGGCACTGTTGCTGCTGCTTACCTTGTGCTTACTTGGTGTTCAAAGCACGGGCTAGCTTTTCTGTTGGTTTGTGTCTGTCCGAATAGTTCTAGCCATGCTGGTGTCCTTACCCTCAGGTACATTACCGTGGTGCCATTGATCCGAAAGCTCCGATCAGCTCTGCTATAGCTGTAGGCATGATTGCTTCTTTTGAGGCTAGAATGCGTTGGACTTCAGTGCGTGAATTGAGTTCGACGGTGGTCAGATCGACGGTTCAACTTGCCCGAGCGATCTCATCTCTTTGGAGGACGAACCTCGTCAACGGCTCACGACATGATCGATGGACTCCAACCGTGGAAGAGAAGAGTCGCCACCTTAGAGTAACATAGGCTGATCTAGCCCTAGACTCTGAATGCAGCCGTTGCTGAAGAATGAAGACCGTAGCATTCACTTGTAGTGGAGCAGATCTGTTTCGTTGATGCTCGTAGAATTGTCCTTTAGCCTCTACCGTAGTCGTGCATTAAGTCATCAAGATTTCCTGTTTCGGTTTCGGTCAGTCGGCAGTCTTGATTAGAATTCCTTCAAACCTCCGAAAGGAACATCCATCCCATTTCACTCCACAACAACGTCCAATGTTTCTGCCCTACCGACATGACACGGTTTTCAACCTGCTGAACCTTCTCACAGTCAAAACGCATATATCAAGACTCGGAGCCGCGGCAACCTCTATCTCCGATCCAGATACACATTCTCCTGTACCTCGAAGTGACCCCCAGGCCCAGCTCACCTGGGTATCCAACGGATTCTGGTCCCGCCAATCCCGATTCCATCTCTACACCGACTGGCTTAGCTTCTTTTTTTTTCTCCGCTTTGATATTTCAGTTCCGTCTATTGTCCGGCCATTCGATCTGCACAGCCTGTCTCCATTAACGACGATCTCGGTTGCGAGTGAAATCTCGCCCCATCGGAGGTGGGATTCCGAGGTCCACCGTCCATCGGGCTTTTAATATAAGTACGTACTGGATCCATCCTTGGCCAGATGGGTTACAAACTGAGCTCGGCTAATCGCGTGGTAATCCCTACTTGCTTGCTTGTACAGATTCATACCGGTGTCTTTTGGGGTATGCTTGAGGATGATTGACAGGAAGTATACACACAGGAAGTATGCACAACCGGGGTTCTCTGCTCCGTTTGATGTGCCTGCCTTGTTTGAGTATCCAGCGACTTGAGTGAGGGGTTTGTTGTTGAACAAACTCCTATCCTACTGTGGTGTCGGTACGTTCGACTTGATGGCACGGTCAAGGGACGGTCAGGTAATATGCAGAGATCAGGTCGACTCAGTCCGTTTTTCATCGGTAGCCCCGAGCAGACGTCATAGCGCAGTTGAAGCTGGAGTGCAGATTGCATTTCCCGGTAGCATGTCCCACCATGACTGCAATGATAGCCAAAGTCACTGAGGCCGGCTTCTCCCGTCACCGATCAGATAGTCTTCCTCCACGACCAATTCCCGCATCTCTCTACCTCTCCTAGAGACCGCAATTGCTCAAATTGATCGCTTTTACATTCTTGTCAGCCATCCCTAACCCTCTTCTGGATCAGTTGGTTCATCATGTTTAGAGAATTTCAAGCTACGGAGTTTATGGACCTTCCAGTCTCTTTTCAATCCAATACTGATCAGTGATCAATAGATGCAGAACAGATTTCCCGAGCTTCCACAAACGCAATTCAACATCCGCAGTAGCAATAGAAGTTTCTATGGTCTTCGTCCGGGACCATCAGTTATACTCTTGTGGCTATCTTCTCAGAATCCCAGCACACATTCGTCTGTACATCACATTCACAGACAAACGGCTTGCATGTCAGAGATACTCGATCTTCTCGGCGTTGTATTCCCGCAACGAGGAGAGAGAGAGAGAGAGAGAGAGAGAGAGAGAGAGAGAGCTGTGAATGGAGGGGTTAATGAGTCGATGCTGAGTATACCATTCAAATTCTCACACTATTCTTTATTTGATATTTCCCTCAAAAAACGAACGAAGCTCATTACCTATCTAGATGCATAGGTCGACTTTCAGTCTTCCCTCTGATTGGCGTCAACATCGAGAGCTGATACTCTCTTGCAGCACAAATCCAAACTACTCCAAAATATATATCGTGCCAGCACAGCAGGCTGCGAGAGAAAAGCCTTGCGCCACTCCAAGCTATACAGCAACACATCATCACCAAGTGCAAAACCCGACCTCAACTTCACTTCATTTCAATTCCACTCCAACTAAAACTGAGACAGTGAGACTAACCCGCTTAGCCAAACCTAACTTTATTTCTATCCGCAGAAGGCCCGACCCGCTACAACCAACCAACCATACCCAGTCCCCCTAGTCCTACACACCCATGAGCACGAATTACTCAATGTCATCAATACTACCTACCCAATTAATTGACTAGGAGATACCTAAAGTACGCATACTTCCATATCTACGGAGTATAGATGAAACCGCACCCAGTCCATCCCGACTCCACCTCGCACCGAGTCTCGACCGGACCCATGCAAGCAACGCTGCAGACAAGCGGGGCACGTCCCCGACGGCCTTCGGGGACCTCGCGGGGTAAGCGACCACTCAGGGCCGTCTAGGGGACTAATCTGGTCCCCGAGAGTGGAGTCGGGATGTAATCTTACGGGTAAGTTACCGCGGTGGATACCGGGACGGAGGGTCAGGTGACGGCGGGAATTGGACCTCGGTTCGTGCTTTTAGATAGATGTCATTGTGGATGTAGACAGAGATGGAGAGATGCAGTATATTATGATATAGATAATATATTCAATATCGACAGATGTGAGATGACCCGCTCAAATGGCTAGGTAAAGAAGAAATTGGAACAAGATAACGCCAACGCCATGCTCTTCAATCAGATAATGCCAACAACGTAAGTACTCATCAGGGATATGAAGAGACAGGAACAGTCAACCCAGTCAAGGAGAGGAAATCATATAACGCACAAGAATGGACAGGAAGAAAATGGAATGCAATGAATGGAGTGATCAAAGTGACCAAGGTATCGTTCGCTAAACCCAAATCTGCAAAAGTCGAAGAGAAAATTCGCCGCCGACCCATAGAAAAAGAAACGCTTTTTCGTGGTCAGATGATTGATGTTGATGAAGGACTGTAAACCAATTCTCTGCAACGCTAAATTCAGTGTGAAAGGGGATATATGGGTATGAAAAGGCTAAAAATAATCCTTCGGTGGACGGTATCGGACGTGACGCTGTCATCTCTAGCAGCGCCTCAGCCGGGTGGCTCGGAAAGTCGTCAGGTCCAATGACTCGACAGACGCAGAACCGTCGTCGACCTCGATCTCTCCGCTGAAGGCGGGAGGTCGGTCTTCGGTCTTGATCGGCTCGACCGGCGCAAGCTCTTCTGCTTCTGCTTCCGCTTCATCTTCAGACTCTGTGTTGCTCTGTTCAGCCTTGAGACGTTTGACCTCCTTGTTGGCCAGATCCAGTAAGCTCTTGAATTTATCTTCAACGCTACCCAGCTGACTCGAGCAATCACCCGAGCGCAGAACCTGATAGGCTGCCGTTTCACACATGCTGTGGGCGATCTCCAGATGTTTCTCCGCGATATCGAAGGAGGAGTCTTTCGGAGTCGGATTTGTCATGCTTGAAGGCCCGGGCGGGTTTCGAGCTCGGGCACTGCGAATGTTCGAAAGCAGTTGATCTTCTGAAGCATCCGCCGTCGAGGACATTAATCGCGGTGCTTCATTCCGCCGTGCGCTCCGTCCGAATGAGCCCGCGCCGCTGCTAAAGCCCGCCAGCGGGAGCTGCGACATGCGGCCCCGACGGATGTTGTTCCTCGCCGTTCCAATGTGTCGTACCATTTCCTCCAAAGACTTCTGGGTGTGGCCGTCATACTGGATGATCAGGTTGTGTCGTGGGCTCACATACGAATACCGGTCGTCATCCTCGATCGAGGCCTCGTCAGTCCCGCGCTTTCGGGGAATTCGCGAAGCAATGTTTTTCGAGTCGGCGGCCGCTGGAGTCGGGCCATCTTGCACGCACTCGTCGGTGCGAATGGAGTAGATCGAGCTGTTCTTGCGACGGCGTGGCCTCACCACGGCATGTTTCTTGAAGTCCTCGGCATATTCGGCATGTTTGGCGGCGGTGTAGGTGGCCAGCTCAGACAATCGCGTGATCCATTGAGGTAAATTTTCCGAGAGATGGGAAAAGGCCCCCAAAGCGTCCATGGGACCGGCCGGCATGTCTCAGAATTTCGAATTCTTCTGCGTTCCGGTCGTCGTCCGAATTACGATAAGTTGTAAAGATGGAATATATGTTCAGGTGGGATCTCTTAGATCCGAAAGGGGGTCGTGTTGTCGTAGAGTCGTCTGTAAAGTGATCAGGGTATACGGAGTACGGAGTCGGTGATCTAGTCCGCAGTGACTAGTAGTAGCGGCATCCCAAACCCAATTCGGGTCGCTAGAGAGTGAAATCGTGGAATGCCGATGGAAGTTCTCAGGGGGTGAACCACGAAGGGGAGGGGTCGTGGGAGAGGTAAATACGAAAGAAAACTAAAGAGGAGAAAGGAGGGTAAAAACAAAGGGGGAGAAGAGAAAGAAACAAAGAGCAAAGAATGACGGAGGAAGAGAGAAAAAAGGGCTGAGGAGCGACCGGGGCGAAAGGAAAGGAAAGGAGGGAAAATTACGAGAAGCCCGGGAATTACCGTACCGTAATCTTTACTTTCCTGGTTGGGAAGTCACTCGATCGTCCTCGGCGCTCGCTTCGTTCAATCCCTCATCCTGGTCGATGCGTCGCAAAGAAGCGGTGTGTTTGATTGCTTCGAACCGGTCAGTGCTTCTGTATATTCCTGTTTATCACACCACCCTCCGTTTGCTCAGACTTCTCACTTCTCAGCAAGATGACCTCCTCGAGGGCAACGACCTACATCGCACAAGCTGTCCTCGAACCAACGGCCGGCTGCGCTCGGACGAGGCAACTGGATGAGCCTGCTCCATCTTCTCGATACTCTCTCGGCCTCTCCGCATCCTGATTTCCTGATTCTTGAAGAATTCAACGATCGACAACCCCCCTTCCCCGTCATTGTGACAAACAGACAGGAAATACCTGCATCCCAAACGGTCTCTTGCCCCAGAACGGGCTTGACACGTAACGGTCCTCCCGCGCCATCCGCACTGCTCATTGGAAAAGACCCAGAAGAGGGCACGTCACCTAAGAAGCTAGGCGATGCATCCACGGGAATATCTAAGCATAACATACGGACTACGGAGTAGACGAAGGATAAATCTTGCCGTTCGGAATTCTTGATTCTCATTGATTGGTGTCCTACGGACTCGCTCGGAGGTGGCCTTGCGACGGTCAGAGCTAAGACGGGGACGGTCTAAGCTGGTGGAGTTCACCCTGGGCCCGATCGTCGGACAGCCCGTGGTTGCAGGTTTATTGCCTTTTTGGAACATTGCGAACGATCAATGAGAGGCCGCGCTGTCACTCTTTAATTTAAAGAACAAAAGAACCGTCAGAAATGTTTTCCACCCTCCAGAATCCTCGGTGAGAGTGGATATTGGATATTGAATTGATATTTCCGTTGCGACCCACCACCTGTCGACTCGTCTGCTGGCGAGTCAGAACTCAGAACTGCCCTTTTCGCATGAACTAAGTGATTTGCCGACTTATTTGCTTTTGCACATCCACATTTTCGGTAGGACACTGCGAGGCAACAGGGATACGGCTGCTTCGATGTCAGTCGATCAATCAATCAGCTGATGCCATTTCACGAGCATCGGGATTTTGCTCGTGAAATCGTAGCAGTCATCGTTTATCCGCTCGGAACAATTATAAGACAGACAAACGAACGACCTGCCCTTTCTCGGCGAGCAAACATAGCGGCCGCGTTACACTGCGCCGTAAGGGTCGTACTTTGTAGGCCAGTGCCTCTGCAGGAAAATGTCACCCACACCTGACATGCAGCTGCCTTGAGATACTGTCTACTGTATGTGTGGGATCGACACTACAATAAATCTTATGATTTGATAAAGATCTTATAACGCTGTTTTTCGGTGTGCTTTTCCGATTTCCTCTACTTTAACAGGGAATAGGAAGATCTCTATCTTCTAATGTATGTATTATGTCTCCATTGATCACTCGCCATTCACATATTTCGCTTCAATGGCGTCCATCACCCCCTTGGCCTCCCGAAAACTTTGCTTGGCCCTATCAAATAATTCCAGGGCCTCCTGGAATCCTTTCTTGGACGTCTCCAACCTGTTCTCAACATCTTCAAGTTTTCTTTCTGCCTCGCGCATCATCACCCGAAAGTAAGACAGACTCGCCGCGTCCTCCATGTTTCTCAAGGCAGTGTTTTTCCTCCGGGCGGGAGCTGTTGATGCCTCGCCAGACTCAGCAGACACTGTCTGCTCCTGCGATCTGTTATCCTTGGGCCGCTTGACCGCCGGGGGATTGCTGTCTTCGTTCTCCCCGGCAGCCATCTCCTCGACGGGACGCTTTCGAGGCCTTCCACGGGTTCTTTTAGTGGCTGTGGCTGACTCTGCCGCTTCCTCAGTTGGGTCTTTGCCTTTGTCCTTGTTCTTGCTTAGAGTAAGCTTAATCTTTTTCACCTTGGTCTGAGGCTCTGGCTCTACCTGTTCTTCTGCTTCCTTTTCTGGGACAACCTCGGCTTTGCGTTTGCGCGTTTTCGGGGGAGTGGTTGGTCCTAGAGAGACTGATAGAGTCAGCTTATTTGGTCACAGGCACGGAACGAAATTTCCTAGGGATTGGTTTACCTTCGTTATCTTCACTGATCCCAACACGATGTTTACACCTGGTCTTCTTCTTCCTACATGGGGAGCACGCACGGCCCAATCTAAGCACGACAGACTCGGACGCGTTGGCCGTCTAGAAGACATAAGATTAATTTACAGATGAGACTACTAACAGGGGACGTTTAAGCATATCCAGCGCTTACCTCGTTGTCGCCAGAAGTCACATCTTGCAGGCCGGGATTCTCTTCGGTTTCCTCTTCGGCGATTGTCGGTAGGGGCGTTTTGCTGGCCTTTCTGGTTCTGGGCCTGTCCTCGGATTCTGATGTTTGGGTTGCGGGGTTGGGCTGGGTCGAGGGGGGGACGTCTTCCGACGCGGACTGTGAAGCGGTTGGTCAGTAGATTGACTGGTTGGATAAGAGTATCAAACTCCTGCTGGGTGATACTTACCTGGTATTCTTGGTCACTCATGACTTCATACACAACTCTGACACTGAGGTAGCTTGTGTTCGTTGCTCTCGTCCAGTGCTGTGATCGAGTAATAGATCGGGAGGCAATGTGTGGATATCCAAAAAGTCCCAACGCTCTTCAAAAGATTCCAAAACGCGACAAAAACTCTCACGACAGAGAATGAGAATAAAATGAGATGAAAGTGAAGATAAACTGAAAATACCAAAAACTCGCAACTCTACTAAAGATACGCTCAACGTATGTGCGGCGGGTGCAGAAGTCTCTGGAGAATAGTCGTTTCCCACAGAGTTGGCGACGAAAGGCAAGTCCCGGTAAGTACCTTATATAGACCGGGAGACAGAGGCAAAATGGTAAGTCAGATAAAAAGAACACACAGGAAAATATGAATGAAAGGCACTGTTTTCTTTGAAATAATGATTGAAAGCAATGGATTTGTGCTTGTTTGTTTCTAAGGAAACGATTTTCTTTATTCACAGCATGTCAACCGTAGAAACCGGCGTCCCATAAAGGTGGCTTGTTGTTGTCTGGCGATTCTTTCCTTCACTGGAGACCATAACAAAGAGAGACAAGGGCACTAGTCAAATAATTCTATTATGTCTTTTGTTTGTTTCTTTCTAGGTTACAAACTATCTGCAAACAGATCATACTGACCTGCCCCCATACATGCTCCCTCCCAAATATAGAGAATCTCTACCTCACCAGCCACCCTCCCCCAATCCACTGATTAATGTCTGTCTACGGCCACAACTCCACCTCTTTCCATGTTTTCTGCGACTGCACTCCGCCTTCCAACGTCCACTTCTTGCGCTCCATCGTTTCAATATTCAGACTTTCTACCTCGTTTGGCGCAATTACCATGACGCGGAAATTCGCCCGCGCGGCGGGGTCATCCAGCTGGGTCACTTTCTGGCCGAGTTTGGATTCTTCCTGCTCCGCGTTTGATTTGGGTTTGGGTTGACCGGGGGTTGGGTTTTTGAATGATCCTGTCAATTGAAGGAATACTATTAGTATCGACATATCCAGTATAACGTAGACCGCCTTGACCAAAAAATAGAAAGCCATATAGGATGGGGGGGGGGAAAGAACAAACCTCTCATAACCGGCGAATGATTCGCAAAATAAGCCGTCACCTGCCTCTCAACATCCCACCCCTTCGCATCCCCGGTAAATTCCGAAACCTCAAGCACCTTCTTCCTCGCCTCATCTTCCTCTTCCCCACCCTCCGGATCCCCAATGATATGCGCAGTCCCACGAACCCGCCACTGCGTCTTCACGTCCGCCAGCCAGAACACACACTCGACCACCCCGCCCGACGCGCGCAGCTGCTCGACCTTCTCCATCCGGACATCCGTCGTCGCGGAGATACAGTCGCTGACGCAGACAGAGGGGTTCAGACCGACATCTTGGTCGTTGAGGGCGTCGATGGCGCTAGGGTGGAGTTTGGGGGTGGGCCAGAAGCCGCGGAATTCGCAGGTTCGGGCGCGCGGGACGGGTCGGTTTTGGGTGTCGAAGGCGATCGTGGAGAGTGTGAATGAGGTGGAGGAGTTGGTGTTGAGGTGGGATTCGAATGGGGAGCGCCAGGGAGCAGGGGAGGGCATTGTTGATGTTGAAAGAGGGCTTGCGCTTGGAACTCGAGATAGCTGGGGATTCAGAAGGGCGAGTCGTCGCAGGATGGTGGTGGTGGGGCGGAGAGGAGCCACGGTGTCGAATTGTCTGGAAGGCCGCTCGTATGTTATAACAAAGACAAGATAGCGGCTGAAAAGAGAAAATTGACTCAATGAGGCGCGGATGGAAGTTGGCGGTTTGAGTTGAGGTGCTCTTGATGACGTTTTGGCTTAGCGGGGCACGTGTTTGTTATCTTATCTGATCAGATCGGGATCAGTTGGTTCCGTATAGTAGAGCGAGCACCTTCTGCAACCTCTATTACCACGTAGGCACTCTACATCCAGTGAGATTGCTTAATTTAAGTAATATTGAAGTAATATAATTGAATAATATTTGAATTAAGTTGTATTGCGCGCGGGCTGTAGGTAGAGGTTGATACCGGAGTCTTAAGGGCACCCGTTATCGCGACTATGAGGGTTGAGAGATGGGTGAGTTTGCTCCAAGTTTGTATAGTACTATAGATAGTAGGTTGGATGGTGCAATCCCTATGGGATTTATGTTGGTCTTTATGGCTTATGTGAGAGAGTTGATGATCTACTATTTGTCCTTACAGAGGTGTCATTGGACGCTGTTGGGTTCATAGTGGGTGAGCTTGTTCCAACGTAGCATAGTACTAGATATGGCAGGTTGGATAGCGGAATCCCTACGGGATCCCCATATTAGTTCTTTCGCGGGTGTGCTTGTAGGTAGTTAGGAGAATGATAAATTTGCTACAGTATATTATATTTATTATTTATTTACTTGGAACAAAATCGCGAGAAACCATACATTATTTTTTTTGTTGCGGCGTGGCGGCTATGGCCCGCCGTAGTCTACAGGCTGGGCCTGGGGCTGGGGCTGAGGGACGACGGGTCTCCCTTCTAGTGGCCCGAAAGTACTCGGTAACACACTCTATCCCTTCGCAAATAGCCATGGTGATATCAAAGGAGCTCCAGTTACATTCTCCTCCAAATTTGTGCAAACAGAAAGTTCACCTACGACAGACTCCATGTCTCCTTTGCAGGCAACGCCCTACCGCGGGAGATCATATCCTTGGTTCGCCCTCCCTTTGCAATGATCTGTGCCCATCTAACCGATTGCCAGATTTGACCGAAAAGCTGCTGGAAGCCACTGTGTGTAAAATACCATGTGTTGACTGTTCGCTTTCACCATATCCTCTAGTTTGGTTTCATAAAAGCTGCTACGACATCCTACAGGGAACCTACGAGCCCGGCGAGAAACCTACCCTCGAAGATCTAAGGAGGTTTGCAGAGACAACCAAACCCTCTTATAAAACTACATATGAGGACAATGGAGAAACAGATTCGGCTTGGGAAGGTCTTAGTAGCAAATATACCAGTGGCATCATTCAGGACAGTTTCAGACAGGATTTGCTTTGCCAATTACCGCTTGAACTGAGAATCATGATCTCCGAGTTGGTCGCTCCGTGTTGGTATTTGATTTTGCTTGGAGAAACTCGCCGATTGATTGAACAGCTGCGTGTCAGTTATGAAATACCATGCGCAAGACTCACTATAACACGAAAACTGTGGATTTCCAGAATCACTTATAGGGGCATTCCTTATCTATCGAGACTCGGCACTGAACCCCTCAAAAAGCCAATAAGCATCTCCGACCAATCATGGATAGAGCTGCCTGATAAGGTTGTGAAGGTAGTTCTGTCAGTTGACTTTATCGGCCTACGCGAAATACAATTTGTCGGTTGTGATTCTAATCCATCATCGGATGGGTCACCTTGGTATGAAATCCATGAAGTTAAAGGCTCCCAACTGAATATCGATGTCAAATACAATGTATGTATACCAGCTATTCATGCGCATATAACCGCTAACTCAGCTAGGGACTTTTTATAAAAGGGATCAAGCTTGTCCCAGACAACCCATCTTCTACATATAGGATCTGGAGCTCACCTATTATCCCGAGTTTCCGAATAAGCAACTGCCACCACGCTCGATATAACGCTCGACTACACTACATAAAGCTCGATACCCATGTCCAAGGTCTTCTTGCTTGCTGTACTAATGATCAGATGGTTGGACTTCACGGTTTCTCAAAGGATTCCAAAGCATTATGGGAGTTTATTCACATAATGTATAAGCGTGCGCCTCAAAGCCATAAGTATTGGATATACTTCCCATTGAACGAAAGTGAATATATTACATCAGCTTGGATCAGGAGGTTCACTTTCGGAAACGTTAAAGCGTCAAAGCCTGTCTTGGTTGTAAGTGTACGCTCTAAAATATCTCTTCTATGTCTGACAAGACAGATTCGAACATCTCTAGCAAGAACCGTCACGTTTGGGCCTCGGCCTCTGGGCGAAAGCATAAACCAATACAAGTTTTGTAATTTGGTTAACGATGACGATGGTGCTATTTCGGGGGTCTTCCATGATGGACTTGATCCAGACTCCAAATATATCACAGAATTTGGAGTGACCTGCAGTGGCCTGCATCTCAGAAATGCTCTGGAATCGCCGCCTATGGATATGGACATCCAACCTCCAACGCTCCCTCCCAGCCAAGAGATAAGGCCAAGGTGCTGGTACGTTACAAGAGCCTCACTTAAAGGCCTTATCAAGGTACAGGTCTGCAAGGACCGGGATCGGCCACATTGCCCTTATCTGGGTCTCCTCTTGTTCTACAGTGACGATCATATTGAATCGCTTGGGCAGATACGTTGGGACCGTGACTTGACACAGGAGGTTCAAAGGCCTACGTTGATCGAACACGGTACCTTCGATGGAAAGAACTATATCAAGGATGTCCGAACCGAGACCCATCGCCCTGAGCTTAGCACGGAACACGATCAAGTGCAAAAACTCCCCCGATGTGGCACAATCGTCTGGTGGTTCGGCCCACTTGGTGATCAAATACTGATACATTAGAAAGAAACTTAGCTACCGTAGTTCGCTATCATTTGTTTCCACACCCAATGGGGACCTGCTGACAGGGTACTAGTAATAGGAGTCCGACTTTTACTCCAGACGAACATCATTGACTTTTGCATATATCTAGTTATCTCAGGCCACTAGAACGCCTACCATGTCTAGACTGAGCAATTTCCAAGTGCTCATGTCACTAATAGCCTCCCCATCACGCCTATATCTATATCTACTTACATATACATCTTGGTATAATCTCCTTTGGAACCTGACCTGCACCTTGCCCACTGTTACAGTCTCCTCGCATTGCGCCTAAATAGAAGCCTCCCGAGCCCCAATCAAGAGAATCAACGAGAGGCCAATGCCAATATCACACACACTGGAGAAACCCACCCTCGTACGCGACAATATCCCACATATCCTCTTTGAGACAAGAAACAAATACAATGCCATTGTCCTATTCTTTGTTTCTCTCTCCCATTTACCATTTGACCTACGTAGTCCTGATCCCTAGTACTTGAAGAGCACATACCCAACGCCCACATACATTTACATACTCCCAAAACAGCACTACTCCCTACTCCCTACTACATACCTACCTAGCCTACTCCCCCTACTTACCTAACTTACCTATACAAGCCCCCATCCTGGCCACATCACCCTACCCACCCACTTACATCACTTACAACTCACCACAGCCCAAGATGTGCAACTCCCAAACCACCAAATACACCCTCTGCGGATGCATCGTATCCAAGGCACCTATGGTCTGCGAGCTAGGCGAGTCGTGCCCCTCACACAACAAAATGAAGATTGCCGAGGAAGACAGTCTTTGTCTTGAGTGTTTTACGAACGCTGGGGGACAGGTTCGGTGGTGGGGTCTATTGAAGAAGTTGGATATTGACGTTGAGGAAGTGGATGAGGGATTGAAGGAAGAGGATGGGGATGAGGAAGAAGAGGGAATGGAAAAGGATCAAGGTCAAAGCCATTCTGAAGAATCTGAAAAATCTGAATATTCAGATGAAGAAGGGGAAGAAGAGGACGAGGAGAGTCCCGACAAGAAGAAAGACAAGGCAGGGCTTCCAGAACTCGACTTTGGGGTGGACGTTTCGAGGGATTGTTATCCTCCTGCTGCCATAACTTTGGCGGCTCTCCAGCAGAGAAAGGAGGAGCGGAGAGAGGCGGAAGTGGAGAAGTTGAAGATGTTGTATGGCGAGGATTATTATGAGGGAATTTGAACTCTGTGGTTCTTCTTTTCTCTTTCTTCTCGTTTTCGGTGCTCGTTCAGTACGGCGGGAACATCTACTTATCCTAAGAAACAGAGCTAGTTCAATGAAGTGATATCGTACTTCCACAATTCTTATTCTGACTTCTTATAGTAACTCATAGGCAAAGCCTAAATCAAACAAGTATGTATCAAACGCTGGCATTCAATCGTCCCAATCGCGATGTGATTGCATCAATCATAGCAGATCTGTAAAATACCATTAGCATTTACCGTGACATTCAACATAGTTGACATAGTTGTCATAATACTCACTCGAGTTCCACCATCTGCATGGCATCGGCCACCTTGGCGCGCTGGAGTCTATGCGGCACTCTCGGCTGCGAACCACCTGGAGACGCTGGGCTTCCAGGGTCAACCGACACCGGAGTCTTGGCCGCGATGGATTTGGCATCAGCCACGAGATCGCTTGCAAGATCTTTGACCTGTAGTTACAATTAGCATGTTTACCCGAATATAACGGTTTCAACTTACAGAATCAATTCGTTGAGTTATTTGCTGGCCATTCTCCCGACTTTCAGACGGAGCACTCTCGAAAGATTCGGAAAGCGTCTGGACCTCAGAGACCCACGATTTCTCCTTCTCGCTAAGTGGTCGACCGCCTGACCGAAGAACTCGGGTACGCAAAGCTTCGTATCGCTTCACGAGCTGTTCCTGTCGGTCCTTTGCAGCCTGCATCCGCTTATCGAGGGCTTCGTTCCGGGATTCTCCATTGCGTTTTTCGGCATCCTTACTTGAAACCTCCTTGATCTGTTGGGCGGTGTGGGCGAATTGTTTCAGCTGGTCCCGCATCTCTCCCTGCAACCTTTCACAGCGACGGAACAGATCCGACGCCGCTCGTTCGAGAGCATTCGTGTGAGCAGACAAGATTCTATGGGCGGCAGCCACGATGTCCAAGGTTGCCGGAGACAGACGGACCTGTTCTTTCAGATGAACACGCTCGCGGTGAGGAACGTGCTTATCAACAAAGAACTCCAATGGAGACTCCGAGTAGAAGACAGCGGGAACCTGGTAAGGGGGTCGTCGAGGTGGGAAGACAGGAGACCAAGGGGTGTGGTCTGTCAGATCAAACGGTCGTCGATCAGCCACCGATGGTAGGGAAACCACCGGAGCATCCATGACAGCGGCGTAGGGGTGGGATGTGTGGTAGGTAAGTAATAGGTAACCAAGGCCGTAATCATCATACACAAGGGAAGACGGGAAGTGGTGTGCTTGTTCTGTGGCGCCACCGTGCACTCCATCTAGTTCAAGGATCTGCTCCCTCAACGACACCGTGCCTTCGCAGAGAACCTCCAGGCGGAAGGCCGAGCCTGACGTGTCCTCGGATGCAAGCTCTGCTTCCAGCCTCTGCACCCAGGAAGAAAGCGAAAGGAACACGACATTCTTTTCGTTGGTAACAAAAAAGCTGTATGGCGAGTGAGCATCCCGCGTAAATGTGGGCCAGTTTTTGATTGATGCTTGCCCTCCCTTGACGGTGTCCAAAGACTCCACCAAGAGCAAGTCAGACGGGTCGGAGGTTGGCGTTCGGAATGCGTTCTTTTTGGCTCTTGGGAGCCATTGTCCCTCCACGCCATCGAGTTCCAGACAGATATGGACCCTACCACTTCCGGTCGATAGACAGATTATGGTGGCTGACAACTTTTCATCTCCATTGTCATCTAACGCAAGGTCAACGTCTTCACCCTTCATGAGCGTATCAGTGTCGAGTTTAGACGCGGTCACAAGGATATCGCAGAGGTCCAAATCCTCAACCTCATCGCCGGTATCGATACGGAAAGGTCCCTGCAACCTAGGAATGGCGCTGGGATTGGCGGGTCGAGTGAGGATTTCAGACGATGCTCCGGTTTCTGGATCGGATTGAACGTGTAACGGGTCCTGATTGTCGATTTCTGCCAGCCAGTCATACTGCTGCTGACATGCCACGAGCTCATCCTCGGCTTCGGAAGGATCTTCTTGCGATGCTGCCAATTTCGGGATGATATCTGCGGATAGCGAAGGAACAGTGGTGGCAGGCGCCCTCCATTTCGACGGAAGCAAAGGGCACAGGGCGTAGAGATCTCCGGGCTTCATGGCGATCCACAAGGTCATCGGCGCCCAAGCATCTTCCTTCTCACTGCCGCTACCGCCAAAGCAAGCAGATGCCACTTCCATATCGACGTAGTCGGCAGAAAACCCCTTGTTCTTCCCGAAACCCGAGGGAGCGAAATCCTGGTCGGACGAAGTGCCATCCACCAGCTTTCGCAGGTCGATCGCAAGAGAGGGACGGTCAAAAGACCAATGGTCGTTTCGGTCCAATTCCCAGACCCGCACCGCCGCATCTACTGTGACGGTCACAATGCAGGCGGCCGAAGTACTGTTTGCGCCAAGTGGATGCCAGAGCGCGGATGCGACAGGCGACTCCGGGATGACATGCGTCGTCGGACCAAGCTGGTAGTATTTCACACGGATAGGGTTGCTGTCAGTGCCGGAGAGATGCGACGGATCCGGGAGCACGACGATGTAAACAGTGTGGTCTGCCACAACCGCTAGAAAGACGCCGTCCGGGGAGGGAATAAGCTGGCGAATGTTGTCGTAGACAGGGACCAATAGCTCCTACAAATGTCACCATTAACATATTTTAGGCCCATTTCAAATCAAACAAAAGATGTACGTTCCCATACCCTGTAGTGTACATCGCGACTGGAATCTGTCTTTTCCTGGGACCTTGTTTGCTGTTGCCACTGGTCCTTCAATCGCGTCAGGTCGGACCAGCGGATGCGGTTGTTGACAACCGCGAAGACCTCATTGCCTCGCTGAGCCAAGGTGCGCGAAGGTCCGGTGTAGTCGAAATCCTTTCGAAGCTTCTGGGAGGTGGTCTCGACGCCTTTGGTAGCTGTGTCGGCAAAGAGCGAAGCGCCGGGGGAGGGGCGCGAGAGCCAAGGGGGGGTATAGCTGATGACTTTTGGCATTGTGTCGATATGATTAGGACGAGCTCATTACTGCCCTGGAGTGTGCGGGATTCAAGAGAGAGATGGTCCCAAAGGCGAGCAGCGACAAGGGACAAAGACAGAGAGGAGCTTCGGGGAAATTTTGGCGGGAAGCTGGTCCGAGCGCCCGCCAAGAGCGGCGCAAGTTTCCTTGCGTTCCCCGAGTGAAGCTCTGCCAAACACTCATCCTCCCTTCAGACGGTCCCTGCCACTCACTGATCAGTCAGCTGAATCCCCTACACACAACATGAGCACGTTACTCTACAACACGGTGGACAGGCTGGATCGCCCCAGTGCCTATTACGTTGGAAAGGTCGGTATCCACCCAAGCTGCACCTCCCAATTGGCTACCAGCCGTTTGACCTCAGCCATTGACTTGTTTCGGCTTGCAGAAGAAGCGCAGATACCAGGAAGAACAGGAGGAGCAGGAGGATCCCAATGCCAAGCTCAGAGGTGCGACAACGCTCTATGTCGGTAATCTGTAAGTTCTTCTTCGGCCCCGATTCCCCGTGGCTTTGTCGCTAACCGTTTCAAGTTCGTTCTATACGACCGAGGAGCAGATTCATGAACTTTTCTCGAAGTGAGACACCCTTGTCCTCGTTTCGCGGGTTACCTGCATGCGCTAATACACCATCATAGATGCGGTGAAGTTAAACGGCTCGTGATGGGCCTCGACCGATTCAACAAAACGCCCTGTGGATTCTGCTTTGTGGAGTACTACACCCATCAAGATGCTTTGGATTGTTTGAAATACGTTGGAGGTACCAAGCTCGACGAGAGAATCATCCGGACGGATCTAGACCCTGGGTTTGAAGAGGGCCGGCAGTATGGGTATGTTGGATCTCTCTTCCATTCAGACAGAGTGACTTCTAACGCTGCTCTAGTCGGGGCAAGTCTGGTGGACAGGTCCGTGATGAGTACAGAGAAGAATACGACCCGGGCCGCGGAGGCTACGGTCGGGCATATGCCGACGACCAACGACAACGAGAGGAAGAGGAGTACGGGCAAGGTAGGTGAAGTGGGAACGCTTTCTATTTCAAGTGGCGCATGTACGGCGTTTGCATCATATCTATTCTATCAAACAATTGGCGCATCAAACAAAAGCTTAATCCAGACCGCTCAACGTCTCCCAGATGCACAACTCGTGCAAAGAGTAAATGCAGGGTATTAACACTGTTCTAACTTGTGTCGACGCCGGATGGAATCCTCCACTTGGCGCAGCCACCATGAATGGATTCTGGCATCGCCGGTGAGCTCGGGATGGAAGCTCGTTCCGAAGACGTTGCCCTGTCGGACAGCGATGATATCTCCGGCCTCCTTTTCTGCATCGATGTTTCTGCCCTCGCTGGCCAACTTGGCAGCTCTGCCCGGAAGAGTGGCCAAGATCTCAACATCGGTGGCCACTGCGTCTCGAGCTGCAGCATCCTTGGCGTGCTTCGAAGGTGCTACCACCGTTTCGTCTCGCTGGATTTCGTCCACCTGCACGCCTTCCTGGTGCGGTAGAATCTTCTCTACCACCGGCGCACGGATGAAGACGGCCGGGAAAGAGGATTGAGGACCCGAAGGATCCAAGAACGGGAGATCCAACGGTGCTTGGAAACTCTCTGTCTGCCGGCCGAAATGGTTCCGATTCACGCGCACATCAAGACCACCAATCAGTTCCTGGCCTCCTTTCTTCGTCCGATTAGCAGACTCGGCGAGCAGGATCAGACCAGCGCAGGTGCCCCAAGTCGGTTTGCGATGAACCCTACCGGAGAGTGTCCTGTCAGTCCAACAGACCTCTATGGATCAGATGAAGGGAACGATGCGACATACTTCACAAACTCTCTCAACGGCTCCAGGAGATTCGACCGGGCGGCGACCAGGGACATAGTGGTGCTCTCGCCACCAGGCAGGATCAGAGCGTCGCATCTCTCCAACTCCGGCGGGGTTCGCACTTCGATGAACTCCCATTGCGACGAGGATGCCAGATCAGTCGCTGCCTGTTTCAGCAGCTGGACATGCTCGTAGAAAGCGCCTTGTAAGGCGAGAACCCCGACGGTGATGCTCATTGACACTCGTAGAATTGAATTGTCCGACTGAGTCACGAATTGGCCACTCCGACTGGCCGAAGAGCATCTAAATAGGCCTGCTTATGTAACTGGATCAACATTGTTCCTGTCCTATCGGCACGTGCTGCCCCGCACTGATAAGGTTTTCCGGTGGATAAGTCACATGTCTGTCTGCTGCCTGTTATGGTTATGCTTGTGTTGGCTGACTTCCTACTTCTTCCATGTAAGAATCCATCCTGCATCCAATTGCAGTCTCTTGTCGACAGAATTGCGCTTCTCCTTCGGACGCTTCACCGCTGATTCTCCCAATAATGAGCCGATGACCAGACCGGAAACATATCTCCTCTCATCACCCTTAACCCCGCATTATATCCACGGCACCGCAAACACCACCTCCCCATCTCCAATTCCCACCCACATACGATAAACACAATGGCGACAGAACAACATGAAGCCCACCACCCCCTTACCAGATGGTACATCGACACTCGGCCACTTACATCCACCATCTCGATCCTCCCCCTCCTCGAGACCCTACAACCCGACGACCAGGAAACCGTCAAACGCTTCTACCACCTGCGCGACAGACACATGTCCCTAGCCTCCTACCTACTCAAGTACCTCTTCATCCACCGCGCATGCCGCATCCCCTGGTCAAAAGTGAAGATCAGCCGTACCCCGGCACCGCACAAACGACCCTGCTTCATCCCGGACGCCGACACCACCGCAAACACCGGTAAACCCATCCCCGCCATCGAATTTAACGTCAGCCATCAAGCCTCCCTCGTCGCGCTCGCAGGGACAACCATCCCCACCCTCGCCCCAGCCCTAGAGGCCACCATCACCCCCTCCCCCTCCACGCAGTCCCACCCCGGAGGAAACACCCCCGAAGTAGGCATCGACATCACCTGCGTCAACGAACGACGGAACACGCGCTCTCAGCCCCCACCAACTAGCATCTCCGAATTCACCTCCTTCGTGGACATCTTCAGCGAAGTGTTCTCCGCGCGCGAACTCTTCACCATCAAATCCCTGCATGGCATCCCGGCGCACCAGAACACCACGGACGCACAGCGCGTCGCCTACGGCTACCGTCTGTTCTACACGTACTGGGCTCTTAAGGAGGCGTATATCAAAATGACAGGGGAAGCGCTGCTGGCGCCGTGGTTGAGGTCGTTGGAGTTTACTGATGTTAAGGTTTTGGATCCCGCGGCGGCCACGCGTGGAGAGGGGGGGTGTTGGAATGGTCCGTATACAGGTGTGCAGACGTGGTTGGATGGGAAGAAGGTGGAGGGTGTCAGGATAGAGGTGCTTGCTTTTCAGGAGGATTATCTAATTGCCACCGCGACGAGGGGAGCGGGTGTTGGTGCTGCTGGTGCTAATGGTGGGGATGGTGGGGATGAGGAGGGGAGGTGGTTGGCGATGCAGGAGATTGAAGTTGAGCGGGATGTGAGGGATTGTGCGTTAGGGAGGTGTAGCTGTTTGGCGTGAGTAGATTTGGCGTTTCAGTTATTTAGGTGTTGGGTGAGTCGAGTTGAACACGGGTATACTCATCTGTATAGATGCCCGATATATCGCGGATAGCGTCACCAAGACCCAAACAAGCCCCACAAATAAGTTAAGAAAGCATCTCACTAGAATCCTAACCCTGCTCACATAGGAGAATAAAACAAAATAAAACGAGAAAGAATCCCAATACCATTTTTATATATAATTTCTATAGCTAGACAATCCAAACTAGCCCCTCTTCCCTCCTACATCAATGGACGCAGACCCATATATGAAGTACAAATAGAGTAAAAAGAGTTCGAACTCCACGACTCCACTCCTTCCATCTATGAATAATTCTTCACGGTCTATATCTAGCAAGAGCAAGAAAGAGAAGCCTGTATTTGATCTTTCGAGGCAAGGGGTCTGATTATTCTAATTTATCTGTCTTTTTCTGGTTTCTGGTTTTCTGTGTTTCTGGGTTCAGTTGTTCAGTTTGTCTGTCTGCTCGTCTGCCTGCTTGCCTACCTGCCTGTCTGCAGACGAAGAATGGTGTAGTTTATGGGAATTAATTCTCGAGTTTAGGATCAAGGTGATAAAAAGCAAGGAGGAGTAGGCTGTCCTAAGACTGAGTACTCGGTACGAGACGGCAGGGAAAGAGAGGATATGAAATAGGAGCAGAGAGAAGGAAATAAAAATGCCAAGATGCAATTCATATCTCATTTCGCGTGGTCTCTTCGACCGGTTCACACGTGCAGGTATTTAGGGAGCCGGAGCCGTCGTTCAAGAAAGAGGGAAGGAAGGAAGGAAGGAGTGAAGGATGATATATGAATACGGATATGAATGTCGTGGTAAAGACAATGTGCACAACCCGGACTGCGAATGGGTGTCGTATTGAAATGATACTCGCCGAGTAAACGAAGTCCTAACGATAAGGACTGTGTGTAGACCGTCTAGATCTCAACCGCGGAGGAAGTAGCCTTGGCGGTGCCGTTGATTTCGTCTTGCGTCTTATCCTTTTGCGACATCGCGAGGAGGGTCTTGAGCATCGATTGTTGAGTCGATTTGGTCAGGTCGTCGACGTCGGCGGGGGTCAAGCCTTCGGTGCTGATTGGGGGAAGGACTGGAGTTATGTCAGTTGGATTTCTGCGTGTACTGGAGCAAGCGAGGACATGGAAGTAAAAACATACCCTTGATATCGATGGTGCCCGCATTGAATCGCATATTCCGAGGCGACAGAATATGCGAGTAGCTCTCCACCACGACAGGAACGATCGGCACACCAGCCTTCACGGCGAGATGGAACGCACCCTTCTTGAACGGCAACATCTCCGGGTCGTCGGAGTAGCTTCTCGTGCCCTCGGGGAAGATGAAGACGCTCTGACGGTGGGTGCGCATTTCATCGGCGGCGCTATCAAAGGCCTTGACGGCCGTCTCGCGGTTGGCACGGTCAATGAAGACGGTACGGGAGAGGGCCATGAACCACCCCAGGACGGGCACATGGCGCAAGGATTTCTTGGCCGTGACGCTGCAGTAGGGCGGGAAGACGGCGCCTAGCATGAGCACGTCCAGCTCTGACTGGTGGTTGGAAATGAAGACAGCGGGCCGGGTGGAGAGGTGTTCGTTGCCGGAGACGATCTTGAACTGCACGCCGGTGGTGCAGCGCATGACCCACTTGAAGCTGCGCGCGGTGGCCCATTGGGAGACTCGGCCGTAGCCGACAAGACGCAGGATAATCGAAGCGATGACTCCGTACGTCGCGCAGAGGAGAAGCGAGCCGTAGGCAGCCAGGCAGCGAGCGACGAACGCGGCGCGGGGAACCTTCTGGCCGATGGCGAAGAGGGACAGCGTGACGACGACAAACGAGCTGATGCCCGAGGCGATGTATGAGAAGACCGACATGACGAGGCGAAAAGAGAGGGAGAAGGCAAGGGAAGGATCGAATTTAGGGAGTGAGTTTCTCCAGCTGGGGTCCGGGGTTAGAGAATCCATTAAATACGGGGAAAGGGGAGGAGCTTCTTACTGGTGCCTTCTGATGTGCCTCGGAGAACCCGTGAATGATGCGGTCAGGCGGCAGACGCTCGGGGATGATCACAACGGTGATTCACCAGGGACGCTGGGTCATGACAAGGGAAAAGAGACAAAGAAGGAAATGGGAGAGAGGACGGGGCAGCCGGCAATAAAGATACGCAAGAAGAAGAGCAGCGTAGACGGGATTTTCTTCGCCCCGGTGGTTGTTGGGCGCCTCACCGCCTTTGCCGCGACGTCCCCAACCGAGGAAGAAGGTGGCCCTACGTCACTCAACATGCATGCCTGAGGCAACGTTCAACAGTTATATCAATATCAATATCGATGGATTTGCTTTATGCGAAAGTGCCCGGTCCAACAGACCATATGTTCATAACTTCCGTCGCCCGGCCTTCTCGTCTCTCATATGCAGCCAAATGCCCTGCTACGACAATGCCAACCCACGCTAATATACAGAATCAATGTGCCTCGAGTCCTCGAGAGCTGGATGCACAGCAAATATGCACCCTCTACCCAACCAGCCAGCTAACGCCCGGAGAATGCTGATGCGTGCGTAAATGGACACCCAGGAAAGGAATCCAGCCAAAATCAGAAGAATATGAAACCAAAAAAGTAAGAAAAAAAAGTACAGACAAGGAACGCCAGCCGTCATGAGTATAATGAGTTCCCCGGAAGACGGAAATGCATGAGAAAACCAAATCATGCCATATCTTCATCGTCCTCTTCATCGTCATCCAGGGACTCCATGGCGTCCTTAATATACTGTGCCGCCTGTAACAACATCAAAAGTTAGCAAGGTGGACGATTGTCGCAAATTATTCGGGTACCCTTACCTTGGGATCAAGATTCAAAGCCGTCGTAAAGTGTTTGATGGCGTTCCCCTTGTCGTGCAGCATCTTGTAGAGTTTGCCCAGGAGGTAATGCACATTAGGCTCGTCCGGCGCCATGTCTTTGAGAATCTTCAGTTCCGTCAGAGCGGATTTCAGCTCGTGGAGCTTCATGCACACGCGAGCCTTGCGGAATCGGGCGAGCACAGAGTGCGGCGCTAACACGCAAGCTCGTCCATACTGGGTCAGTGCACCCCGGGGATTGTTCATCTTTTCCAACACGAGACCGATGCAGCAGATCAGCACGGCATTGGTGGGGTTGATCGTGGCCGCATTGCGGAAGTGTTGTTCGGCGAAATCGAGTTTGCCCATCTTATCGTATACCGTTGCCAAGCCGTACCACGCATTATAGTGCCTGTTGTCGGCACTGATGCCATGTCGGTACGCATCGAGTGCCTTGTCGTATTCCTCGTTGGCGACATACTCGTGTCCCTGTAGGGTGAACCCATATGCGAATTGAGGATCTAATTGAGTGGCCCGCTTGAAGCACTTCAACGCTTGGTCATGATCCCGTTGGTGGGAGAAGGAGTTACCAATCGCACACCATGCCTGGGGTGACAGGCGATCAACATCCATCAGTTCATGCGCCAGATATGCTAATTCGACGTCATTCTTCAAATGCCACAGGACGGTAGAGTAGATCTCCATATCTTCCAGGCGGGACGGCACCATTGTGCGCACCCGGACGAAGTATTTCTCGGCGTCGGAGTACATTGCTTGTTCGTAGTACGCGCGACCAATCTGTGAAAGAACCCACGGCGTCTCGCGTTGACCTTGCGAAAGCGCGTTGAAGATCTGGATGGACTCGGAGCACCTGTACCGAGTCAGGGCGAAATGTCCGGAGGCTAACTTGGCAAACAGTTCTAGCAGCCACGTGAGGGCCTCTATCGACTTGGACTTTTCAAGCGCGGCGGTGCGAGACGATGCATGCTGGGTCCCGCCATGTGTGGAAGTGGTTCGGTGTTCTCGACCGTCACTGTCATGAATGTCACCGGCCGGCTTCCTACTGCCGCTGACCACGCGACCCATGGTCGGCGCCGTTGTACTACGCCCCTTCGCTCCGGTGGCTTTGACCTTCTTCAGCTCGCGGCCGTCTTTCATGCCTAGCGCCGTCCCCGAGAATTTGCTTGTTGTCGGCTTGATCTGATTGAAAAGCCGTACGCTGCGGCGCTGCGGGGCCCCCGGCTCGGTGGGCTGTGACGTTGAGGAGTGAGCGACCTGACCAGAAACTGTGCGTTTGCGGTCCCCGACTCGCGAACTGGGGACGGTTTCCTTCTCTGTCTGGGTGGCTACGTGCTCTTCCGATTCCGGCTTCGTCCTTGTTCTTTGCCTGATACCCGTGGGTTTCATCTTGGGAGGCGGGTCCATTCCATGATCGGCACCTACTGACTGAATCGTGCGATTCTTCCGTGCGGGAGCAAGGGGCGGCTCCATCGGGGCGTCCGTATTCCCCGCGCCATGACCGATGCGGAACTCGTCAGATTCACTGCTTTGGCCTCCCGGCGTTTCCGTCCCTTCATGTACTATCGGCGCCGATGCTCCTGTGGAAACCACGCTGACCGTACTTCCGTTTAACTTCTCCCATAAAACAGAGCTCCCGTGCGTAAGATTCGAGTCGGCTCGGGACGTTGCAGCTGTAAACGGGTCCATGGTTGAATTCGTATTTGCCTGCGATTGCAGCGGGCCGGCTGCAGGGGTGGCTTTATCGGAGGTGGCAAGATCGGCGTCCTCTTGCATAGAGGAAGTGACTACCGCGAGCAGATCGGAGTTTAGTTTGTAGATGTTAGGAACACGGACGTTGACACCTTCGAATTCCAGTCAGTCATTGCGATTGCACTCCCCCGGCGTCAAAGCTCACCAGTTTCACATAAGCCCATAAATGCATCCCACATAAACGGATTCAACCTTAAAGCCTCGACATAACAGTCTACCGCCTTGTTGTTCTCTTTATGCGCGTACCACAGTTTACCCAGCAAGCACATTACTGCAGCTGCGTCCGGTAAATGTTGTCTGCGCGTTTCATTGTGCTTGTCTAAAATTTCAAGAAGAACGAAAGTTAGTCTTGAATGAGCAGAATAGGCATCGCGCCGAGAGCAGATTGTTCGTAAAGCGACTCCAGAAGCTTACTCCAATGGTTTTTCGAAGCCCATAGGCTCTTGCTCCGTTCCAGCGCCGTGATTCCGTCCAGCTCTTTCCCCAGATCCAAGCAGGCTTGCGCGTAGACATAGGAACAGCCTAAGTGAGTACCCCGCGATCCGAAATTCCTGCTGTAATCCAACGCCGATTTCACTTGACCATTCAACAGATGGCATAGAGCGAGTAGATATGAGGCTTCCGACGTTCGTGGCTCGTACGCGTGTAGACGACCGGCGAGAAACAAGGCAGTGCGTATTAGGTTGTTGTCCAAATGGTAGTATATTAGTTGCCGCAGCTGGCTCGAGATGTGAGATGTAGATGGCGACATGGTCGCGGATAAAGCTGGAAAGGATTTGGTCTCCGAGGAAAGATTCGCAGGGTCCGAGAGCAAGAAGCGGTGTCGTTTGCCCTCCTCGGGGACAAGGAATGTGAAAAAGATCCAAGAACGGAAAGCGTTGGGAAGATGAGCTGGTCAAAAAAGTCGAAAGATCCAAGACTTCTCAGCATGGGAGACGCATCAGGTGAATAAATCGCAAGTCGGGTCTTGTGTTCTTTCGTCTGACTTTCTGGAAGGTACCGCGAGACGAAGGTGAGGAAAGCGCGATGGCGGCGAGAAAACTGCAAGAGAAAAAGGTCCCAATCCGGTGAAAGATAGCTGGTCAAAATACCCCTTTCACGAGAATTATTTATTGCTTCCTTTCCTTCCCGTACACTGGTTCCCAATCTGAAACGGACGGAGGAGGCGACCGTGAATCTAATCAGGGCTTGTCTTGTCTAGGGGAGCGAACGATCGATCGATGCGGGCGGGCTCGTGACGCCCCTTTGGGCCAAGCAGGAGCTCAGAGAAAGACAAATTGCATATCGAGGATGACAGAAGAGAGTGGGGACAGGGACCAAGAGCACACAACAGAGCTTGTCAGGAAGCCGTAGGGGGAGGGGGGACAAGATGCAGGGTGCGATAGAGCAGGCGATGCAGACTGTCGTCACGACTTGTCTCTTTGTCGATGTTTTGGCCCGTCAACTGTTCGGTAGTCCCGTGAGTGGCTGGTGAAGGGTGCGGGCGCTTGTCCCGTTGTGGTGGGCAACGCCATTCCCTAAGCGGCCGCTGCTTCAGTGCTCTCACTCTGCCCACGTTGAACTTACGGAGTTCTCATAAGTTACTTGTGTCTAGGCTTCATACCCCCTCTTTATCTTGCTCCCTGACAGACACCATGGCTCAGGTTAGTCTTGCTTCTATCTTGTCTTGTGTTGTTCCCTCTCACTCTGGACCCGCGAAACACACTTAATCAAGAACTCCATGATGCAACTAGCTCACTCTCTCCCAGAAAGCAGCCAAAACCCTCGCCGCGCGTAATGCCTCCCTTTTACTGCGCACCCACATCATAACCGTCGGTCTACATGCCGTCTTCCTCATTCTCCACTGGACCTTTAACCGTCCTCGCTCCATGACCCCGTACTATCTACTGGCCTGCCCGACGCTCGCCATCGAATTCTACCTCGACCGATTGGGTCGTCCGCAATTCAACGCCGCCGACGGATCTCTGCGCTCGCCTGGGGAGGATCTAGGCGCTGCGGGGCTGACGGAGTACATGTGGGATGTCTTGTACTGGACCTGGGGCTGTATTGGCGCCGTCTGCGTGTTTGGCGATCGGGGTTGGTGGCTGTGGACCGTCATTCCACTGTACTCGGTGTGGCTTGCATATACCACTGTCACCGGGATGAAGAGCGGATTTGCCGGAATGGGCGGTGCCGGTGATGCCGAGCCTGCTGGGGCTGAGAGCAAGAGGCAGAAGAAGATGGAGAAGCGCGGAGGACGAGTGCAGTACCGATGAGTAGGTATAAAGCGGGAGCATAAAATGTTAGATATTTTAGGACACGTTGGTTACTGAATGCAGATATTCGTAATACTTTGTCTTTGGAATATGAGATATGTGTTCTTTTGAGATAACTAAGATACAGGACAACAGATAGAGTGGGAGAAATAGCAGTTAGAAAGGAGGAGCAAACAGAAAAAAGAACAGAAAAACGGATCAAGGCAACATGGTATATCGTGACGTGCTCGTGGTAAACTATATGGGGAATAAGCATGGTCGTGGGCATTCTCAGAACATTGAAACCAGAAAAGTGCGACTGGGGATATCACGCATGTAAAGGTAGCTAGATTAGACAATTGAAGCAGTATCAAATCCAGAAAAAAAAGATATCTTGCTTTTCGATGTTGGCGATTATAGATCTTCCTTGCTGGTGTTTTCGTTCGCATCGCTGGATACATCCTCGGTTTGCGACTCGGAGAATGAAGAGTCCTCCTCGGAAACCTCGGGATGCCCAGACTCAATCGATTCCTCCTGAATGCCGGTCTGCGTGGTATCAATAGCATCCTCAACAACATCCACAACTACAGGGGTCTCCGTCGCAGGCGTGGACGGTTCCGTGGGTGTAGTCCTGTCGGTTCCATCGGCACCAGTCGGTGATGCAACAGCTGGAGACGATTTACCATAGATAGCTTGCAACCGTTTGATAACTTCTTCGGCATAAGAAGAATCCTTGCCGTCAAGTAGTTGAGAGACAAGATCGTCAATCGCTGCGTGGCTGGGAGCGGGCTGAGCTGACGCTTCAGACGGGGCAGGAGCCTGAGATTCGCTGACTTGTTTGACAGGGACTTGCTCATCGGCGGCATTTAAAATGCCGTGTAACATTTCAATAGGTTCGTCAATACTCGGCTCGTCGGTGCTTGTTTCAACATCAGCCGCAGAAACGCCCCAAGACGGCCGCTCGGCATGCCCTGCATCGTGGGTTTGCTCATTCGCGCTCGGAACTTCATCTTTGTCGCCCGACGTCGGCTGGAAACTGTGTTCGGATGAACTCGCAGAATCCAGATCATCGGAAAGAGGCGCGTCGTCCAGGCCTATATCCTGCTCCTCGGTGTAAGAGCTCGTAGCACCGGCATCACGATCTTCGGCGTCGTGATGATCAAGAATTTGCTCTCCCGGAATCTCATCGGAGGTTGCGTTGCGTTTGGGAAGAGCGGGTGGCGGGTCAGACCGTGTCTCAAAATCTTCACTCACTTCACGAGCGGCAATTTTCCACTTGCCAACGTCCTTGAGCCGGGCCAGTTCTTTTGCAGCGCTTTCAGCGGCATCCATTCCGCGGCCCAAAATGTCGTCCGACAGCACTCTAGCCTCCTCCACCTTGATGTGTTGCAGGCCGACGGCGCGGAACTGAGCCCTCCAGTCATCAAACTGTGCCTTGAGGGCATGGTATTTTTCCCAATCCTTGTAAGTGACCCCATCCATCCAGGCCCAGCGGATCCCAATCTCTTGAAGTCCCAAGTCGCGGACACTGTCTAACACGGCTAGGGTGGTCTTCACGGCATCAGAGACTCGACGCTCAATCTCTTCGTCGAACGTCCTATGCCACTGGCGGAGCGCCTGAGCGCGATCACGGATGGCAATTGCAGCTTCCTTGATGTCCGCCGAAAGCTTTGCCTGGGCCACTTCCTCCTCTTCGGGGGCCTCTTCAACGGGCAGAGGAGTGGTTAACGAGGTGATACGTTGCTTGACCTCAGCCAGTTCATGCTGCACAACTTCTTCCAAGGCTATGAAAAGGCTTTCCCCGTGGCCTTTCGCTCCACTCTCTATATAGCTGTCAACAATCGTCTTGACGCGCTCTTCCAGATCCTCCAGGCCTTTGTCGGCGGCAACGGCGAATTTTTGCTGCCATGTACGAAGATCGGATTCAATTTTTTCACGAGTTTGCGCTGCTAGTTCGGTGGGAGAAAGAACCTTTGATTCCGACGGAGTCTCTGACGCGGTAGTTGTAACTGGCGACTCGACTTGCTGAACGGACGATGTGGTTGATTCGGGCTGGTCTGAAGAACTACCAAATCACAAAGATTAGCCAATTGAGCATACACAATACCACATGTAAAAAACTCACTTATCAACGTCATCCACAACCTGTCGTAGTCGTTTCCCCTCACGGTAGCTAGCCAGTCTCTGCCCAATTTTCACTAGCTGAGGCTCGACATTCTCCGAATAGAGGCCCGTAATCTTCGGCCATAATGAGCTGTTCGCAAAGTAGATCACAGAAGACCAGGTGGTTTGCGCATAAGGCATAACAGTAGTTGTGAGTATATCCTGACCAGAAGTGTAGGTCTTGCCGATGAATGGCCTTGACTGGGCGCAGAAGGGTAACACATATCCCTGGAGCACCGAGCTGAAAGCGGCGTTGGTTTTCTGATAATACGGCGACAGCGCGATTTCCACCCTCTCAACGTGGGGTGCGACATTAGCCTTGTACAAACTAGTCGCACTATCCTGGGCGGACTGCAAGTGGGGAACAACCTGTCTCTCCCACTGCTGTTGAGTGAACTGCTGAGCCTGGTCCAAAGCCGGGGCGCCGTACTTGTCATAACCCCATCTGCCAACATTTGCGGCGGGAGTGTAGACCTTTTCATTTACCGTGCGCGCGTAGGGGCGGGCAAGTTCGACATAAGGTGCGCCGTAGGCATTGTAGTAGGGAGTAATATGGGGCTCAACGTAGGACCGAGCGACCAGGTATGGTTTGCAAACTCGCGGGGAGGATTCGTTCAGTTCGGACAGATGAGACGGGCATCGGAAGATAGGAGTCAGTAGCGCATACCAGATACACAGGCTAGAAAGCAAGAGTTGGTCAGTCCGACATCGCGAACAAAAAAATCATATGAAGTATCGAACATACCGCACGAACACCCCGAGGGTCCACCGGAGAGGACTTCTCCGTGTAGAGTTCACGCGGTTCTCATGAGTGCCAGCACTTTTTTCGACGGCCTCCGCGGGGCGCGCATCGTCGACGGTGGTGGTCATACTGACCGGGGCGATGCTCCGTCAGGCTAGTCAGTCCTAGCTCGCGTCGTGTCTCGAATCTGATGACACTGATTAGAAGATGCTTTATGATTTGAATAGCCCTCGAAGCATGGCACTCATAAAGGCCTCAGTAGGCACAAAGAATGCGGTGAGACTCACTGGCCGAGGGTTGGTCGGTTGTAAGCGGGTTCGCAACGGAGCAAGAAGAGAGGCCGCGGGAGTATTCGAAGGGACACCACACGCGACTATGCAACCTTGAAAGTCTTGGCACGAACTTTTATTTTTATTTTTATTTTTATTATTATTTTTTCATTAATTTTTTCAAGCAAAAGCTTTCTCCCAGAAGTTGTGCACAAGAAATACCCCTTGGGTCGAAAGAATGTAAATCAGGGAGAACTATGTATGACAGGAGGAGCCCTAAATAACTACTACAGCAGACTCGTCCAGTTGCATCCCCTGCAGCTGGCGGCACCAACTAAGGAGGGAAAGATGATGCATTGCGTTTTTCCTGCTTCGATCGGTGACCTCATGGCTGCAAGTGGCGCCCCTCCGTTCTCAATACGCAGAATACGCAGAATACGCAGAATATTCTCAATTTCTGCGCCGAATCCGCGGTAATTCCGCCGCTGTACACCGTACGGTAATGTCACGTGTCAGTGACGGGGCGAGGTCATTCCAGCTGAGTCATCGCGCTCTTTGACCTGAACCACATTTCGACGGTTGTTTCCATAACTGTTATCAACCTGGGCAACTTGCCACAAGTTGGTTACGGTCGACTTCAGAAAGTCTTCACCTTGAACTTCACGACCAGCGGCGTCTTGCTTTAAAACGGAACTACCTGCGGAAACACCGTTGTGCTCGACTCACGTGCCCCTTATATCGAAAGTCGCGCCCTCTGCGGTTCTATGAACATGACATCTGGCTATCACTACTGAAGACGATCGGACCGTCGAACGACGTTGTCGTCAACATGGAGGGTCCAGAACATCAATTCCCGGACTACTCGGGCACGGCGTCTTTTCCAGACCTGATGAATGATCCGGCCTATGCTACCAACACCAAAGGAAAGGGGAGGGACGTCGAGGATCCAGATACTTGCAGAATATGTCGCGGGGAAGGGACGGAGGAAGAGCAGCTCTTCTATCCGTGCAAATGCAGTGGCAGCATCAAGTTTGTCCACCAGGCCTGCTTGGTTGAGTGGCTGTCGCATTCCCAGAAGAAGCATTGCGAGCTGTGTAAAACGCCGTTCCGATTTACCAAACTGTACGACCCGAACATGCCTCGAAATCTCCCCGCGCCGCTGTTCATGAAGCAGCTCTTCATACATAGCTTTCGGACAATGGTGACATGGTTTCGGTTCGTCCTTGTCGCGTTTGTTTGGCTTGGATGGCTGCCGTGGTCGATGAGGGCAATTTGGCGGGCTCTCTTCTGGTTGGCAGATGGCCGTTGGTCAGGGAGTGATATGCCTCGTCAAGGATCCGTCCCTGGCCATGGTTCTCATTCCGTGGAAGGTGTAACCGGTTCGCTCAGCAGTGGAGCGGCCGGTACGGCGTCCGCAGTGCCGGCTGCTATCTTGCCAGGCTCGAGTGATGCTTCGGCGCCGGTACCGTCAATGTTTGGTTTCTCATCTGGTGAACCTTTGATGTTCAGCTTGATCAAGAACGCTTTTTCGAGCCTTTTCTTCCCCGCGATGTCGTCGGGGGCTGGCCATTCGGACGCGGCATCATCGAACGCTACTCTTGGGCTGTCCAAACCCCGGCGCTCCTCATGGCTTTCCGACGTTAAATTCCTCAACTCTCTAACGCCATCTCCCACATTCAACAACATTCTGATCGACACATTGGAAGGACAACTCATTACTATCTTAGTTGTGGTCTCCTGCATACTGATATTTTTGATCCGGGAGTGGGTGGTTCAACAGCAACCAACGGCCAACATCGCGGAAGGGGAACGGGAGGCGGCTGTCCAGTTAATCGCTAATAATCGTCCAAATCAAAACGAAGATAGACCGATACCCGGTCAGCAGCCTGCTCTAGAACAGGAAGAAGCAGGACTACAGGGAAATGCCCGTGGGTTCGATGACGCAGACGGGGTAGCACCTCCCCAGGAGAGCCCAAGGCCCTTCCATGGCCATACATTCATCCGAGATGATAATTTGGCCCACCCAGAAGCCGCCGAAGATTTTAGTACCCAGCATTACGACGGCAACGATTATGGTGAAGATGTCGATCCTTCAACGGGACAACAGTATTCCCAGATAGGTCAGGTCTGGCCCGGTACTGATATTTTTCGGGACTTGTGGTCGCGCGCTCAGGGTGATCCTGAACAGGTCCTTAGGCTCATCAGAGAAGAGAACCGGGAGGTAGAATTGGACTGGATCGTGACTGCGATGACCAACTTGCGCCAAAATCGACCTCCTGACTTCTTTGGCCGTGGAACGGCGACGCAACGGAATGAGATGGCTCCCGGCACGGATGCATATGATGCACACACGTATGACCCGCAGCCTGTGATCTCGGAATCCTCTCAGCCGGCATATGGATATGAACGGCCGGAGGATTACACAACGCATTGGGATGCTTCAAACTCATTCAACCCAGAACCTGAGGGTTCTGACCACACAGAGCGATCACAGAGTCCTTTCGCTTTCAACTTTCCAGATCCGGGATCAAATGCTTTGGGCCAGCCTGAGGATGATATCAATCCCACCCAAGCCTACGATGGCGAACCTTATGTCCATGAAGCTCCTGTCGCTACCCCTGTTGTAGCTGTTGCTCCAGCCCCTGTTCCAGCCGAACCTTTCGGGGCCAATGATTCTTTTGCCGATAGGGCGGGCGACATACCGGAAAGCGCCCCGTCATCGGTTCCCAATGACAACCCGGCTGTTCCTACTCCTCCCAAAGCGATGGCTACTCGAGTTCTCGATTGGTTTTGGGCCGATATCACTCCAGATGAACCGGCTGAAGAACCTCCGCATGAAGATGGAGAGCATATAATTGAAGACCCCGCCTTGGAACCGCCTTTTGTGCCCGTGCAAAACAATCAACGCGCCATCAACAATGCTGCACAGGATAACCAAGGTCTCCTTGCGGATGCCGGACTCGATCCAAACGATATTGAAGCTATTGAGGACGGCGACGACCTGGAAGGAATACTTGAGCTTATTGGTATGCACGGTCCGATCTTTGGTCTCCTGCAAAACGGTGTCTTCAGTGCCCTCCTGATCTCGTTTACCGTGGCAATTGGAATCTGGCTCCCCTACCTGTGGGGAAAAATTGCGCTTGTTCTCCTAGCAAACCCCATACAGCTTGTCTTTGGTGTGCCAATGACTGCCGTATCAGTTTTCGCCGATGTTACGCTCGATACATTAATTGGTAGCCTGGGCTATGTCATGTACTGGGTCACTCTTCTATGCAAGGTGTTCCTTAGCCCTCTCGGTGCTCTGTTGCCTATCGGAGACTGGATCCCACACACCAAATCCATCACCAGCGCCTCGCTTTCGCTCATTGATGCTAGCAGCCACCGATTGAAGAATGTTGCTAGCGCATTTTTCGTATTTCATGAAGCGGATGTTCCTATGTTTTCCGTTCTCTCTCACCAAGCCTTGAAAATTCACCAAGCACGGATTGCCGCCCTCCTACGATCCATTGTCGTCGTGGTCAGGTTTGTATTGCATGATATGCCACTTCGATTGGTCTCCCACGGGGTCATTGGTGCCTTTGCGTTTGATCGTGAGTCCCTTGATCTAAATGGTTGGTTGCTTCAAACTCAGTATCAAATCAAACATTTCATGGAACGCATCCCGCTGTCCTTCAATGGCACAAAGTGGTTCAAAGCCAACATGATGGGCCTGCCACCGGCAGCTAGTATAACCCTCGATACTGATCTCGCTGTGTGGGATACCCAAGATCGTGTCATTGCCATCGTCATGGGATATCTTCTTGTCTCGGCCCTGGGCCTTCTCTACCTACGTGCTACTGCTCTGATCTCTGGTGTGGCTCGAGGACAGAGGGTTGAAGGCATCATTGCCGAGGTACTCAATCAAGCCGGGGGAGTTATGAAAGTAATCCTCATAATCGGAATTGAGATGATTGTCTTCCCCCTTTATTGTGGATCCTTGCTAGACATTGCATTATTGCCTCTTTTCGAAGGCGCATCCATTACCTCCCGAATTGAATTCACCTCCTCATCGCCCCTCACTTCGCTCTTCGTCCATTGGTTCATCGGCACCTGCTACATGTTCCACTTTGCTCTTTTCGTTGCCATGTGCCGAAAGATCATGAGGAGTGGTGTGTTGTGTAAGTGCTGCCTATTCTATTCTCAGCGTGGAAATGACTAACTTGGTCCAGATTTCATTCGCGATCCGGATGACCCGACCTTCCATCCCGTGCGTGACGTGCTGGAGCGCAACATCACCACCCAACTACGCAAGATCGCATTCAGTGCCTTGGTTTATGGTGCTCTGGTGATCGTCTGTCTTGGAGGTGTTGTGTGGGGGCTGTCCTTTGCCTTCGACGGGATTTTACCGATCCACTGGTCTGCCACTATTCCGGTCCTTGAGTTCCCGGTTGACCTGCTGTTCTACAATTTCGTCATGCCGCTTGCAATTCGCTCCATCAAACCTTCCGACGGCCTACACGGCCTCTACAATTGGTGGTTCCACAAATGTGCCCGCTTCTTGCGCCTGACTGAGTTCTTCTTCGGCGACAGACAAATTGACGAAGAAGGATATCATGTGCGGCGAACATGGTGGCAAAAGTTAACGCTAGCCAAAGGGGACACTACGGAGCCTGTGCATACTAATAAGGACGACCAGAAGGCGGCAGCTGACAAGACTACGGACGTCTATTTTGCTCGAGACGGGAGATTCGTTCGTGCCCCCGCTTCCGACCAGGTCCGCATTCCCAAAGGCAGCCAGGTTTTCTTGGAAGTATCCGAATCGAACGAGCGGGTTGACGGGGCCACCGACGTGGATGAGGGTCTGCATGGCCGAAAAAATGACATGTTCACGAAGGTTTACGTCCCTCCGTTCTTCCGAAGCAGGATTGCCGCCTTCATCCTCTTGATTTGGGTATTTGCAGCTGCCACTGGCGTAGGCACCACCATTATCCCACTGATTGTTGGACGCAAGTTGATGTCGTCATATTTCCCCAACCGGCCACTGAACGACATATATGCCTTTTCGATTGGTATCTGTATAGTCGGCGGGGTGGTGTTTGTTGCCTGGTACTGCAAGAACCGTGCTGCCTCGGTCAAAGACCGCCTGGGCCCGTATTTGCAGTCCCCTCGACAGGCCTGCCTCGGATTAACCAATGTAGCCATGAACGGTCTTCGTCTCATCTACATTTTCACGGCCTTCTCCGTGGTGCTGCCGTCCCTGTTCGCTCTGGTGGTGGAGCTTTATGTGCTGGTCCCAGTGCACACATACTTGGGCGGTACCCAGGCCCATGTCATCCACTTCGTGCAGGACTGGACGCTAGGGGTGCTCTATGTTCAAATGGCAGTCAAATTTGTTCTGTGGAATTCAGCCTCTCGCCCTGCGGCCGCCCTGAACGGCATCTTCCGGGACAGCTGGTTGAAACCCAACGTGAACCTTGCCACGCGGGCATTGTTGCTCCCAATCACGCTTCTCGCAGCTGTTGCGGTGTCTTTGCCCCTCTGTTTAGGATTCATCTTGAACGCGAGCATGTTCCACTCGGCCCCCGAGGTGCAGTCTAAAGTTTACCGCTATGCGTACCCGGCGACGTTGTTCATGAGCCTACTGCTTTGGCTGGCTTATCTTGTTCGTCGACAGGTGGAGATCTGGCGAGTCAACATTCGAGACGATGTCTATTTGATTGGGGAGCGTCTCCATAATTTCCGAGAGAAACGCGCAAGGGATGTCGGCGTGCCTCGACAGGTCATTACGGGATAAATGGGTTGCGACTTGATGAGGTACAAGAGAGGCACGCAGGAGTGGTAATTCAAAACACTTGTAGCAACATTTTGGTTGTTTGGTCTTGTTTCTTTTAACGTACTCGTCGCAAACGATTGTGAACATTATTATTATTATTATTTATCTATTTTATTATGATGATTCATGAACAGAATGTTTAAGAAGAAAAACCAAAGATAAATAAAAGAAATTCAAAGCAGATCCTTCAAATTACGTAGATCGTTGGAGTTAGCGGGATCTAGCGATCGAAGGTAAATGGTGGTTGCCTGATGAAGTTTCTTTCTGCCTACTACAGAGTGGAATCCCGTGCGAGATTTTCGCAGAAATGGTGAAGCCTACGTACACAGTAGCATTGGAGGTATCGGGCCGAGTAGAGGACAATAATAATGAATGGCTGCATGTTGGTTAGAAGATCAGGAATCCGTCGTGTTCGTTCTCGCAACTCAGCCTCGACGCAGGATCATGAAGTATTTACTCATTAATCTTCAATACTTTTAATGTTTTTAATGCTTTCAGTCTAACCCTTTCAGCCGTTTAAGCTCGCAACGAGCAAGGCACCGCTGAGTCAGCCTGCAGCCAGGCGGGGCCAATGCACGTGCCCTCTGCCGGTACGACCAATCAGCAAACGACTATCGCCGAATCGCGGCTGCCTGCCACGTGACCGTGCCAAGGCGGCGCGGAGGTGTGGCTTGGCAGATGAGGCTTTGCTTCACTCGCCACTCCCTATTGGTTAGGCAACAGAATTCCTTGCCCACCGGCCTTTCTATTCTTATTCCTCCCGTCGCCTTTTTGCCCCTCTTATCACTCTCTCGCCGATGGACTAACACCGCGCTCTGCAGACTTCGCTTCTAATTCATTCTCTTTCTTCCCCCCCCCTGCCCCAGATCATGTATTCCCCCTGATTTCGGTGCTCATTTCGTCCCACTCGATTGAAATGATCCCCAATCCCCGCTAATATCGACTCATCTTGATCCCCGTTCGCACTCTTGCGCGCCAAGATGTCCGTTCTCCGTCATCATGGGGGGTCCTACCTCCAGCGACGCCTCACCAAGATGTATACCGACACCAAAACATCGTGTGAGAGCGTCACCACCGCGTCCAAGGCTGTCGACGACCCCGAATTAGTCACCCTCCACCGGAATTTCAGAACCCAGCGAGACCGACTGTTGGCATGGGGTCTCGACTGGAGCGATGCTAGCGCAGCCCAGCCGAACGATATCGACGAGTCGCTGACCCAGGCTGGCTTCAGCGACGTCGTTGCCAGTGTTATGTCGTCAATTCAAGAACTCCTCAACGAAGCCGAACGCTTGCAGCACACGGGAACCTCCGACCTCCTACCGCCCAAAGGTGGCCGAGCCGACAAGGATGCGAAAGATGCCCTGAGCCGTCTGCCGGTCAAGACGCACTGGACCAACGAGGATATCAATCGATCGAAGACCCTGCTCTCCGACTTGACCTCTTGCATTGATACACTCTATGACCTGTCTCGTTCGCGGCGCACTATGGCCTCCAGTGGGCAGTCGGGCTGGTCGCGGCAGTACTCCGCCTCCCAAACACCTACCACGGACTCCAAATCCTATCACGGTCCTTCCTACGACTCGAAGCAGATGTATGCTAGCTCCACCACGAAACAAGACCCCTTCGAATACTCGCCCTACCCCACCCATAATCTGGATAAGCCAAGGCTGGAGAACTCGCAGAACTACCTCATCGATCGCTCGGCGCTGCAGCTCTCTGGTGCATCCCACGACAACAGCCCTCCGCCGTATGAAATGGTCGCCGCTTCCACTAATTCTCGCGCTATTGGTCGCATCAAGACCTCGGCATCTCCATTTTTGCGCGGTTCCAAGGACTCGACAGCCACTATTCTCGTTGAATTCACACCCATGATTCTGGAGTCGTCGGGCGCTGTCGCGGTCCCCAGTAACAAACGTCTTGATCACGTCAACCAGACCCTCGACCAGCTGGTTCAGAATGCGCGGGTTTCTCACCTGGGTTTGTTGAAGTTCCTGGGTTATTATATTGACATGCCCAACTCCCGCTATGCTTTCATCTACCAGATGCCAATGGACTATTTCCCGTTCCTTCGCAACCCCACCGATCTGTTGCAGGGTCTGAAACCGAAGCAACTGGTGTCTCTATTCCAGACCAAAGAAGATAACCAGATTCCCAATCTGGAAACGAGGTTCCGTTTGGCCTACGACCTACTGATGGCCGTACTCCAATTAAGGAGCCAGAATCTGGTGCACGGCAACATCAATAGCAGCAACGTTCTCATCTTTCCGGGACTGACGAACTCTAACAACGACGAAGTTAGCCTAACGGAGAACCTTCAACACCCCTACCTGACGTCTTTCGCGCAATTTTCTGCTAACGGGTCTACGCCCGAACCTTTGTCGTCAAGTATGTACCGTCATCCCGACGACAAGCGGTCACTTGAGGACGATGCTGCCTGGGCTTACGACCTGTACTCGCTGGGCCTGGTCTTGATGGAAATCGGATTGTGGGCGCCTGTAAGCCGCCTGTGGAAGATGAAGTACAACAACTCCATGTTCAAGCAGAGGATCGAGAACGTCTACCTGCAGAAACTGGGCCCCAAATGCGGCAGTGCCTACCTTCACGTGGTGCAGCTATGTCTAGATGCGCCGAACTTCCACCTCTCCACGCAGCCTTTCGACGACCTGAATCTACGAGTGCCTCAAACCTTCCACTACCCAGTGCTGGATCTCTCCGAGCCCGACAGCATCTTTTCGTTCTCGATGAATTTCATCTACACCATGTCCAAGATCGCCTGGTCCTGCTGCCGAATTGATCTATTTTCGGCGCCGAATGCCGACGAGCTGGATGATTGCCTGCCCCTTGCTCTTGTTCCTAGACCTGACGTGCAGGATTCGAAAGCGGCAATGAGAGAATTTGAACCCGCGCATACCCAATCCGTTCCTATTGCGGAGCCATTTCCCATATTGCCCCATGCCGACATGAAGGCTCTTCGAGGCAAAATGGGTCTCGACGAGCCACAAACTCGTAAAAGAACTTTCAAAAAGCTCACCAACGTTGAAATCCCACAGGAACATCTGAATGTGTGGAATTTCCAGATGCTTCCCCGACTCCGAAAGCTCCTACAGAAAATCTTGAAAGACTCCTCCGAATCGTGTGGTGTTACTCTCATGATGACCGGCGATGCGCCGGAAAACGCTCGGACCACGATCTGTGTGACTTGCGCTAGCGCAAAGAAGGTCCGTGCGGCGTTAAAGAAGTATTTCCCGCTGGAGAGCGAAGATTGGGATCTTCTTGTGCTCCGGGGCGACATCCAACGGTCCAAAGTCCCACGCAAGAAGCGCCGCAGGCCGGCGAAGACTGGACCGGAGAGAGCAGACCCGCATGGCCCTTCTTACCAAGACCCAAACCCTTGTCATCAGCAACGGCCTCTGTGCGGCGCATCCATGGGGGCATTCCTGAACGAGGAGCATCTGCCTCCGGTGACATACGGTGGCGCCATACTGGTAGATGGCATGCCCTATGGGATGACCGTTCACCACATGCTCGAAGCACCCAGTGACCAGGAGGATGAGGATGAAGACTCTGGCGGGCCTTTGCGGTCGGCTGGTAATTGGCCGCAACCGTCAGGTCCGCAAGATGCGGAATTCATGTACAGCTGGGCTGATGAGGAAGGGCCGTCTGATTTCGACCTTGAATTTGAAATCTCGGAAGATGAGGACGGAGATGGGCATTCCTTAGATGGGAATTACGAGGAGTTCTGCCTGTCGGAGGGCTATTCATCGGACGAGGACGCGTTCGGGCTTGACGACGACGAGTACGAAGATGAGGATGCAGCATCCATCGGTGACACGGCGGGCATCGAACCCGGCGATGAGCCACCTTTATTCGTCACGCAGCCCGCGATTGATGATGTTCGAGAAGACTTCTTTCCATCTCCCGAAGACCGCGACGATGAACACTTGGCCTCTCACTCTTTCGGGTTCGTTCATGCGTCATCTGGTGTTCGACGTTGGACACGAAAAGGGATTAAACACGAGATTGATTGGGCATTGATCAAAATCAACGAAGATCGGATCGATGTTCGCAACATTGTTTATGACAAAGCGTCAGCATCCAGGCCGAATGCATCCAGGCGACGATACGGTGACCGCAGTCCACTTCCCCAAGGCGAAGTCATCTACTTGAATGACATTGCACGGTTAGAAGATATCGGCGGCTTAAATGTGCACTGTTGCGGTCGAACGAGCGGCCTGCAAACGGGACAGATCTCACGGGCAATGACAATCGTCAAGCTGCACGGTCGACAGACCTTCTCGACGAGCTTTTGTGTGGATGGGAATTTCGGGGGTAAGTAAGCACACCACAGTTCACTACGCACTCTGGTCATTTATCCAAGCAACCACATGCTAACTCGTCTTGCTTTAGTCCCCGGCGATTCAGGCGCATGGGTCTTCGAGCGGTCGACCGGCCGTGTCTGTGGCCACGTTCTAGCCTGGTCCGACAAAAGCCACACGGCCTATATAGCGCCCATGGAGGTCCTCCTCGAGGATATCGCGCGCACTCTCAACGCATCCTACGTTGCCCTCCCAGGGGGCCCAGATGGGTCGCTTGCCTACGCCATGCCTCATTCGAACACCCTGGAGCCTCAGAACCCGCGCTACCGCAATCCCCTTCCACTCCCGGATCAGATTCCCGTTGACATCGGGCGACTCCGCATCGACGATCCCAGCATGGGGCCTGTCAATACCAGTCGTGGTCTACGAGAGGTCCCGTATCGGGGCATGCCGCCTATATTGACCCAACCACGCAGTCTAGAAAGACAAATTGCGTGAGGACTTGGACATACCTACTCGCTCCTTCGATCCATATCTCTCCTTACTTCGCCAAGTACTTACTTACCTTGTCCCCTATGCGGGAAGAACATATACCACATGCTCATCCACCTTCCTTTCCTACAAAATATTACCCCTGGTCTAATTTTGCTTCACGTTTATATGAATGACCTATGAACGAGCCGATAGGAAACCCTTTCCTTTCCTGGTTCCTTGTATCTTTTTGTTTGTCTTGTTCAGTCCAATCCAATAATACCCCCTTCTGCGTTTTCATTTTTATGATTATTATTGTGGTTCTATCTCTATCACAGGTCTCCTATCTACTGCCTACCTACCAGTTAGTTACTAGCATATAGTACGTGAGCAAGACTTGACTGAGTTTGGACTCTATCTGTACAACAGTAGATAGCCTCCCGAGTACACATCTTGGTAGCCATGTCAACCAAAACTAATTGACCATCATGAAAGTTCTAGATGTAGAGAGGCCTCTCCAACGATATAATCTAAACAGATAAATAACTTTCTGCTGTTGCATCCATACATAAAGGGAACCAAGGGCTTCGCCCTTGGCTGCTTGCCCTTCAGGTAGAATCCTATAACGTCTACAACAATCTGATGATCATACCTTCTTTTACGTTCTTGGAGACGCACTCTTGCACGTAGCTTCGGCAGATTCATCAATTATAGCAAAATCTTTGAATTCGAACGAGCTAGCATAACTATATGATCAAAATAATCAAGTAACCTGGACCGACACAATCGGGATATTTTGAAGAACCGGTGTTTCACCTCATTCTACCCATTGGTGTGTGGGGGGGATATCATTCCAAAAGATAGAGAGCAATTGATATACTTGCCATCTTCTTTCGAACCTCCAGGAAGATCTATCCTCTACACCGTCACTACCATACCATCTCTCAAGGGCTTCCGGCGTTGGCTCAAAAGGCTCGTCGTCAAGTTTCACGCCATTCTTAATATACCACGCCCGGAGATCATGATCCACGCGTAGGCGAGAAGTCGATTGATATCTCCTAGATCTCGCGAAACGCACATTTCAATATCGGGGTCGTCACCCGTGAAGTAGGTCACTTTTGTAAAGCACTTGGTACACGGTCGGTCCAATCGGTAATTCTCATGGTATATGATACAAGCATTTAGGCCCGTGCATTCGTGCGGGCTCATGTAAATAATCAATCAAATAATCTTATCATAAAATAAACAAAATCATCTATCCAATTGTTATTATAAAGACTTCATAAAAAAATTAAAATAATACAATATCTTTTTCATTACATAATAAATTCGTAAAAACACTCTAAACAATCATCAATGAAACACAAAAACAAAAAAAAAATAATGCAAAGATTATCTAATTTAATTTTTTTAATAAAATCCAAAAACAGATTTTGCATAATATATATTATATCTAATTAATATTATTTGATAACAACATGTTAATTATTATTTGTTGGAATACTGGGTACTAGAAGCAGTAAAGGTGATCAAGAACTTCATGAATTGAAGATTGATTATTCTGATGATGATCTATCTACTGTTACGACACCAATACCAGTCACTTAGGTGAGGGTGGCTACGCTAGACAGAACACCGGGCAAATGACAACCAACCAAGCCCTGTAACAAAGAGATGCCCGCTGTTCATCTCAATGCTCAATAAGCATATCTTAAATATTAAACCAAAAATGACAAAGATACTAAAAATTATAATACATATATATTTATGCATATTTGGGTTTCTACATACATTACACGTGATTATATGATATATAAATAAATAATATACAATCATAATTTGTATATTATTATATTCTCTATCAATTATAAAAGACTCAAAAAAAATATAAAAATATTTATTATTATATATTTAAAATAATTCTTATTTAATTTTTCGCATTCAATACAATCACTGTCTTTAATAATTACAAAAATTATATTCTTAATACAATTCGTTCACATTCTATCATAAAAAAATATACATATCAATTTAATTTTAATTTTATTTTAATTATTTAAAGATCTTTCAATCATCAAATTAATTTATTAAAATCTAGATTTGAGTTTTAAACATAATTTTCAATCATTCAAGAGCAATAATATTCTTCAAATAAATATTATCTATTTTTAAAATTAATCGGATTGATCATTAAAAATCTAAATTATATTTCAACAATGCAATACAACATAACTTAAACAAATTTTAAAATTTAACACATTAAATGTCAAATTAATATAAATTGAGTTTAAACAACATGTCAATCATTTTAAATAAAAATTTTTTAATTTTCATCAAAAAAATCAAATCAAAATCAAAAACAAACAACAATTATATATAATTTCAAAAACATAATTGATCAATTACAACAACAAATCATAATTTTGAAAAATTATTTAACTGTTAAATTAATCAAAATCAAATTATCTAAAACATTCAATAATATCAGATCTAAATTACAAATTTTCATAATTTAATTAAACATGTATTTTCAAATAAATCATGAAAAATTGACGCATAAAATAAATAAAAATTTTTTCATATTAATTTATTTTATTGATTTAGCATTTAATTGATTTGAATTTTTTATTAAAAATTATCAGAAAAGAATGAAAATTATCAAAATAATAATATTAAAAAATTTTTATCAATTATAATAAATTCAAAAAACATTTTCAAACAACATTTAAAAATATTGACGCATTGCGAAATATAAAACGAAAATTATAACAATTTAAGCAAAACGATTTAATTATTAAATATATATTGAAATTTTAACAAATTATATTTTATTTAAATTAAAATAATGACGTTTATATCGCACAATTCAAAAAAAAATCTAAAAAATAAAATTTAAAAAAAATTGATTTGAATAAAAAAATCAAATATATTTAATAAAATAATTGAATAAATAATCAAGATTAACTGTCACGGTGCGAATCCTAAGAGTTTTGGCCCAGGGGCGATAGCGGTATTGGCCCTCGGGCCATAACCCCAGGCACCCACTAGTGTGATCACATGACCACGTCACCTCCTATCTCCCCGCTATCCCAAGATCCTGTTGTAGCTCTTCGAGCTACGTCTTGTCTATCAGCCTGTATATAGCTTGACCCTGTAGCAATCGAGTACCTGATATCTAAGGACCTGCCTGCCTGTCTGCCTACCTGCCATCAGCTCTACCACCCCCGCCAGCCCGCACCCTGACATTAACAATCAATTTTATGATTTTAACATTTAAAAAAAAATCGATTTGAAATACAATTTTAAAAAAATCTAAAAATGGATAATTACCATGTTAATAATAAACAATTAATATAATTAAAAAATTAAGAATACAGCAATCTTTATAATTTATAATTAATAAAATTCGACATTATCAATAAACAACAACAAAATTTATTAAAAACTAAAATTAAATATTAATAAAAAAATAATTATATTTTAATTGCAAAAAAACAAAACACATATTTTGACAATGCAAAATCTTAAAAAAACAAAACAACAAAAATAAACAAAACAATTAAAAAGAATTTTGAATCATAAAAGAATTCAATGAACTAATTGTTAATATTCAAAAAACATATAATTTGAATAAATTGCTAACATCTGTATTATGAATAATCTAGATATTACACGACAAAGAAAAGACATTCAAAAAAATAAATCTAAAAAAAACAATTAATATATAAGATTAATATACAATATTTATAAATTGTTGAACAATATAAAAAAAATAAAGATTTAAATTTATTATAAATTATTTATAAAAAAAACAAAAAAATTCTTCAATGCAGCACATTACAATGATAATTAATTAAAAAAACAATTCTAAAACTCACAAACATTAAAAAATAACAATTATAATTAATTTATTAAACAAAAAACAAATAAATTTTTCAAATTTATCGACAACAAATCAGATCTAATAAATTGTGATTTGATTATAATGTCAAGAAATTTTAATCTTTTAAATAAATAATATGAAATTTAATAGATTGATTATAATTTTAATACAAAAAGATTTTACAAAATATCTGAAACATTTGATGAAATTTTTTATAAAATCACATTTGATCAAGATAACATTGACAATATTAATTTAGAAAATGATCAAACAATTAAAAATGTTTTTAATTATAATTAAACGAAAAACAAAGCCTTTAATTTAAAAGATAACATTATAATTAATTAATATGTCATTTAATTAATATAAAAAATCAAAAAAAAAACAATAAATGAATTAATTAATTTAAAGATTAGAAAGAAATCCAGTATGATTTATCAAAAAATTATAAAACATTTTTATATAATATTTATATTAGAAATTAATTTGTTGGGATTTATAACAAAAAATTAAAAAACATATTATTTGAAATATGCGAATTATAAAATTAAATATAAAATATGCGTTGATGAAGAACGTAGCTTCAGGCAGACAGCCGAGGCTAGAGCGGTGTCGCCCGACAACCTCGGAGTTGCATTCGGTGGCAGATCACTCCTGGAAGACGAAAGAGATAAGTCTATCTTTATACTTCTTACACCTAGTGATGATAGATTCCTTTCTGTGCGTCCTCTCATTCCGCTGCGTGAAGGCGACTTTCTAGGAGTATTTTCTGGAAGTATTCGCTTTTCGCGGGATTTCGAGCCACAGTGGGGGATCCGTGGCCCCGACCAGAGACTCTGGCTAGATTACTCGCGGGTTACTGGGACGCTAAACCAGATGCGAGTTTCACAACCCGGTGGTCCTGCTAATGTGCAACTCCACTGGGAGCTGTTCGGTGAGGATATAGCCGAGCCACGGTGGTCGTGGAGGGTCTCAGTCAGGGCTACAAGGCACATTGCGCCTTTTGAGGAGATCATTCGAGCAGCTCCTCACGAGGAGCAATATTTTTTGCATCAGTCAGCGGAATCTGCACGAGAAGGTTTTATGAAAAGGAACGAGACACCGTAGATTCGCTGGTTGGTGGTGTCAGCCGTAGCATACTAGCCTCACCCTGGTCTAAAAAGCTGGAATGTGAAGGAAGACCCACGGTTAATCTCAAATAATCATTTCTATTTTTTTTACTGCGCATCATACCTCCTGTAGCAAGATAGTTCAAGTCTAAAGTCTGCCCTTTTAGACCTTCCACATTCATATACGTTATGATGTTATAACACGGGCTATCGCTTTGGCCGACCGCTGCTGTCAGCTGACATATGCCCCATTTCAGCAATTTGGAACCGTACAACAGGAGGAAACAGAGGAGGCTGAGCAAATATACAGCAGTTAAGTATCAACGCTCGAGCAAGAGTTACAATTAGATATCACGACATCCAATATGCCTCTTTCCAGAGTAGATCTTAATACTTGCAATTATAGCCCACCTTCGTAATAATTGATATATAGTGGGCAAAAAAAATGCGAGCTTTCTTTAGACTATATACAGGAAACCATCCGACCAAACCTAGGCAAATATATATTCACCACAAGTCAGAGAATCATTCGATGAACCGTTTCTTTATGTTCTCATTGTATCAGCCCCTTTTTCAGAGGAATCTGGAAGGGTAGTCGTCTTGCTTTCAGAAATCGCATCAAAATCTTTATCTGTTTGGTGGATGGGCGTTGGATAATACGAGTCCTACAATCGTTAGTGGTTGGAGGTAGTTCCGGGCCACATGAACCCACGAATTGCGAGACCAAGGGAGACCAGAACCCCGAAGTTTCAGCAAGCAAGATATAGAGTCGGCCCGATCCTTTTAACCTGACCCCAACAAAAACATCGGCTCCACAGATCTTACTGTATTCTAATGCTTTCTTCATCAGACCTTTCTTCCGCCGATCCGTTTTCTGACGGATGGATTTCTTATCTGATTTTTGTAAAGTCCTCATCTTTAGCTGATTAAAGGGCGTAAACGACACAAAACAGACAGCTAGATGTTTAATGGAGATCAATGTCGTGTGGATGCAATATTTTGCAAAGGAAGACGGAGTAGACTCGTAATGCGGAGGCCCTATAGAGCTTTTTATTGTTGCCGTCTGTAAGCTAAGGACACCACGGTTCGACTTTCAGTAAACCATGGCATCTGGTACAAAACACACCGCAGGGGGTTTTCCGCAGAACAGTTTGATACTGGGCAAGTGTTTGTTATTTACTGAGGGCAGATACAAAACGCTGGCTGCTTGTTGATTTACGCTGGGTGATGAACTTTTCCTTTCCATTTATAGACGATCGAGCCCATGTTGGTTGCTCCCGTTCAAGCCATACTAACTAATCGCTCGTCTGCAGTGTGTGCTCGACAGACTATCCGCGACCAGGTGAGGGCGATCGTTCAGCCAAAGATGACCGATGAGCTCCGACTCATGGACATCGACGTGGAGCCATATCACCGGTGGTTGGACATGGGCCCAGTGCGGGACACTGCTGGAGCATCGAACCACCTCAAATGGGTCAACTCCAGAATAGCTGAAGGTCGAGGCTAAACCGGCTTAACCTGACGGCGTCTTCATGTCAACGTTCACCGCTTATAATAACTGAGGTCAAATCAGAGAATTGAGTGGGTACCTATAACCTCTAGCGTTTCTTTTATTTGCATTTGGTTTTCAAGCCTTCACTCTCTGTGTGCGCCTGAATCGCTCCGGACCAAAATACACCAACACATACATGCAGGGCGCTAGAATTGAACCAACACGGCACATGGGAAAAATGATATGCAGGAAGCATTAACATAAAGTGCAGCATCCAACTATTGGTAAACCACTGTAAGCAACTGGGTCTAACAATTAAAATAATAATACTTGGGCACATAGAAACAAGGCTCTCATTGCTATATAACGTAATATTCATTGCCCAGTACACGTTGTGGCGTTATATTTTTCACTTCTAACCAAGGTCTACGATAACCAGAGACCACCTCCTCCGGCGTTATTCCACTGGCCGTCCTGCCTCTCAATGGATGTTTAGATTAAGCACAGGCCAGCGGTTGGCAAATGAGGTTAAAGGAAAACTCCATTTCGATATATTTGCTGCTACCAAGTGAGGCTCATTATGGATATGACGCTCATGTGGATTTAGACTGGCTTTCTGATTTTCATTTTCATTTTCTTGCTTTTGTTATCGTTCTCATGTTTCTCCCATTGATGGTTCCGGTGTTGAAAGCTGTGCAGTAAAAACGGCACCGAACTTGGCCCTTTTGGACTTTAGTCACTTCAGTAGCAATAGTATAGGCTATTTCGTGTCTACCTATGACAATGAATTTGTTTATTAGCTCATTGGTTTCATGTGCGAGTCTAGTAGATCCGTCTCGTATACTCTTTTGGGACCCCGACGTCCAAGCCAAGCCCCACACGAGAAGGATATAAATATAATATACCACCCACTTCCAATTCTCCTTCTACTCTACAAGCTACAAAAGCAAATACAACTGGTTGATCATGCACGACACTCTTCCATTCCCAATCTCCAGACTGGAAGAATGCATAGCGATAGCCCTACAATCCTCTCCGGACTCTATATCCCTGATTCGTCAGCCCACCATCGAAGGCGATGACCACATGATTTTCCTCATAGACTCCCAGCCCGAATACATAGTCCGAGTCACCAAGCCGCGCGAAGATGGTTCCCGCTCCTACAATGGCCAAGAGATGCAAACCCGTGATATCTCACTGCGCAGGTTCATCCGAGACCAGTATCGAGCTCGCTGTCTAGATGAACATGTCATCCCACGGTCTATCGGAACATGGACGCTGAGCAATGATGGGAACTATTTAGCTTCGCTTGAAACCAAGCTCCAAGGGTCGGACTTGCAACACGCTCCTGTTTCCGAGTTGACTGTGCAAGGGCTGGAGGATTTTCTTTCTGTGTTGAAGGGTGTCGACGTGGGAGGGTTAGAGGAAAGGCTGGGGATGAAAATTCCTTCGGTTAAATACCCCGATTTGAAGGCTCACAGAGAGTCTGCGATCAAAGCATGGGCGAGGCTGGTAGAGCGGGGACAAATAACTGCGAAGGATATCGAAAGTGAAGGCCCCATAGACGGGTTCCTGGAGAGGAAAACCACCATGTTGGAGAAGATACAGCACCTATCTTCAGAATACCAGCCGATGCTGGTTCACAACGACATCAAAGGCGAACATTTCCTCGTGAATTCCCAAAGCGGCCGGATCACTGGGATCCTCGATTGGGCAGATATTGGCATCGGGAACGCGGCCCTTGATATTGCTGGGTTGGTGTTGACTGTCGGGGTGAAACCTACAAGGCATATTGCGACAAAAGTAGGATATGGAGAGGATCAGGTCTTGCAAGGAGTGCTCCAGGCTCGATGTGAATGTGTCATGAGGCTGGATGATCGCTTAAATGGGAATGATACGATGAGCCCTGTGACTTTGTTGCGAGATCAGCTCTTTCTGTCCCTAAAGGACTGAGCTGCGCCAGCGCGATCGCTTCTAGCCCGGTCGGTTTCACCCTTGGTGAAGATATTACTCTGCATTACATGCTTAACAGAGGTCGTGTACATACCAGCTCCTAACAAAGCAAGCGCCCATAGAATTATAAATGTGCTATTGTATCATCCTGATATTGCAACGTTGCTCCAACGAACCACACCTACTATTCATATATCAAGTGCAAAAGTCGATAGGAACTCATGACGCAATACTCGTCGGCTCGAGCGAGATACGCCGTGTCCTCGAGCGTTTGATATAAATAATAAAGATAGAATATGTCTGCGTCGCATTCATAGAGCGATCTCGCCCCTCTCTTTCGTGAATTACATCGAGTGCTGCGGGCTGAAGGATGTCGTGCACTAGCCGAGTCACCTTAATATCGTCTATCTGTGGCTGCGCTGGCCTGGAGCCCAGAGAAAATTTGTGCAACTTGCGGATCCGCGTCTGAACATCTTCGAAGAAGCTGCTCACAGTCTCGCCATCCCCAACGTAAAGTGTGACCGCGCCAATCTGCTCTCGCGCCTGCTCTGTGGCTTTGCCGTACCGAAAGGTGGATGATTGGGATGTGACGCTGAACCTTTCGAAGGTGCCATCCTCCAATATTTCTTAATAGCTAAAGAACTGCGATCTATGGGCGTTGTTTAATACCTCCAAGATTTTACAGAGCAGCGTTGCCGGGACTCTCTTTCGACAAGTTGAAATCAGCGCAGAGACCTACCGGCGATGAAACCTTTCCAACCCTTAGGCGTGTCGCTGCAATTTGTCCAAGAGATACGCATATTTTGCCACGGAGCGCCGGAGCCCTGCATGCTAAATTTGCTGGGTTTATTTCCCAACCTAAAGCGGTGCGAGTAAGATTTTGGGAATTGCTCTTCACTGTCATGCCACCTATTAATGCCAACAAATCCATCAGATTCGATGCCCAAAGATGGGATGAGAGTGCCAGTAGTTCAAAATAGTAGTTCATGGACCAGTCAACAATCCAAGCTCCAAGTATGGTTTGAGTATTCCAATGGGGTTGATTTCAGCACTTCAGGCACCTTCTGTCCAGCTGACTTTGTTCGTACAAATGATCGCATGCCATAGCCATCGGGACATTAAATGGAAATGGTCTTCCTTTCCCTTGAAGGAAAAAAGTAATAATGATTGATTAAGGGGAGGGCAATGTTGGGGTTTCCAGCTATCCTCAGGTTATTGATACCGGCTACAAGTTAATGGTTAAACCTATCGATCGGATGAGCTTACCAGTGTGTGTAAATCAGTTAGGTAATGTTGAATGGGATCGTTGGACCCAACCGTGCTTTGTTATCCTCGGTCGCCAAACCGATACCTAAGCAGCAGAACGAAATAGCAGGTTCACGCGAACAGGTTTGGGATTTGGAACACAGTACAGCAAAAGCTCAACCAACTTTAAACACATACGCACTGAAGCTTACTGGAAATTACATTGCTTGGTCGTCACTCCCCCGCAGAATACTAAACGCTCATATTTCGTCAAGATAACCCTCTATTTTTTGCATGATCTCGACAGATTTGCCAACAATGCTGTTCATTTCTCACCACAGCCTCCATAAAAATGGATTGATTTATAAGTCCCGGATCGATAGCAATGAAGTGCCATTCAACGCCTGCTCAGCGCAAAAGGTCCGGGAGAAGAGAACACTGGAGGGCAACTAAATGGCGATTTATTTCAAGCGTAAACGCGCACACACACATACATATACACGCACACGTGTTTCAAAAGAGAACGCGGATCTTGGAGCTTTCAACCCAGGCCACCTTTTTGCCCGTGACTTCAAGGAAATCCTATTAAAGTGGCGTGAAGACCAGCGAAAATACCGTTCCGCGTTATCGCCCCAAATTGTCTCCTTTCTACTTGAAACCGACCCAAAAGAGCAAAATGAAATATTCTGACTCCCGGAGGTTCTTTTCATCGTGGGCCATCATCCTTATTCTCGCCCAGTTTGTTCCCAGTTATACTTTGCAGGTAGGTCTGTTCAGGTTCCCATGGGCTCTTCCACTGAATTAGGCAGATAAGAGGACTTCAGGTCATAAACGGGTATGGGTCCTGACCTTGGACCCATGACGGGTTTTGTCGAGGTCTAGGGAAGCTATACTCTTTCAGGAGTAACGAGAACTCCCCCTGATGATCTCCGACATCGTTCACTTGATTGACAACCTCATTTCCCTCGTTTTGAACGCTATCGAACCATTGATATTCTCCGGGATCGGCAGGCTCTTCGACGGACCAACCTGCGCGTAGCTGGTTCGATAGTTGATCGACCTGTCGAGGGCGCGTTTCTAGTACCTCTCGAAGCGCTTTAAGTCTCTTAAACGAAGGGCCCGGGGCATGGTTCGACTGAGAATTCCAATTGGACATCTGGTGCGTTAGCTTCCAAGTGGAAGACAGAAAAGGGAACGAATCGGCTAGACGGCCGAGGAAGGGTGAAATAAATAGTCTGACCGTTTCGCGGAGATGAATAGAAGGCGCTCCTGACCGCTTGGCGTTTATGCTTGGATGTCTCCGAATCAAACTACCTGTTCCTATTATTTGCTTATGCATAGTGGGTTGTCTGCATGATCAAGTGATAATCTGATTGAACATCAAAGGTGTAGAAAATGGTTGGCTATTTGCATAAAGCTTTAATCAACGCAAAGCGGGCAAAGATTGCCACGGTCGGGTGATAGAAACCTGGTGAAGTGAGAATGTTTGGACAGGCCGATGAACGCAAATGGATAGTTGACTACCCCAGTAAGGTATGACGATGTATTTTTGATACGGTACCTTAAGCAATCTCTACTAAATTATCTTTTTGTAATATATTACTCATGTAGTACACGAGCAAAAACTTGCGGGCATCCAATTCAAATGGCCATGTTCAACCACAAAACACCCTGTTCAACGGTCGACTTACCGTAGTTGACCACGCAACGATAAGTGGGCCCACTGGGCCGTATTTTCCTATATTTTCTGGTTGACCAACTCACCTATTTGGAATTATAACCCGCAAATATATGATCTTTACGTTGATCCCCGACCAAAGCTTATGGCGTATTTGAGCAGGATTTGCAAATCTGCTGTGACTTTCACCATTGCTACACCTAGTTGGTGCCTGCAAATGATCACTATCGTCTTTCTTTCAATGAACAGAGCATGTACAAAGGCCAATCTTCTACCTAATATTTTCAGCAATACCATTTTCTCATGCCTTCCCTGATTGAGATATCAATGTTTATACGAACAATACCGATCTCAGTTTTATCAAGATTAATTCCGACCCTTAGCAACTCAAAGAGCAAGGCTACAGTTCGCAATGGCCGCTGCTAAGTCTGTCTCTTCTATGAGCACCAGGAGATCGAAGAGACAAAAAAATGCCGTCGCAAATCCATGACTTACGAATCAAGTCGGCAAGCACTCAAAGAGTTGGGCCGAGATGCTGAATACAGAGCGTAAATATTCCCTCTATTTTCTCATTTGTCCAGTCCATATATAAATTGCTGCTTCCATGGGTACCTGCGAGTTTCCAGAAGTTTGTCGACTCCAAAGTGGAGAAAGGAGTAATGCTGGCCAATGACAGCGGACTTGAGGTCCTGCCGAGGGCATTGAGCCAGGTACGGGCAGACGCTTCTTGTAAGGCAGGTTGATGCGGATGCACGGAAAATTTTCGTCTCCAACAGTATATTGGAGATCTAGGAGAGCCTCATATAACTTCTCATGGGTTTTCTCTTACCTGAGTCCCAGAAAAACCAGAGAAGACCAGGTTCAACTGAAGGGCCAAAGGAAGATCCCACGGTAAAGTCTATTCGCCCGCTGTGTGCACAGGGTGGCGGGCAAGAACGTTAACCCATAATTATCTTAATCATACCCTTCAGCGCTTAAGAAATACTCGGTCAACCTGGGCATTAGAGGGCACGTAATACATACAATATACCACTGAATTACCCAAAGAGCTGACAGCGCAAGTATCTGAAAGTCGATGTTCTTTTGTTCATTGAGTGGCCTAACGTGATTTTATAGCTTGTGTATCTAGAAACAGCTGGAAACTCTACAAACTACGATCTATTTTGCAATGCCAGAGGCCTGCCCTTACATGTCCCTCGTCGATGCGTCCAGTACGCATTGACAGGTCTTACGCAATTAGTGAGGGTCGAGCATACTAAGCGGTTCTGGGGTTCGTGGGATTTCCGGTCTTAAAATCATTCTTCATTTGTGAGACGTAAACACACTTAGATTCCTATGACACTATGGCGTGGCAGAAGAAAACGGATCTATGCCCATGACGAGGAGGAGCCCTTCTCGCATCTTTCATATTTGCTTCGTTAAGCATTGTGCAAATTCTCGCAGTGCTAAGCAGTTCTCCGAATTGGCGTGGGATAATATCTTTCCTGTAGGACTTTAGTATTGGTATTGCCACGTAAAATTGAGCTCATACCAATGGTGACTCAAGATGGGACCAAAATCCGCTCGGGTCAGCTAGCAACGTGTATACTCGGCCAGAATCCCTTAGTCGGATACCGAGACAAACATCCGCTCCACACAGCTTGCTGTATTGAGAGGCGTTTCTCATCATGCCCTTCATCCGTCGATCCCTTTTTTGCCGCATAGACTTCTTTAAGGCAGAGGTTTTTTTTTCCTTGCTTCCGTTTGGGGAATTTTTTGTTTTCATTTCCTCGGGTGTTATAGAAAAGAAAAAGAATAGAATGGTGTCTGGTTACTATACAGTATGAGATGAATCCTATTGCCTCTGAGTAGAGATCAAGCGAAGAACAGGTGGAATTTATATGCCAAAAAGAAAGGGCTCATGGTTTTCGAAGTCCCTCATGACCGCGGTGCTCAACGATGGATGCCCTGTGAGTGTGTGGTTAACTTTGATAATATGAGAACATCATCCTTATGAGCATTACGGCACCGTTGACAAGTAATTATGTGATGGCGGTTTGGCCAGACAACCCATGGAGAACTGTTATCTGCTTGGACA